TCATGCATGATGCTGCATAGTAATATTTGCCTATTACCTTCAAGTGGACAGTCCATTGCTAGTTGCTTGTGTACAACGAGAGTCTCTTTGCTTGTCCAGTTCTCATGGCATACTCCTCCCCATCGGTTGTTGATACATATCTCAAGTTTCCCTGTGAGAGTATCTAGCTGGAGGTCGCCAGTTGCACACTTTGAGTGGTCGCCATTAGATTTATCTGATATACATAAGATAGATTACCATGCATGCACATATGAATAGATCTGTACTTTGACAAATGATGCCAGCAACTGCATGGCCAGGACAATGTGTAACCGGTTGGGATCCACTTCCACTTCCACTGCTTACTTCTATAGTATCATCTGAATCATCATGCCCCATAAAACCCACAGCTTCGATTTCTGCAGTTGGAGCTGTTCCTGCAGCAGCCTTTCCTATCGTCTTAATGCTACATTCCAGTAAGGAGAGCTCATCTCCTCTGCAAGAGATGCTACTGACAGAAATAGGCAAATTCACACTAGAGGACGGAATGAGTGGGAATGCCATTGCTCCTATACAAAAAGATATTAAGAATTTAAAGCTCTGAGGAGCAAATTACTCTTACCATAATGAGAGAGACCCATATCAACACAAGTCACTTTTGCAACAATGTGGCTCCATTTGTTGCTGCACACAAAGCTCCATTTGCCATTGATGCAAATGATCACAGTCCCGCTTTGCAGTGAGCCAAAAGACATGCTCAATGTAGTTTGATTCATAAATTTCACTGTGCCATGACTGCAGCCATGAGCTATGGGAAGAGAAAAAATAAAGCATCATAATCTATAGGTAGAGCAAAAGCTTACAAATAGCACAGATAGATGCTCCCAAAACAAGAAAAATGACAAGCTGCATCACTTCTCTGGACTCAATAGGATAAAATTGGTATTGCTGAGAATTGACCAAACATCTGAGGTAAGACTGCACACAACCTCCCTTATATAAGCTCAACTAACCACAATACACACACACACTCACACTCACTACTCCTGTGGGCCATGGCAGGAACAAAAATATAATTATTTCATATTTATGAATAACAATAGAATTTTAGATGGAGCATGCTCAAAAATAAGACGGTTATTTCTATTACTGTCATCACACGATCCTGAAACTATTTGAACAGCGTCGACACCATGACAACACAAACCATAGAATTTAATTAGCAGAGATCAAAAAGAGGGATACACGATCCTATCGGACATTGTCCATTAAAGGTAGCATTATTGTAGCCACCTGTTTCCCTAAATGGAATCAACTGGCTCCGAATTGTCTTCAATTATAAATAAGATGAGCGCCGCAGTTCTTACCGTCAATGATCATGAGACATAGTTAAAAGCAAGCAACATCTGACATGTGGTAGCAGTTGCTAAGCGACACAATGTTGACAGCCATACACAGTAGTACAATTAGTGGTTAATGTACATAAAGATACAACACAGGAGCTATTATATGAAATTATCAAGAAGACAACAGAGCGAAGACAACACAAGGAAATACAATACTAGCACATCCACTGCAAAGACTGAGGTAAGATTAAAAAATATATTTTTAGGTGCAGACAATGAGAACATAATAATAATAACAATGAAACATTTAATGCATTGGAGGAAGAGACACAAATAATTATGTGTGTATGTTATGATGCTAGTAAAGTGTTGATGTGTATGCATGTACGTACAACAAGTAACAACAGTCAGTCCATTGTGAATATTCTGGAGCTGATGTCAGTCGTCATCCAGTTGATTCCATCCAATAGATTCTCTCCAGTCACTGCAGAGCAGGCCTGAATCTGCCAATGGTGAGTCTTTATATGCTCGAGTCCTAACGCCTGAAAATCATATTGGACTTATTATAAGAATCAAAACTGCAGCACATGTTGTGCTGTGCTGCTTGCTATACACAGGTATAAGGATTTACAATAAAAAATAGGCATTGAATTATGTTTATGAGTCTACTGTATAATAATAAAATAATGATGACTGACTTTCATTATTTCGACCCCAGAGAGAGCTCCCGGTAAATCCTGCTTATTCGCAAATACTAGTAAAGTAGCACTGGCCAGTCTCTGATGGAAGAAGGCAAGAAAGAAAAAGGATAATAATATCATAAATGGAGTCTTAAGTCGACATACTTCCTCTTTCAAAAGAGAATGAAGTTCTTTCTTGCAGTCTTCCAGACGTCTTGAGTCAGCACTGTCCACTACCCATATTAGTCCATCAGTCGACTCAAAATAATTCCTCCAATAAGATCGGAGCGACTTCTGGCCGCCGACATCCCATATGTTTAACTTTAGCCTAAAAAGATGAGTATATCGTAATTCCCACTTGACATTTCACCAATGTAATCAATCAGAATGTACAATTCCATTAACAAATAAACTGTGTGAACATTTAAATAGCAGTCCCCCTGATGTAGAATGGTAGTAGAGGTTTACCCTTTGTGCTCGACTGTCTTTATGTTGAATCCAAAAGTTGGAGATATGGTGGTTATGTCTTCACCAATGAACTTCTTAAGAATTGTAGTCTTACCAGCATTATCAAGACCCCTGGAAAAAATACAATAAAATGGACTTAAAATTACTGCTAATTGACTCACAGCATCAAGAGTCTAACGTCTTTCTCCTTCTGTTTCATTTTTTTCAAAATCGAGAGTAGGCCCATTTCACTGTTGATATCAAGGATGGGTGGAGCTGATAACAAGGCGTGGCTTGTTATGACCAACCACGCCCACTCCACACTGAAATGGCTGCTGGTGGTGGTGAGCCTCAGAGAGTCAGAACGGGTAGTATAGGACCGGTACTGACGTTTCAGGACTCTGCCATTAGCGTCATTGGTGGAAGCTTTTGTCTCTTGGAATCTGAGAGATCCCCGTCTGGCTACACAGTCTACAAGCTTCAATTTAAAGTGGGTTATCACGTGATCTTTTACCCTATGTGTTTTCCCTCTCTCTCGTTAAAGGTCCAAACTGATACACCACAGGGACAGCCTGTCATCGAAGAGGTGCAATTGTTATTTAAATACACATGCAATAGATGGACGCACATTTTTATCATGAAATTGATGTACTTCATAATCACATGGGGTATTATTAGTTAGTATAAATGCTACGTTGATAATTATTATTATAAATGAGCTATTAGTATTTTGCAAACAAATACATAGACAATGTTTGCTTGATGTTAGCAGTTTGTTTTCTCAAGTTATTTGGTTTCCTCCTGATCATCATCATCATCATCATCATTATTTATTTATTATTATTATTTATTATTATTATTCTACACACACAGTGTGAGTGCTGGAAGCGGTACTCTGACTTTCTGAAACTCTCGAAACAGCTGGAGCACATTCAAAACATATCGGCCCCATCTTCATCATCAGCTCCTCAAGAGAAACTTCCGGAACTCGCAAAAGCTAATTATTTCGGTAAATAAAATAATGGTTTATATTTTTGATGATCCATAATGACAACATTAAACATGGGCTCTTTTATCTTTTTATTTTTTTGTTTAGATCGTTTTAAAGAGTCTGTCATTGAAGAGAGGAGAGTCTCTGCTGAGACTTTATTGCAGTATTGCAGTTACAAGATCCACCTGGTAACTTCAGCGCCTTTTTTTGAATTCATAAAAGTGAGTGCCTACATGTACTGTACATGCAGGTCTATTGTGTATGTCACAATGACTCCATGTCTATCATACGTTCTTTGTCTATGTATGTATGTCTGTTTTTCTGTTTATGTGATTAGTGTCATACCTTCTTTTTGTCCATCTGTCTGTCTGTCTGTCTGTCTCACTGTCTCTCTTTCTCTGTCTGTCTATGTCTATGTATTCTCTATATGTCTGTTCAATTCTTTCTTTTTTGTATTTATTTTATTTTTTATAGGGAGCAGCTGTTATTCGTATACTTCCAGTAAGTGAGTTGATCTCTTCTCCAACTGGACAGGAGACTCCGCCCCAGTCTGATTGGATCAGCCGACAGTCATCCAGTACCACTCCTCCTGAGGTCTCAGTCAGAATGAGTATTTTGGAGGAGAGAGACGAGGGAGGCGACACCAGAGAAGGTATGGATTGAATTGTGTTTTTATTGTCTTTTAATATGTTTGCTATAGAAGAGGGAGGTGTGGCTTTGGAAGTGGGCGGGGCTGAAGCTGATCTCCCTTTACCCTCAACTCCAAAGACTCCGGAGATATCGTTAATAAGACACCAGCAGGTACTGTACATGTAGCATGTGTTGGTCTATTGGGAATTAGGTGCTTATAATATAATTTATTTTATTTTTCAATCTTTTCCTTTCTTCTCTACTCTTTTTTTCATAGGGTGACAGTAGTGTTTTTGGAGGCTCTGACTGGTGGAGTAATGCCTTGGCTCAGAGCGACGTTATCAATTGTGACGATTATGATAGTTTAATGAGAGAAGAGGAAGAGGAGGCCTACGTCACCACTGATGGTACTGCTAGTAAAGATAAAGTAAGAATTGTACCTTTAAAAAGTGTGTGCAGAGTTGCATTTTGTGATTAAAAATAAATAAAATAAACAATTTTGTAAATAATTAAAAAAATTTTTTAGACCTTAGAGAGTGAGTCCGGTTCATTGAATAAGTCAGTAGGGAATCTCTCGCCTCCTCGTAAACCTGTTGATCAAGCAGAGCGAAGACTAAGCCCTTCTTCATCCTCCTCCTCCTCTTTCTCATCTAATGGAGCTTATGTTGTTCAAGCAGGGAAACTTATTACCCAAGGGCTGGAGTATGAATCAACTGGTCAACTGGATGAATCATTTGATCTATTTAAAGCTGGTGTGGATGTACTGCTTAACGGAGTACAGAGTAAGTTTATATTATTGGGCGGACAAATGATTTCTGAGTTATGGCCATTTTTAAAAATAGGCCAATTTATACCCTGTACTATAGCCCATGGTTTTTTCCAAAAAATGGCTCCGAAATCACCCCAAATTTTTATTGCATTTTCTGATACATATTGATGTACTTATGCTGTGTAGAAAGTTTGAGCTGATTTCAACTTCAATTTTTCGAGTTATGGCCATTTTAAAAAATAGACCAAAATCTGAAAAATACCCTGTACTATAGCCCATGAATTTTTCCGAAAAATGGCTCCGAAATCACCCCAAATTTTTATTGCATTTTCTGATACATATTGATGTACTTATGCTATGTAGAAAGTTTGAGCTGATTCTGACTTCAATTTTTTGAGTTATGGCCATTTTTAAAAATAGACCAAAATCTGAAAAATACCCTGTACTATAGCCCATGGTTTTTTCTGAAAAATGGCTCCAAAATCACCCCAAATTTTTATTGCATTTTCTGATACATATTGATGTGTTTATGCTATGTAGAAAGTTTAAGTTGATTCCAACCAATAATTTTCGAGTTATGAGCATTTTTAAAAATTAGTTAAGTTTTGAATAAAAGCAAAGCCCACACGATTCTGATCAAAATTAATTTTTTTTATAAATATTTATAAAAAGAGCAATAGTGATTATTATACTCCTTCTGATGATGATAAAAGTATTTGGATTTGTATCTATAATATTATATCTTAAAATAAAAAGCCAACCTCAATCTTGACTTCTCAATTTTTGTAATACTTAGCTGACATGAACTCATCTAGAAGAGAAGCCGTAAGACAGAAAACTGCTGAGTACTTACAATATGCTGAAATATTGCAAAGAAAAATGATCAAGAAGAAGCAGAAATTGGAGGTAAGGTGACAAATAAATATTCATTCCTTTAAAAAACATATTTTAGTTAAATCGATCAGAGAGCTCAAGCAGTAATGCGAGGCCACACCTTCTCCAAGACTTTAAAGTCGTGAGTATCATAGCTAACAAGGTAAGATACTCTTGTGAACACTAAGTGCCGTATACAGTATATCCATCATACATGTAGGTCCTACTGACTGAAAGCAAGCATACAGGACAGAGATTTGTATTCAAGGTATATGATATTATTTATGGGTTGTCCTAACCACTTGTAATGATCTACTGTAGGTACTTCACAAGCAGCTGTCAGTTCAAGACAGGACTCAGGTGGTGCGTGGGCGGATACCCAGGAGCAAGAACAGAACACCTGTAAGTTTAAATAAAATGATATTAAAATAATTTTAATAATTTTAGTCTCAATGCCCTTATATGGTAAAACTATTGCACCATTACGAGACAGTATCGAATCGTATCTTTCTCCTCCTGGAGCATATTAAAAATGGCCGACTAGTCCATCACGTTCAATCAATCAGAGACCACCAACTTGGAAGGAGGCTCCAAGAGAGAGAGGAGAGGCGGAGGAGAAAGAGAGAGAAGAAAAGACTAAGAGAGCAAGGAGAAGAATTGGCTAGGATTGTCATCGGACAAGAGAGCAGTACTTTATCTCCAGGCCCTCCATTATCCCCTAATGTATCCTCAGAGTCCTTAAATATGACCCAGAGTCCCATCTCGCTGCCTCACTCTCACGGCAGTCCTAATCAAGACCCTCCTCCTACGCTCGAGCCTAAAAATGAAGACGACTATATACAATATTTGATGGATAATTTAAGTCCACCGACCGAACTACCAGTTACTAGCAGCATTGGGAGTAGCATTGGTGGAGGGAGTGGTGATGGAGACGAAGAAGATGAGAAAGAAGACATGCTGGATGTATTAAGGAAGCAAATGGAAGAGCTTTGCAAAGAAGACGAGGAAGAGTTGAGTAGCAAAGCAACAAGAGAAGATGATGCTGATGATTCAGCAATACTTGACAGAGAAGATGAAGCTGAGATTCAAGCTATATTACAGGAGGGAGATGGTAAAGAGAATGATGATTCATTAAGTAAAGAGGATGATGGTTCATTAATAGAAGATACTAATAAAGAGGATGATGATTTATTAGGAGATCAAGAGCAGCTTCTTGAGTTGGAGAAGCACTTATCTGCATTCACTTCTCTTTCTGCACCAGATAATAACAGCGACCTCCTACAACTCAACCTTAGTCAGGATAATGATAATACAACTACTGCTGATCCTACTGATATAGTACCCAGTAGTAGTAATGATGATATTCATACTAGCACTGATCCACCTAACACTAGCAGTAGTAATAATGAAGATAAAGGCAGCTCTAAACCTGATGTTATAGACAATGGGGACAAAGGCAGCCAAGAGGAAATTATTACAAATGGGATTGATGCTTCTAGTGGTAAAGATAGTGTCACCAACGAACCTGTATCTGCAGATAATGATAATAATGATAATACCAGTAGTGATCAATCTTCATCCACCACCATTAATGTCGTACCACCAACTCCAACCACACCTACGTCTCAGCCTCGCCCCATTCCAGCAAAACCCTCGGCTTCAAGTTTATCAGGAGGAGGAGATGTCTCTAGACCAGCTGAAGGAATAAAAAAGTGAGTCTTATGAGTAACCTTTGTAGCGTTTACTTCTCGTTACTGTTAGACTCTCGTCTAGGCAGAGTACTCCACAGTTCTCTCCTGTTGTATCGCTGAGAGGATCACCAGAGACTGGTCCCAGTCAGGAGTGGGAGAAACAACTGGACAGTGACATTAAGAAATGGGCAGCTCAATTAGTCATAGCATTGGAGCATCTACACTCCAATGGTATCATATGCAGGTTAGTTTAGTAATAGCTACTCCTTTTTTGCAGATTGCAGCATATACAGTGATAGTAATAATTGATTATTTTTATTATTATAGAGACCTCCACTCAGACAATATTCTGATTAATGACTCAGGTAAAATTAATTACTATTTTTTCATGTGAAAGTAAGATGGTACATGGTACATCCTCTTATAGGGGACGTTCGTTTAACTTATTTTGGTCAGTGGGACTATATACCGAATTCTGTGAAGACCGAGGCTGTACAGAGAATGTATGTAGCACCAGGTAAAGCATCATACTAATATAGGAGGGCATAATGACTGCATGTATTTATGGTTGTAGAGCTTAGCGGGTTAGATGAAGCTACAGTGAGTGCTGACTGGTGGAGTTTAGGAGCCATTTTATTTGAGCTGTTGACTGGGGAGCTGTTGGTTCACTGCCATCCAGGAGGAATACACTCCCATATACCTATTGTTGTACCTGGTAAGGTCTCGCCAGAGGCCAAATCACTAATAGAACAAGTAAGAAACTAAACCTAGCTGAGCTGTCTTACTCCCTTTTTGTTTAGTTGCTGCAGGTTAATCCTTTAGAAAGAATTGGTAAGCTACAAAAAAGGATCCTGTACATCATTTATAATGTATCTCTCTCTTTTATGCTTAATGTGTAGGTTCTGGCTTAAATGGCACTGATGATATCAAGTCACATCCATTCTTTAGCACTATAGACTGGAAGAGTTTATATAATCAGAGATGATCTAAATTTATTGCACATTAATTGTTTAGATATGCCAATAGTAGCTAATTCTTTTTTAATTATGTTATATTATTTATATAAAATTGCTTAATTTTTGTTTTTAAAAACTACTTGTTTTTGATGCGATAAAGTTACTGCAGGAGAGCTGTGCACATACAATGATGCTACAATGATTATTGAACAATAGTATCTAGCACAAATAGTTATTAAAGCAAAAAGTATATAGTCTAGTAGTTTATTTTTTTTATTTCTCTTTATTAGCCATCATTTCTTTTAAGTAACCATCAACGGCACTATTAAACTTATCTGGTGTTGTAATTTGCATAATATGAGCACCTTCTTCTATCAGAACCAACTGACTACCAGGAATCAAATCCTTGACTAGCTTTGCTTGATCAAGTGTCGTCATGTGATCATTTTCGCCATGAAGGATAACTGTGGGGCATTTTATTTGACTCAACTCGTCAGAGCATAACATTCCATTCTTATCTTTGACATACTCGTATGTCTCAAGTACAGAATCGGTGAATCTGCCCCAAAGAGTTTGCAAAGTGTTTTCACTGCCATATATTTCAATAAACTTTTTGCATGCCTCTGGATGTTCTGAAAGCCCTTTAATAATGTCCCTCATACTTTCCGAAACTTCCAGATCGCGTTCACTATAGTGTATCCTGGAGCCCCATGTAATCATTCCTTGGACAGCATCAGGGAAGAGGGAAGCAAGATACATTGCAGTGAGACCTCCACCACACCAACCAACAACCAAGTATTTCTCATACCCCAAGTACTTCATTATCTCGTATGCATCCCTTGCATCAACCTTTGTATGGTGCTCCGGTGCTACTGAGAAGGTCCTTGGGACTTCGTGAGAGTATCCATATCCTCTTGGATCGAAAGAGATCACTGTATATCCACTGCCACTTTTGCCAAAATATTCTAATTGGAAAGGAAAGGAAAGTACAGTCGGTGTTGCTGCCCCGGGGAGAAACAGGACAGGAGTTGGTCCATCTCCACTTATGATGCAATAAAGCTCAACGCCATTAACAGGGATTTTGATTTCTCTCCTACACTTTTGCTGTTCCTGTTCCACTTCTTCCATCATAGACATAAATATAGCTAGGTGGGCGCGCCGCAATAATTACAATTAGCTCTATAGGGGTTGAGACAAGAGAGACACGTGTATGTATCATGGCTACTATGTCAGCATTTCAAGTGTATAAAGGAGAAGAGAAAGAGGAGGAGGATAGCAATGAAAGCATAGTTAGCAAAAAGAAAAGAAAGAAAAGAGCAAAGGACTCATCAGATAACTCTAATGTGAGTATCAGTGACACAAAATTAATCTGTACACTTTAGCTTGAATTTTTGCAGAAAAGGAAAAAGAGGAAAATCCTTAAATCATTTGATGCTGGCAACAAAAATAGCCGTAATGTAAGGAACTTGCCGTACAGGGGTATGGCAGAAATGGGTGGAGTAACTAGCACAATTACATGCACAATCCTTCACTTTGCATGAACTCATGATTTTAATTGTAATCTTATTTTCTAAGAGAAGGTAACTAAAGGCTCAAAGAAATTGATGAAGATAAAGCATAAAACTAACTCATTTTCAAGCATCGAAGAAGAAGAAGAGAGTGAGGAACAAGCTGATGATACTGAATCACTTAGTAGTGACGAGGGAAAGGAAGGGTGTGTCCCTAATTTTGACGTTCCATTTAAAAATCAATTCAAACCTGATCAATACGAAGACAGTCGAGCAGCTGGAAAGGCGCTGTTTCAATTACTCATCTATCCATTCTCATGTGACAAATTTTACAAGTATTTGTCTTGTCGCATGCTTAAACAGAATGTAATGATTTTTGATATTGTTGTATAGAAATGACTGGGAACAGAAACCAGTCATGATACCAAGAAATGTCCCTCATTATAATGATGGTTGGTTTAGTAGCAGAGACCTTGACAGGATATTAAGAGAGGCAAGTCTAATAAAAATAATAGATTCTTGTATTTTATTTGTAGTATTTTAGAATCATATTGAGCACTTGGTCAATATTAGGATAACCTCGTATGCTGATGGAGAGAAAGAAGTGGAACAGTCATCAGGCAGGGCACATGCTCCAATGGTCTGGGACAGATTTAGTGTAAGGGCCTTTAGCAAGTTATAATATTTATGCTTTTTTTTTTAATTTTAGGATGGGTATTCTATTCAATTTTTGAATCCTCAGACTTATTCTCGGCCAATGTGGTTATTGACTTCCTTTTTGCAAGAGCACTTTAGCTCGTTTGTTGGTGCCAACATGTACGTAGTACTCATGTCCTTAAATTTTAATTAAAGCTGTACACTTTTATATTGTAGCTACTTGACTCCAGCTGGAACGCAGGGATTCGCTCCTCATTATGACGACATTGAGGCATTTGTAGTACAAGTAGAAGGGAAGAAAAGATGGCGGCTTTACAAGCCAAGGAATCGCTATGAAATACTCCCACGAACTTCGAGCAGTGAGTATCTTGTCTTCATATTGTTGCTCCAAAATATTTATTTAAGATTAATTTATTTTTAGATGATCTTGATGAAGAGGAGATTGGTAAACCGATATTAGACATTATTCTTAACCCTGGAGATCTCTTGTACTTTCCTCGTGGTGTCATACATCAAGTACTTAATTCATTTGACAATCAATCTATTTATGTTCTTCCTTTCTCCAGGCTGTAGCTCTACCGGACACACATTCTCTTCACATTACATTATCAACTGCTCAGAAGCACACTTGGGGCGATTTCTTTGAACGAGTGAATTTTCGATGATGTAACCATATGTACATGTATTATTGGTTTTTTTAGATGCTGCCTCTTGCTTTAAAGTCCGCCATTGAAGAGGATGAAGATTTCAGACATTCTTTGCCCTGGGACTATTCCGATTACGTAGGATTTGTTCATGGCAATTCTGTCAGTAGCAGTTGAGATAATTCCAGTATTATTTATTTTTCGTTCCCCATTTTTAGAAGGACAAGAGGATCTGTCAATTCTTTGACAAAACGCACGATCTCTTCTCAAGGATAGTACAATACGCTCCATTGTTGTCAGCTGCAGATGAAGTCAGTAGTTTACCATGGCCTTTTGAGTCATTGGATGTTCAATTTTATTTAGATGGCTGTTGATTTTTTACACTCATCTCTCCCTCCTTGTCTTTCTGAAAGTATGTTATAGTAAATTCTGTGTGTATGTACGACGTGTACTGTTATTTCTCTTAGATGAAAAGAAGTGTATGATTTATAATCGTGGTCCATCTCTTGAGGAAGACGGGAAAGTAACGCACCAAACAATGATAACTCTTGATACCATGATAAAGATAGTTCGACAGAAATCAGTGAGGTATGTAGAAGGAGTAAGGAAGAGGGGGTATGATAATCTTTCTCTCTTCTCTCTAGATTGACCAATGATGGCTCTGAGTATTCACTGTACTTTAACACTGGCAACACTAGAATATATAAAGAGAAAGATCCTCAGGTCATTGTTTTAGAAGAAGAGGTGATGACTCCTCCTTTGGTAGTTTTTATTTTATTGAGATTCTTGTCTTTAGGATGCAATGGCAATACAGTTCTTGATAAAGAGTTATCCTAAATTTGTTTATGTTAGAGATTTGCCATTAGACTTGGACTTAAAGAAGGTATGAAACAGTTCCATTATAAAAGAATTGTTGTAATGCTCCTTTTAGACTAGCTTGTGCTTGACACTTTACGAACAAGGAATCATAATCTGTTGTTAATCATAACTGGACCATTGTAATTAATATTACTCAGCAAATTAATAACTTGTGTTGTAGTTTGTATATTGGGTGTGGCACATGTAGCTTCATATGGATCCGCTCAAAATCATCTTATTTGACTTAATAAAATTTTCATGTGGAATAACTTAGCAATTTTACATTAAAGCCTGGTCATAAAATGCAACGCAAACGAGCGCTAAATTTAATTTTGTGTGAAGTTTGAAACGTTTTTGTATCAAAAGGTCAAATCACCTGTGCACTTCTTGACCATTTCATCGAATGTATATCATAATGCAGATATACAATAATGGTATAGTGGGAGTAACCAAAGTGCAAGGCAATGACTTTTTGATGTAAGGTTTCGTATGCCCCCTTACATCAAATAATAACTTAACCGCATGCTCACAATTGCTTGTGTGCTGACTGCTGATCACACTATGGGCTTATTCCACACAGTTTATTGAGTTTAGTTTGCAAATTTGTGACTGAATAAACATTTCTTATCAAACAAGAGATAAAATAATGATCAAGTTAAGGATCTTTTAGAAATGGGTGGCTCTGAAAAGAGCCGGTTGAAAAGATGGTGTATAGAAGTTCAGTGGTTGGGGGCTTGAGATGTTTACCCTCCGAAACCATAGAGTGTACGTCCTTGCCTCTTCAGAGCATAGACGACATCCATAGCAGTGACTGTCTTTCTCTTGGCATGCTCTGTGTAAGTGACAGCATCACGGATGACATTCTCGAGGAAGACCTTCAGTACACCTCGTGTCTCCTCATAGATGAGGCCAGAGATACGCTTGACACCACCACGGCGAGCAAGACGACGAATGGCGGGCTTGGTGATTCCCTGGATGTTGTCACGAAGGATCTTCCTGTGACGCTTGGCGCCTCCCTTTCCGAGACCTTTGCCTCCTTTTCCACGTCCAGACATGTTGTGTTATTCTTGTTTAAGAGATTAGAGCAACTGAGAGTGAACTTCAACTTGACAGTGACTGTCTTGGGCTCAGCTCAACCTTTTATATGAAATAGCCTCCTGGATGGCATCGTGATATTATTGCTGAGCTCAGCAGTCACGTGAGCTAAGTTTTGGCGCCAACCCACAGGGCCAAGTGATCCGCAAGGTCGAAATCTAATTAATTATTCATAGTTATTAATTATTCATAGTTAATAAGTTTATTAAGGAGAGTTAGCCACGCCTTTCTTTCAATCAAGAAAGGACACCATGCCTCCAAAGAGAAGGAAATTCGATTCCAGGTTCCCAGCTGTAAGTTACTCTGGCCTTACATCTTCTCAGTCTAGCTCTCTCCCTTGTTTTAGGCTCGCATTAAGAAGATAATGCAGCTTGATGACGATGTAGGAAGAGTAGCAACAGCTGTACCAATCCTGATATGTATCCTCCTCCACACATCATCCACACACACGTACACTACACACCAGACCAGCTAAATCAGTACATTAAATGAGAATTGTATCATTCTTGAAGCGTTTGGCCGTCAGATGAGTATTAAAATGTGTAGTTAATGAGTCTTGGCATGTGTACATTAGTTAAGTGAAACAGTTTTAAATTTCATCCTGTCTCTTTTTATTAAGTGTTATTTTCCTTAGCATTCCTTTAGCACGTGCTGTTGAGATATTCTTGCAGGCAATATTGACTAAAAGCAGTGAGTATGCTGGATCACGTAATGCAAAGACCTTGACCGTTGGTCACCTGTAAGTCAACTCGATTACTTTTATGATCATTATTTGAGTCAACAGGAAGCATTGCATTGAAAAGGAGGAGCAATGGGACTTTTTAAAAGACCTCACTGCCAAGGTCCCTGATGTTTCTGGCTGTAACGAGAATGAAGAATCACCTAAAAGAGGACGGTAAGTCATAATAATAATAATAATAATAATAATAATAATAATATAATAATAATAATAATAATAATAATAATAATAATAATAATTCATTTTTACTTTCTCTCTAGGAAAAGGAAGAATAGCGCATCAAAGGCTCCTTCTGGATCTGGCAGTTCAAGTAAGAAAAAGTTAAAGAAGAAAGCAGAAGAGCCAGAGGAGGAGGATGAAGATAAGGAGCAGGAGAGCGAACAAGAAGATGTATGTATTTTAAGCGAATAGTGAAACTATTGCAGTATTTCTTCCTTTTGCTAGGAGTCAGACACTAGTTCCCCTGCTTCAGCTCAAAGCAGTAACTCGACCAACAAGAAACCTTCAGTGGATCCTTCTCCACTTGCCATCCTACACAAACGACTTTCAGCAAACGTCTCCTCTTCATCTCCATCTCCTCCCTCCAGTTCTGCTCCTCCTCCTCCTCTTAGTACAACACAGTCTCCTCTCTCAGCTCTTGCTGCTAAACTCAATTCAAAAGCCACGCCCAGTCCCCTTCTTGCATATGCTAGTTCTCTTCCTTCAGCTAATGTAGCTGTTGCTGGTTTAGTGGGTGGGGCAACAAGCCATGGCAACAGTGACGAGGAGGACTATGATGCATGAAGTGGTTTCGTTGTTGTTCTTTCTTTTTGTTCCACTTTGAAAAAAAAAGATTATTAAAAATTTAAATTATTATTTAGTCCCTATAGAGTACAAAAGAAAACAAATTAAAATTTTATTTAAAAAATTTAGGCCACAAAATTATTAATAAATTGATTAAATTAAGTAAGTGAAGATAAATTTTGATTTGTGAATAGAATTAATGTCTAGATTGCATGTGTAAAAAGTCAATCAGGATGTTGAATCTCCTCTCCTTTCTCCTCTGTGACGTACAACAGGAGGCTCCTCCTCCCTTCCCTGAGTCCGGTAATTAGGAGGTGGGGTTCCAGAATGAGGTTGATCCTCAATGTCAGTGAAGTCGCTGACATCACTGGTAGCAATCTCGGTAGCCGAACTGATGGTACTCACGTTATCAGAAGTATCATTAGCTCTTGCTGCTCCTCCTCCTCCTGATCCATCTGGAATAAAGACAATAATAATAAGAAATATAGTCTTGTACTCTTGTTAGCTTATAATTTATATAAACCTGTTGAAAGCTCTTCAATATGTTCTTGTCCTCTTTCCTCATCTTCTTCCGGAATAGGCTCCAGCTATAAAATAAAAATTTAAAATCATTACACTCCCTCCTCACTCTCTTCTCTTACTCCTCCTCCTCCTCCCCCTGAGTGGCGTCTAGTGTTCACTCTGTGATTCAAGTATCTTTGCTGTATTCTGAACTGGTTCATTCTGTCCATCATCTTCCTAGCCCACAGTAGGACTGTCACGCCACTGATTGAAAAGAAGAGCCCACTCACTATTATAATAGCCATTGATATCGGCCAATGGTAGAGATAAAACCTAACATAATGTACAATTATATTTTTGGTAAGTAGCGTGCTCGTTTATGTATAAAAAAGCAGTATAGAGTAGTTGATGTGCTTACGATAATCCAGTAAAGTTAGCATCAAATGTGAGTTTGGTTGAGTATAACTGTATCTTGTGAGACATGATAGTCACTATGGCATTAGTAGACCCGTCAGACTGTAAAAGAAAAAGAGAATATTTATTTTTAAGTTTTTACTAATCGTACAAAGTGTGATTCCTGGAAGTTATCAAACATGACGACAGAGAGTGTTTGCTTTTCTTCCGTTAGGCCAAGGACAAGAGGAAAAGAGAAGAAAGCAGTCGAGAGAGTGTGCAGCAATGACGACTTGTAATGGAGGACAGCCTATGAAAGAAGGAGGAACATGGCAGGTTTGAAGAGGAAGTGTATACTCACTGATCTAATGGAGGAACCAGTAACTTTACCGGTCTTTGAATACAATGTCAGATTAACCATGAACATACCTGAGGGTACATACATGTATGTAAATCAATGAAAGGAGAAGAGCCTTCTTGTTTTTTTTTTCACTTACCGAGATCAGCATTCTGTGGACTCTCTGGCATTTCAAGCTCAACGGCTATGGAGTAGGCATGGCCTGGAGTCAATAACCTGTCACCGGAACTGGAGAGGAAAAACTCAGCCATTGGATATGAACAGGACTAAGGGGAAAACAAAATTGGGACATTCTAAATGGCCATAACTCAAAAAATTCAAGTCGGAATCAGCTCAAACTTTTTATATAGCATAAGCACATCAATATGTATCAGAAAATGTAATAAAAATTTGGGGTGATTTTGGAGCCATTTTTTTGGAAAAAACCATGGGCTATAGTACAGGGAAATTTTCAGATTTTGGCACATTTCTTCAAATAGCCATAACTCAAAAATTTGAGCTTGGAATCAGCTCAAACTTTCTACACAGCATAAGTACATCAATATGTATCAAAAAATGTAATAAAAATTGGCAGTGACTTTAGAACCATTTTTCGGAAAAAACCATGGGCTATAGTACAGAGAATTTTTCAGATTTTGGCACATTTCTTCAAATAGCCATAACTCAAAAATTTGAGCTTGGAATCAGCTCAAACTTTCTACATAGCATAAGGACATCAATATGTATCAGAAAAATGAGTGAGAGCTTAAATGATAGAATTAAATTATAATTATTCATACCTTTGCTTCATTTCGAGGTATCCGATTGAATGCAAAGTTTGAAACAGAGTCCTGATGATGTTCTCCAGTGAGACACTTAGGGCTGAAACATAAAACATAAACACGATCATACATAAAACACGCACTATCTACAATAAACGTTATAATCAGTTCATCAGTAGAAGCTGAATAAATACTTTAATACAAAACATGACTCTTGTGGAATGCAAAACAAGCCTCATCATCATTCCAAATATAATGGACTCTAATAAATTATTATTAAAGAAATGAAATTATGAAATTCCTTTGTAATTTTACTCGTCTCCATATAAACAGCATACTAAATAAAGCCAGTACTAAATCAGCTTATACTGATATAAAAGCACCCCATTGGCTCAGTACTCACAATAGTATGGTACATTTCACATGCACAAACACTAAAATTGCATTATTCTTTATCAGGAGTTGTGTTTTTATAAAGTCTCATGTTATAGTGATCCTATCTTACTTAAAGTAGAGGTGGACCGGTAGAATGTGGGTCTTCTGTGGTACCATTAGCTGCCTGAGGACAGCATAAATTGTCATTGATAAGAAGAGATAGCTCATGAAGATGATGAAGGTAAGGGCGAGTTTCATGAAGAATCCTCTCGTGGCATTGAGAGCAAACTGCCATACTCTGTTTAACCGATTGAATAGTCTTGAAAGCATCCTAATATAGCTCCTTTCTAGTGTCTTTTGATGCTCCAAAATCAAGTCCTCCTTTGGTGAGCTTTAATTAGAACAAATATTTAACTTATAGGTGTAGTCTACCACGCCCGTATGAATGCGTAGGTGTACCCACGTGCTTTCATGTGGTTAAACATGGCGACCGGAAATAGTTTTATTTTCCCTGGATTAGTTTTATCTGGAGGTATTGCAGTGTTTTATGTGATTGCTGTATTGTTTGGGGCACCAATCTTCAGGTGGGGGAGCAGAACTAATTTTTAGAATTAAAATTACAATTATTTTATTTTATTTTTAGTCAGTTTTACGAAACTATGCTCTGGTCCACATTAATGTCCTCATTAATATTCATACCCTGCTTAACATTATTGCAATGGACACCCAATGAATGGACGGAAACTCTTTTATTTATGTAAGCTATCACAGTAATTGAATAAAAATAAAATAAATTATTTAATTTTATAGTAAAAGTCGATATACAATGAGGCAGTTTTATTGTGCAGTGAATGCAATAGCTGTACTGACGGGTTCATGGATAGGAGCAGCTGTACTGTTACTAGACTGGGACACTCAATGGAAGGTATGGCATACATTACATCTACTGTATCTACTCTTGTACGTGTAGATAAATATTTAATTATATGTTGTAATATTGAAATGTGTAAAAAGGTTGGGCCAATTTTTAATGATTGAATTTTTGTTGTAGGCGTGGCCCATTCCATGTTGTATTGGCTCATTACTGGGAGGTGTGGTCAGTTTACTGATTGTTATAATGAGACGCCTTTTTTGGTAACGTGTGTGTGTGTGTATATGCGTCTGTATACATGCAAGGGATTGCCCTAGGAAGATCCCCTAATTAAAAGATACTTGATTAGCACAAGAACATAATTAATTTGAATATATACAAGTATGATTGGAATGTCGAATAACCTGTGATTTCCTGGTATTATTTTGTTCATTAATTGTTCTATATTTAACTGAATGAGGCAACAATGCATGCCTTTGAAGAATCATTGTTTGATGCCTGTATTGGACGCCTTTTCTGTCTTGAGTTTCTTTTCCTAAGAGCCAAAACTAATCCAAATATGAGCAGTACTGTCATGAAAGACAATGGAGTTATTATAAAGAACCATATCAATATCATGATCAGTGGTCAGAGCTTCCTTTATCTTATATAGTGTGGTTTAGATCTATAAACATGGAGAAGAGTTATCAGTAATTGATCTTCTGATGTCAACGTACTGGTTTTTATAATGCGGTCAGTTGAGTTAGGTGGCCTGAGCTAGCACGTGATAACACATGCATTATTCATAGCTTTATATCACGAGATTACAGTGGGATTTGGGAGGGTAGTATCTTTAGTCTTATCAATTCTTATTGTTGCTATATGACCTTCTCCGTCTCTCTCTTCCTTTCATTAAATACCATTGCTCAAGCAGTAGGGATATTTACTGGGAAATTTTCTCCCAAACTGCTGGCTATTTGAATTGTAATAAATTAAATATTTAATTATTATAGTAATATTGAAATGTGTAAAAAGGTTGGGCCAGTTTTTAATCATTGCATTTTTGTTGTAGGTGTGGCCCATTCCATGTTATATTGGTTCATTACTGGGAGGTGTGGTCAGTTTACTGATTGTTATAATGAGACGCCTTTTTTGGTAACATGTGTGTGTATGCGCCTGTATACATGCAAGGGATTGTAAGACCCCTGTCTAATTAGAAGATTGATGATTGACAAAAGAAAATAATTAATTTGAATATTAACAAGATTGGAATAATTAAATGATCTATGACCTGTGTCAATATAATTAATTAATTTGACTATTAACAAAAAGATTGGAGTATCGAATAACGTACGACCTATATCAGTATGTCTCTAATATTTGGTTTATTGTTCTATTCTTTGGAAGTTATAGGAATACATAACGTGATTTTGATTTTTTATTCACTTCCTGTATTGGGTATCTTTTCTCACACATTTTCTTGAGCACCACTATCAAGCCAAATCCAAGGATGAGCATCAGGCTTATCAACACAATTGCTAGTATCATATTAAGGCCAGTTTCCTTTCTGTGGTCTAGATAAAGAGATTATCAAATTATTATTAAACTTACTACCAGTAGTCACGTGAATTACACGCGAGTTACACGCGAGTTACACGCACGTAATAAAACATTTCATTGGCTTTAATATCAATAGATCATTGGGAGGGGTAGCTTATCAATTCTTGTTACTATAAGTATATGACCTTCTCCGTCTCTCTCTTCCTTTCATTAAGTACCATTGCTCAAGCACTAACTGTGGAATTTACTCCCAAACTGCTGGCTATTTGAATTTTACCTTTTCAAAAATAAAAAGTAAAAAGTATGGCATACATTGTATGCATTGTATGTTAGTACATGGTTTTAGGTCAGCATCATATGCTGTAAGTAACTTCAAAAGCTCTCTTATCATTGAAGCTCGTCACTTTATTTTTAGTATGGCAAAGTGATGGTACCATCAGACATTTCCTTTCACGACGTTCCTCTTCATTTTCCTCTTCTTTTGAGTAATGCTTCTCACAATGGCCATCTCTCTCTGTTTGTCTTTTCTTCCTTCTTGAGATGTGGATTTTATGGCAGATCTTTCCCAGTAGTATGAGTAGAGTGACCAGGAGGCCTCCTATCAGCCATAAAGTAACTCCAATGACCATCATTAGGATTTGAATAATCATGATAAACAAAAGAATAACTTCCAATATCATGTTCCTCCTTCTTGTCAATGGATAGAGTAAGTCACGAGATGGAGTCTTGGTTGAAATCAAAGTTTTGGTATAGTTTCCTTGCTAGCCCTTACAACAGAGCTGTGTTTTGTCTCTCCTTTGCTAACGGGACCAACCAACTGTGAATAATCACACTTTTCATGTGACTCTGTCCCTTTTTTGGGCATGGAATTAGAGCATGATAGTAAAATTCTTCCGGAACACCCATCGCTATTTAATAATACATGTACCGGTATGTATATGTACACAGGGCATTTATTAGTTGTTGTATTGGCAAATCTGTTTACTATATCTTTTGTCTATATTTGGTGCCAACATCCTTAAACTGTGTGATGTTATGAAACTTTGTATGTACAATATTTATGAAATATTTATGTATATATCTAGTTGCTTTGCTGTTTATAAATGGAAGTATTTGCTCAGCTGATTGCAATGGAGACCTTTTGCACTTTGTGATCTCATTCCAAATTGTTGCTCTATGTTACTGTGTTGTGTGGTTATGTTTGCTGATTATTGCATGTTCTGTGTTACAGTTACTGCTTCATATAGTGTCTACATGTACTGGTACTGAATATCTGTTTTAAAGTTAGAATTGTTGGTAGGTGGAGTAATTTATTATTGAAGTGGGTTTGGCTATTATTTAAATAGGGGCAGGGGCTATCCCAGGGAAAACCCCCTTCTCAGTCATTATACTATGAAATTCAAAAATCATTGTTATTGGAAATTAGAAACAGAACAGCTGTTCATTGCATTATTTTCACAACATTAGATTAAGAGAACATGATATTATGATTATTTACAATAATAACTTAATGGAATGATTAGTTGATTACAGAAATATTTAATACACTACCTGTACTTAATGTAAGTATATTGTTTAACAGTATCTCTCTATTTATCATTGGAATTATGAACGTAGTATCCAAAACTTGGTACGAAGCATACATTTTCATCGTCTAAAGCTTGATCCGTCTCCTCTGTTGGATGGGCCTTTTTTCTATTAGCATCAATACAATACAGTATTATTATTATTATTATTATGATAAGGATTGCTAATAGAACAGTGACTAATAATATCCCTACTATTAGCCATACTAAAGCTGATGGCTCCATCCAAACCACTTCAACGACTACCAATATAATGGGAAGACCAATGTATACATACCATTTCATTATCATAGCCTATAATTATGATACACATTGATAGCTAATAGATATAGACGCAGCTTACTTGAGTAGTAGCTTTCAGCTTTTATTGTGTCACTACTTTCACTACTACTATGAAGACAATCCACTTTGTTTAAGTCTTTGTTAAACTGACGCACGGCACGTGACCTAATTAACCATGAATATTGTTAATATGATATTTGATGCTCTATAATTATTTTTATTCTATCAAATTATACCTTTGTAGTGTAGTATCATTTTACATTCTATTGATAGCTGTGGTGTATCTGTAATTGCTTGAGGAATGCATTTTGTCATTCTTTTACACATTATTATGATGTCATGATGATGTCATGAATTTGTGTTGAGGTAATTTCCCTGGAAATTTCCCCACCTCTCATTTATTTTTTTCTTGAATTTTACTTTATTTAAATTCCATATTTTATTTTAACTAAATTACAATGGAGACCTTTTGCACTTTGTGATCTCATTCCAAATTGTTGCTCTATGTTACTGTGTTGTGTGGTTATGTTTGCTGGTTATTGCATGTTTTGTATCACTGCTGCATAGTGTCTACATGTACCATGCAGTACTGGATAACTTTGAATTGTTGGTAGGTGGAGGAATTGGGTTGGGTTATTATTTAATAGTGCTGGGGGAAATCCCCTCTTAGCAATTTTTCAAAATGGAAGAAATATTTGATCCACTATACTATTATTTTCACAACATAGAATCATTAATTAGATCAATAAGAAAATATGATATTATTTACAATAATAGCTAAATAGAATGGCTAGATGATAGCAAAGGTTTTTGATTATAATGACTAGTGCTACAATATGTGTCCCTATTTTATATTAAGATTCAGTGTTGAAATCTTAATTGATGGTACGATAAATCTATCTTTTTCTTCTACTTTATTTGTTTCTTCTATTGGGCTCACTACTTTTTTGTCCGCATTCTTTTTTTTAACGTAACACAGCACCACAACAACAGCGGTTGCTAACACAAGAGAAAAGGACAGAAATATCTTTTGTTTTGTCATCATCCTATAACTATGATGCATATTGATAGCTAATAGAGATAGACACAACTTACTTGGGCTCTAGTTTTTATAATATCACTGATACTATAGATACCAATCTCCCTTATTAGCTTAAGCCCGTGCGTGGTAGGCACGTGATCATAATGTACTGTACTGTGAATATATGAATATGATAATTGATAATATAGTTATTCTATTTTATCAAAATAGTGTAGTACGTATCATTTTGCACTCTGAATTATTGTTGCTATGACAATGGAGGAATTTTGCATTTTTGTGTTTGCTTATACTTATAGTATGGTATAGTGTACTTTATAGTTGTAGATGTGTAAAGTTTTAATTGGTTGTGGGTGGGGGGAATTTATTGAAGTGGGTTGGGTTATTGGCCTCCCAGGGGATTGGAATTTAAAATCATTATTATTGGAAAAGACAGCTGATTCACTGATTACGTTAATGCTATTTATTTTCATAACATTTGATTAATGGAAAAAGGACATATGATATTTACATTATTAACACAATAATGTTATAACATGTGACTAGTACCTGTAGCAAATAATTTAATTTCCATTATTATTGAAATTGTAAAAACAGTACCGGTAGTCAAATGTTGGCACAAAAAACATAACTTCTTCGTAACGAGCCTCATCTGTCACTTCTGTTGGATACATTATTCTTCTATTAACATTGTTTCTATTAGCCCAATACAAGATTATTATTATTACTAGAACTGGTAATGGAATGCTGATAAATAATAGTGATGCTATGATTGATGTAATAGTTGGCTGTATCCAGACCAAAAAGACCAACAATAGAAGGACTGAATACACGTATACATAGTGCTCCATTATTATAGCCTATTATAATTATGATAAATAGATAGCTAATAGATAGAGATAGGCTCAACTTACTCGAATATATATCAATCTTTGCTTATCTTCAGCTATTATAATGCTGGTATCACTATTGCTATTATCTCTTTGTTTAGCCGATGCGCGACACGTGACCTTAATTAACCATGAATATTTTAATATGATACTTGATACTCTATAGTTATTCTTATTTTATCAAAATATACCTTTTTGGTGTGGTATAGTTGGTATCATTTTACACTCTGATACTGATAGCTGTGATTTGTTTGTAATAGCCTTAGGTATGCATCTTTTGTTCTTTCGCATGTGATGTTGTGATGATGTCATGAATTCATATTGAGGTAATTTCCCTGGGAAATTCCCCATATCTTTCATGCATATTCTTGCTTGCATTAGACTTTATTTTTATGAAATAATCATAATAATAAATTATAATAGATTAAATGATAATTATAGAGATTATATTAGCATAAATGATTAATTTTATATTTAAATATTATACACATATTTATAATTCCTTGCATATGTTAGATTATGTGTCCAAGTCCAATATGATTGTAGAATGTGTTGTTTCAGAACATATTCTACACAACATAGATATTCCCTTCTCTCTTGTATCCTTTGCTACACAGTGAAGGAAGGATGTGAGCTCTCATTTTATCATAGACATCTTTATCCGTTGCTTGCATCGGATATTTGATTTTTCTTTCTTTCCTCCTTCCACCAAGACAGCAATACAAGAGAGCGATGAATATGCCTGCCATAAAGACCAGTCCTGCCATAATGATGAACTGAATGACCCAGGTGGCTGTAATGGCAAAGACACTAGTGATCACTAGCATTAGTGACATGAGGAGATTGATGAGTAGCAATGCAACTATCAATGATATTGGATCGGTCATCTTGCTTTAGATGTCTCCTTTTCACTCCTTTTAGAATGGTTCCTAGCTGCCTGCTATTAGTCCCTAATTCCCCTACTTGTATATACCTATATGGTAGTAATTCTCCTACAGGCATATACCTAACCACACACACACAAACAACTTACCTTACCTCCCGTCTCTCTTTGTTAGCTTACACAATAGCACTTATGAATAACACGGCCTTCCTCCGTATATTTATGTCAATTGTTATTCATAGTAGCTCTTTGCCGAGACGGATGTTAGTGCAGTTTTGATTATAATGATAGCTAAGTAGATGATGTTAGTAACATGTTGTTGTAACTTAATTCAGTTTATTTTAGAATATCTATTGCTAGTAAACAATGTCTTTATGTGTATGTACATGTATGTATTCAATGTAAATGTAGTATAAACTGCCTTACCATAATTATAACACTGTTTTGCTGAGCTAACAAAAATGTATTGAGTAACAATATAATACATGCATATACAGCCAGTAGCAATAAGCAGCTATACAATACTATTGCAATTATTGTTAAAAGTTTTAAGTATATTTTTCAGCAGCAGCAGCAGCAGCAGCAGGAAGAGGCCAGTTCTCCTTTGGGTTAGGAGAGACAGACATTTGTAGGCAGATAACACAAAGAGTAAGGGTGAAGTACATGAATAACAGACCAATAACAGTCTGTTCAATGATGTATGCGTCAATGTGGTCATTTGTTAACAGATATGGTCAATTGGTGGTACCAAATTGGTAACACATATGGTACAAATATGGTAACAAATATAGTCATTTGTTAAAATTGTAACAAGTGTAATGAGGTTTATAAAAATGGCCATTGGCCATTAACCTCAGTTGTATAGGCTGCTGCCTATATAAATGTGATTAAAATTGTGTTGAGCCTTAAGCTAAGCTTAGGCTTGTTTTTGCACTACCTAGCTACATGTCTGTCTCTCCGACCCTTAAGCTATGACCCTATTGGAACTTAAGTTCATTGGGAATATCATTCTATAAAGAAAACATGACACAGGAATGTTGACATACTTACCCGGTGACAGGAGAGTGTATACCGGTATGGGTTTGATCTGTTGTTACTTCTTGGATTGGGTAGTTGTCTGTATAACCAGGGATGGTATTAATACCTTTACTACTATACCACTTAATAGACCAGCCTATTACTACTCCAATAGAGACTCCTATTATGATAGATTGTAGATCCATTGTCATCTGAGGTCACCTTTTCCTTGGAACTAGCTTAACAATGGACATGCAAGTGTGTCAACATGTTGTTCTTTTTACATTTATAATTTTAGGATGAATTGATATTTATGAACATGATTCTTATCAGTTGTGACATGTGACATTTAATTGCATTCTTTAACCATTGTCTTACTATTGTTGATTTTAGCTTAATTAGGTGATTTCCCCGGGAAACCCCCACAACTTAGCTCAGCAGTTTGAATTAGCTGTTGTTGTTAGCAAATAAAGAGGAAAAAGATTACAAAAAAACAATTACAAAAAAAAGATTACAAAAAGAACCATAAACTGAGATTTAATATCAATAAAATGTTACTGTTCTGTCATGCAAGGGTCTGGAAAGACAGATGGTAAGCAAGACAATTGATTTGGTTTGCCAAGGATTTCTAAACCGTCTATAACACACATTGAATCAATGCATTGAATTGTGAGACTTTTAGCTAAGAGTCACAACATGCCTTCAATGCCTTCAATGTGGTTAATTGTGAGGAAAAAATTAATTACATCGTTCACTAAACGTATGTAATTCTGGCTCCATGAGACAATAATCATCTCAATGAAAGGCTATACCCTATACCAAGAGTACTCTTGCCTATACCCTATGCGCTTTCTGCAAGTTACATCTCATTATGAGGAAAACTCGCATAGCTGCAATTCCTCTGGAGGCTAATGTGATTCACGTTAAACATATTGATGCTAAACGTTTTATTAGGCTCCTTGTTTACTTTACATAATGTGTAAAGTAATTCGTTCATATAGAAGCTCACAGTGGCTAAAAATGGTTTGCGTACAACTGTTGTAGAGGGATTCCTTGGCACTAATGACTTCCACAATTGTTGTAGGGCACAACCAGCCTGACTGGATATATATGAACCTTTAGACGTCAAGTGCGACAACTTCTGTCTTCACACAGCCTATGTTAAACAAAAGGCCTATGGATAAGACTTGTCACACTTTATAAAAACCCTATTAAAAGTAATAAAGTATAAAATCTCATCATATCAAAGTCATAACTTACTATATCGTTTGCCTGCTCTCCATCTGTCTCTCCTGGCCCTGGCATCATCAGACAATTGAAGGTCCTTGGGATGCTCTTAATGGCATGAGCCTCCTGTATAATAGAACCAGTAATAATCATTGTGCATAAAAATCATATTTTAGCTTACCCATCTGGAAGATGTATAGCAGTATGTAGCTGATCACGACTTGTTTCTTGATTTGGGTAGGGAATGTCATCATTAACTGGTAATGCTCTAGTTTGATGATTTCTGCGTGATCTTATTGCTCTTGGTAATGATACCAGCAGAGTAGCTAGGTTGATAATGTTGTTGCTAGATCTTAAATTCAACCTAAAGGACACTTCAATTGATCTGAGATCCATTTTATGGCCAGGAGAGACAGAAGATACTAGATTCTCAAGAAGAAAGTTCTCTAAAAGGTACTTGGTTTTAGTAATAGGCTTCCAAAGAAAACAATGTGCAAAATAATATGAAGTTCACTTGTTTTATAATCACTCAGTCTGCTGTGTCTATTATTCTAAAATTAGTCACAAGTCATGATGAGCTAATGGGATCACGAGTTGGGAAGTACATTATGCAAATACTGTTGTTATGACAACTGATGATCACAATGATCTACTCTAAAATCTCTTTGTAGTTTGCAAGCAATTTATTTGCCAGTGAGTTTTAACATTTCGGCACAACAATGATTGACAGTGACATGTTATTATAATTAAATATTATTGTAAGGTAATGAAATACAAAAAGAATACTAATAATATTATTGTTCACAACATGTAACTAACATTATCCATGAAAAATTGTGCTCCCTAACAAAATTAGTTATTGTAATAAAATAGATCTACATGTAACTAAGAATAGTGTTTAGTTCAACAACCAGTAAACTAGTAGTGGGGATGTATTTGCTGCAATACCACAAGAGGGTTCAACCTGGTGCTGTGGATAGAGAACAACAGAGCCTAGGGAAACACTTCCAATTCATCGGAATCCGATTCCATTCAGGGATCAAATTGATTTTTAAAATGCAATTGTAAACACAAATGATTTTCATTATTGGGAAACTCATTTGCGTTTGCAGTTGATTTTGAAAATAAATTTGATTTCTGACTGGAATCAAATTCCGATGATTCGGAGGTGTTTCCCTGATTCTGTTGTTCTCAACCCTCACAAGCCTAACGGCATGGAGTAGCTATTTGAACCACAACAGCCACATTTCACCAGCTCCTATGATACCACAGCTTCAGTCCACCAGCTACTGTTTACTGGGTCTGCCAGGGACGTACAGGATACAGTCGCCTCCACAGAGTTTAGGCGTCCCTGTAACTGGAGCTTTGTCAGAGCATTCAATAGGTCTGTTTATAGAATAGCCAAAAGGGTCGCCACCTTTCTCTTGAATAGGTTGACAGGTGGTGTTCTTGCTGTTAACAGCCAACGGTTTGAGGTAAGTGAAAGCAGCAGCACTGCTGACTATTGCTGTCAACGTAACGAGGAGAATAACAGAATTGGTAGACCAACCGATATCTCCAAGAGGATAAGTAGGAAAATAAAACGTTAACAGAATAAGAATAATGATGATACTAGCTGGGTTACCATCTTCTTCTGCTGCTCTATCACAATTGAAGCGTAGAGCTAAATCGGGGTCTTTCATCTTTTTCTCTTTGGAAAACAATGCCAATGGACTTTTTTAGAATCAATTGATAAGGAGAGAAATCCTTCGTAGCCGAAATGTACTCTTAATCTTGGTACTCGTGAAATGGTCAACTGTCTTGCCTTCAAGAGCTGTATCCGTGTGTCGACTGTCGACAAAGAAGAAAGCAAGTGATTGTTTTAAATAAGGTAGATCACGCGACATACGTAATACACTAGTACCAAAAATAGTACACGTTACTAAAAATACATCAATCAAACTTGAGTTTGCTGTGGAATGGTAGTATGATTGCTGTAATTATAATTAATATAATGATATTTAAATATAAAAATGCATTATAATTTGAAGTATTTAAAAACCTAAATGGATAAAAGATTATTATAATTTTAAAAGCTCATTATTGTTACTTTTATTTCCTCATCTTCTGATCCAGTGAATACAGCATCATACCACACTGCCATTGACTGAACTGCCTTCTCGTGCCTCTTAAGAGCCTGTATCGGTAACATGTTCTCTAAATCCCACACCTTGAGAAAGATACAGAGCATAAATACAACTCACACATTTTTTGAATTTGAATTTGATAGGTATATTACCCACCTGAACAGAGTAATCAGAGGAGCCTGAGAACATGTAGACGCCAGCTTGTGATTCTGTTACCTTAAGTACAGTCACACTACCAATATGACCAGTTAGTGTCGCAACATGATTGAGTGATGTGTTACTATAAACTTGAATATTCTGATTATGTGTACCTGAGAGGAGAGAGAGGAGAGAGAGAGAAAGAGAGAGAGAGAGAGAGAGAGAGAGAGAGAGAGAGAGAGAGAGAGAGAGAGAAAGGAAGAGGGAGAGAGAGAGTAAGGCTTATATATGTCACTTTTTGTATTGTACCTACCAACTATGAGGTATTTCTTGGTAACAGCAAGTGAATAAATGGCTCCATAGTTCAGACCCATTTCATTAACGAGACTAAAGTTTCCACCAACTTTCCACACGTGTAGTTTGTTATGAGAGCCAGTATAAAGAAAATCCTGTTAGTAATGAAGTAATGTAACCGTATGTAACTATGAGGATACCTTTCTTTTATCGTGTGCCATTGCTCTGATCCAGTGCGAGAGACCCTCCTTAGATCCTATGCTATGAATCTCATTAAGTGTGATCGGGTCCCAGAACTATAAAAATAATATTACATTGAATTTTAATTCTTGAGTGAGCAAGAGTTGTTTCTTCCTGCTTACTTTAATTGAAGCGAATGATGAAGTTATGACATAATCTTTAGTGCATAGCATTGCACTCACAATACCTTCATGAGCATTCTAACAAACAACAAGTACAATATATAAAAATTTTATATAAGCTTCTCTTATTTTTCTTACTTCTACTTTCTCCATTTCAGTTAGTGCTCCTAGTTGCCATGACTTAAGTGAAAGGTCGGTTCCTGTGCTGTATAATATACCACGCCCAACAGCTAAAAACATAGTCTGAAAGAGAAAATTAATAATGTATTTTTGTCTCATATTTTTAATTTAAAATTCTCTCGTCCCTCCTCCTCTGCCTCCTTACAGCTTCTTTGTGTCCTTGAACAGTCTTTAGACAGCCTCTCCTGAGGTCAGCAATGTCCCACACTTTAATAGTACCATCACTGCTTCCACTGAATAGACAGTCTCCAGACGTAACCAACGACCATATGGTACCTTTATGACCTCTTTAATAAAAATAGAGAGTGGAATGAGGAGTGAGATACATACATCGTGTGTAATAATCCATGCAAATTATGACATAATTAGTTTAATTACATGCACTATTGCACACATACATGTATATGCAATGATGAAATGTAATTATATTTTCTTTTACCTAAATGTCCCAATGCATTTTAATGTAAAAGGCATCCTCCATACAAAAGGGCCTCTTTCAGCTTCTGGTAATACGGTCAGTGAAGTAACTGATGAGTATGAATCAGAAGACCATCTTCTTGGATCAACCATTGTCCTAATAATATAAGAAATATACATAGCTTATGGATCATGATGGATCATGATGTAGTGTACACATCATTATAATCCTGGTGTTTTCCCTCTTTAGCAAGTGATAATGGCTAACAGTTTATTGTACCTTCTAGGATAAACTGGAGTCACATTTCCATCTCCAGTATTTGATTGGAATGGATGATGAGTTGCTGTTGTGAGTGGAGCTGGTGAGTGTGACTGGGTTGAATATTGTCCAGGAGCTCCTGCTATGCTGTTACTAGCACCACTCATACTCCCTGTACGATACTGTCTTAACTTGACCGATTTAAAGGATTCCATTTCGGCCTCTAGTTTGTCCATACGTGAAGTTACTGTGGTAATAGTTCTAAGGGAAGAGTGACATAGATAAATACGTATTAAGTAATACCTTGATTGTTGTTCAATACGAGAGTATAGATCTTTCTTTTCTTCGTTTAGTCTATTGACTGATTTTATTGCTTTCGTCAATGAATCCTCTAGTTCTTTATTTTGAACTTTAACAACTTTTAACTATTGGGTTGAAAGAAAAGTAGTAAATGTACAGAAGAGTTGGTGTGTAGTAAGTATGTACCTCTTTCATTGTGAGAGCTAAAAGTTGTGACTCATCGTGATAGACACATTTAGCTTTATGGCTGACAATTTCATCTTTGTTACCTTTGAAAGCACATCCTAAGAGAAAGGAGAGAGGGAGAGAGAGACTTTGTAACATGCGATGACTTGAGAAAGTTAAGTCACATTATAATGAAAGGGACTGGACGCTAATTGCAAGACTATGATTGAAATACCCTGTACTATAGTACAGAAACATTGGCCCGATTTTTAAGTAACTTTAAAAATTCGAAAAAATCTAATTTTGATCGGAATCAGCTCAAACTTGATATACAATATAAAAACATGTATGTGTATCAGAAAAATTATAAAAATGGAAAACTCTCTCTTAATCAATTTTGGAAAAATTTGGCCAAAAACCCTGTACTATAGTACAGGGACTTTGGCCCAATTTTGAAGCAACTTTAAAAATTCGTAAAAAATCTAAACTTGATCGGAATCAGTTCAAACTTGATATACAACATAAAAACATGTATATGTATCGGAAAAAATTATAAAAATGGAGAATTCTCTCCTAGTCATTTTTGACGAAATGCTATGCATAGTGTTAAACTTACCAAAATCAGTATAAGGACACGGAATGTTAGGGCAAGACAGAACGTGTTCATCTAATTCCCTCGTCCTAATTATCCCACACTCCTCCCCTCCCAGCGGACACCTCACGTGAGCGTAAGTACAGGATCTCTCATGTTCCTCTCTTGATCCCAACTTAAGTACCTCCGGACAGCCAGCGGGGTCTCTCTCGTAACTCAGCCCACCATCACGTGAGACGATCCCATAGCAGCAGTATATAGACAGGTCGTCTATTTGACCTATGACTGCTTTGTTGACCACTAACGAGCTTGATTCGCAGGCTATTCCATCAAGAGGGCAGGAGTTGCTTCCTTCCTTGGGGTCAATGCAAGGACGACAGAAAGTGTGTCCGCATTGAACTGATATAACTGGAGCGGTAAATACTCGTCTGCATATGGGGCAGATGAGAGCTGGAGGCTCCTCCAGGAATTTTGTCGGCTTGTCTTTTGCTCCCTTGGACGCCATTGCTGTACAGCTGAGTGTTTCTATTTATAGCTTGTGTTATTTTTAGTATCTAGAGACACGTGAGAACGCGTGACTAGAGGTATCCTCACAAACAAAGAAGTAAATACTTAATGGTGATTAAGACAAGATAGAAACAATCTGCTTAAGATAAATTTGTACAAATTAGTTGTAGAAGATGTGAAGAAAAAAACAATACAAACATTATGCAAATTTTGCAACACCAGCCACTCCTCCGCATGATCACGTGATCCAGCTAAAATCAAAATGGCCGGAACAACTTACTCCTCTCAAACTTTAAAAGATTTTGAGCCAGTAAGAGAGAGACCTCTTTTCACATGTACACTAACCCTCTCTTCTACTCTTCCCCTTACTGTCATTCAGGAGTCTTTTGTCCTCGACAAATACATAGAGAAATTGGCTCAGATGGATCCCAACACTGGCCTGGGACCATTGAGCAAAAAACAGGACATGCCTTTTGACTCTGAAGTGCTACTGGCATCCTTTAAAGTAAAAACAACAATAGATGAATGTAATCTTACATGTCTCTCTCTCCCCCTCTCTCTTTCTCTCTCATTAGACTAGTCTGGGTCATCTTCACGATCTCAGTGACAAGATCAACAAACGTGTTGAGAGATTAGAGTTTGTGTGCATGAAACAAGAGAGGGACCACCAGGCCCGTGTCAAAGAACTGGAACCAATGTTTCAAGTATGGGAATGAGAAAAGAGAGATTAATAAAACATTTAATGATACTATTACTATTACATTATGTCATTATTACATCATTATTTATTGTAGGATGCTTTTAGTGAGTTTCAAGTCCTTGAGGATCGTATTACGTACGTGGCACGTAAAGTGGTCCATCTTGGTGACCAGCTGGAGACATTGAACGCACACAGACAGAGAGACATTGAGGCTCACAGGCTGATGGACATTTTATCAGAATTTAAGGAAAAATCCAAACCATCCTGTCCAGAATTTAATGACGCGACACGGGTAATTAATATTAGTGTGTGGGTGTGGTTTACGTTTCTATAGTTACCCGAAGCTGCTGATCTGATACACAAGTTACATACACTTGTATCTGAGCTGCCTAAAGCATTAGAGTAAGATAGGAATATACAACAAATGTACTTTTTATGGATCGTGTGTGTGTGTTTATGTACATAATGTTCCTTTTACCCTTTTTATTCTAATCCAGGTATCAAGAAATGAGAACTAATATTCTCGAGAGATATTTTGACATTCAGCAACAGCTGGTGGGTAAGTTCTGTGAAGCTCTCTCAAGCTCTGACGTCAAGAGAATGAGAGTTTATGCTTCGACGCTTCAGAATTTCCCTGAAGTAAGGAGACAGAGGAACACATAAATTGGATAATTTATGTATATTTATTTAACTCTATAGGGAGCCAAGACTTGTGTAATAAACTACATTGCTCACCATATCGCTGTGAGTTGGTATTAATTAACTATTATTATTTAATAACTATCATATCAGACTCTTAACCAGTCTGGTAGTACGGGAACTGAAGATGTTTTCAGGAACGTTGAGCAACGAAGTGCTAAGGTAAGGCGGAGTCACGTTTAGAGGTGTCACATGACTGTCACATGATCAGGTATACAAGCAAACAGTCGAAGTGTTTGATGCGCCTGATGATATAATGATGAAATACATACAACAGGCTACTGAGAAATATCTTTTTGTGAGTAATTGGATACTTTTAAATTGATATGTCAGCCATGATGGTTATAGGATCACGTTTCAAGAGAGCTCCAAGATGCTGGCAGTAATAATGTTGAGCAATACCTACATAAACTATTTCAGCTTCATCTGAGGTATTTCAATATTACCGGAAACCGTGCTCTTTCAATTAGGGTAATTATGGTAGGGCAATGATCCTCAGAGACAGTTTAGCAAAGCTTGACAATAAATTTGATCGTGCGTTTTTAACAAAGTTACTTCGTGTGAGTTTGTTCAGCGACCATTTATCAGGATATGCCGAGTAAGGAAAATAATAATAGTAATGATGATGATCAACATTCTTTGCTAATTAGGTCAGAGGTCCATAATCTTGAGAAGAAATGTCAATTTTGTATCGAAGAATTCAATTCATCAGTCGGGATTGTAAAGAAAGGAAACAACGTCAGGTATTCAATCATATGATACTCTCATCACCCGATGATGTCTCGTGTTGTTATATTGCAGTAGAGCAGCTGGTCAGCAGATGATACTGGACTCATTATCAAGTCCTGACGAAGCCTTTATATCGGAGAACGTGTGCACGAGCATACTGAGTGAATCTAAGAACTCAATTAAGAGATGCAAAGAGGTATATGACCATGAGAGAGAGAGTATATACATTATAGATGCATCTTGAATTACTGGTGTGTGTTTTTCTCTATTAGTTGCTGGTGGATAGGGAGCTCTCTCATGCAATGAGGGATATATTCCTGACTGTGTTTGGAGCTTTGTCTGATCACTTTACTACAGCTCTTGATCTTGCTAGTAAGTGATGTACACATACATGTATGTGTGTCATTAAAACCCATCCTTTTCTAGTCGACGTTAAAGTAGCCCCCACTGGTCTATTCCTTCAAGTTGTTGGTTGCGTTAATAAGAACATCCATCTTATAGAGAAACAGTTCAGAGAAATAATACTACCAGCCATTCAGTAAGAGATAGAGTATAATGTGTATATTCCACCCACCCCCCCTCTCTCTGTAAGGTATGCTCCTGTAGCAGCTGCTTGTAATGAAAAGAAGAGAAGTCACATGAGCAAACTAGAGACAAAGATTGAAGCTGGGACTGAGAAGTATTCTTAGAGAAGATTATTGTGCTCCATTATTCCTTGCTGCTGTAGGTCCATAACTGCCATGGTGGCATCACTCAGTCAAATATTATCAACTCAAAAGAAGACTGATTATAAACCTGATGAGCCTGGGATACCTCAAATGTCTTCAGTTAGTTTTTGACAGCTGCACATCCTTGACTCTTCCTTCACTTTTCCCTCTTCATTATTATCAATTGTGCCCTTCCTATTCACCTCTCTCTGTCTGTCTTTCTCTCTCTCTCTCTCTCTCTCTCTCTCTCTCTCTCTCTCTCTCTCTCTCTCTCTTCCCTCATTAGGTCTGTACTAAAGCTGTATCTCACATAACCCAATGTACCAAGGTCATCAAGATGTCATTCGATGGCAAGAATCAAGAGATTATCCTCCTTGAGTTTGGCATCAGAGTCCATCGCGTTCTCTTTGAGCACATACTGACATTCTCTGTCAGCTCTGCAGGTTAAAATGATTGTAGTTATACCCCATTGAATACATAAATTTTTGAATGTTTTATTTTAATATTATAATTGCAAATGATACCTTCTTGTATTATGTTACCATTCAAACATCTGTAGGTGCTATGTTCTTGATTTGTGATGTGAATGAATACAGAAAAGGACTTAAAGAATTTGGAGTGAGTACTATACCCAATTTTATTTCAGTGGTAAGCGATCATCTCTTTTTTTTAGATACATTTTCTTGACGAGGTCTTTGAGAACCTTCAGACCCTGTGCAACCTTTTTATAGTGAAACCTGAGAACCTGAAGCAAGTCTGCTCCGAAGAACCTTATGTAAGGATGATATGGTGGAATGAAGAGTAGGGAGAGAGAGAGAGAAAGCAGGTTTTGTTAATTGTCACTGTTGTTGTGTATTGGGTTTGTTTTAAAATATTGTATGCGTTTATAGGTGAGATTTGATCGTGCTGTCATTACCAGAATGATTCAACTCAGAACTGATTATAAGACTTCTAAAATTGGAAAAATATTCAACCATTGAAGTAGTCAATATCAACATGTAGCCTTATATGTTCCTGTCTGTGTGTCTTTTTATAATATTGAAATAGCTGCAATTATGATAGAATTCCGTTAATGTAAAGCAGCAGCGTAATTTGTGCTATGAACGGCTTCTGTCACCTGGCTCTCCCCACACTTAATTTAACAAATATGTATCTTTATTTGCTACTGTAATTGGTACTAATGCTAAAAATTGTCAAGAATGTTAGTAACAAGAATTTTTCTCCCACTCCTCTTATCTGAAGATTGTTTTGGAAAGATATCCAACCATTGAAGTAGTCGATATTATCAACACGTAGCCTTATATGTTCCTATCTGTGTATCTTTTTATAATATTGAAATAGCTGCAATTATGATAGAATACCATTAATGTAAAGCAGCAGTGTGATTTGTGCTATGGGGAACGGCTTATGTCACCTGGCTCTCCCCACACATTATCTAACAAATGTGTCTTTATTTGGTACTGTAATTCACTAGTAATCTGTTAGTATTAATTTCAGGTGGATCCACCAGTCTACCAATAGCTTCAGTGAATATGAACCCAGCAATGACAACAAGGAACAAATCATTAATGAACTCAGAGTATCTCTACTTGCCCATAACCAAACGAATAGAGACATGCAATATTATCAACACGTAGCCTTATATGTTCCTATCTGTGTATCTTTTTATAATATTGAAATAGCTGCAATTATGATAGAATACCATTAATGTAAAGCAGCAGTGTGATTTGTGCTATGGGGAACGGCTTATGTCACCTGGCTCTCCCCACACATTATCTAACAAATGTGTCTTTATTTGGCACTGTAATTCACTAGTAATCTGTTAGTATTAATTTCAGGTAGATCCACCAGTCTACCAATAGCTTCAGTGAATATGAACCCAGCAATGACAACAAGGAACAAATCATTAACGAACTCAGAGAGTATCTCTACTTGCCCATAACCAAACAAATAGAGACATGCAATATTATCAACATGTAACCTCTGTCTTTATGTTCTTGCATGTCTGTGTATCTTTTTAATGATATTGAAATAGCTGCAATTATGATGGAATTTCGTTAATGTAAAGCAGCAGTGTACTTTGTACTATGAACGGCTTCTGTCATCAGGCTCTCCCCACACATCATAAACAAATATGCGTCTTTATATGGTACTCTAATTGGTATCTTGTTGGTACTAATGCTAAAAATTGTCAAGAATGTTGCTAACAATAAGAAATTTTCTCCCGCTCCTCTTATCTGAACATCTTTTCTCTATTCTGTTTCAACCAAAAGTCCATTAGGAGTATAATTATTGAATTATTGTTTCTCCCCTCTATTCTCTCTCTCTTAGGAGTATAAAATAGGACAAACTATAGCAATACAAAAGGCTGTGGCATGTATCTTCATGCCTGAATTTGTGCCAAATGTATTCTTGAGCTGCAATGACTGCTTTTGTTATTATTATAATTATTTAGTTAAAATAATAATAGATACTAATCAAAAAACTAAAACTGATACTAAGTTAAACTAAATGAGTTTTTGTGTCCAGTTGCCACTTTTCCATGGTCAATGTTATTTTCAGCACGGCATGTCAGGATTGCATTGATGGCATGTAGCTCCCTGGTAATTTAGACTTGTGTGAAAGCTACTTCCACCTCCACAGCAGCATTGGATGTTACTTGGCTGTTGCTTTGAAAAAAAAGAATAATAGCTTTGATATGGGAAAAGGTGTGAATTGACAGATTTACATGTTGAAATGATAGTGCGACAAATATACCATAAACTATTGTTAAATTTATTTTCTGGCAATTTCCTATGAATCTGCATGTCTAGCATCTGTGTTCATGCATCCCATTTTTCAAGATTTTATATGAGCATACAAAACCACACTGTTTGCTTATGGTTATAGTTTAACTACATGTACGTGGCACAACTGTTAAGATACCCTTCTACTGTTAAGAAGTACTTACAGTGTGGCTTCCAGTACAATCTTCTGTATTGTAACAATTGACTGAGCTCCAGGCACCAGTGAGAGTCAAGCATACAGCCATTAGCAGAGCTACTGCAAGCAAAACCTTCATCTTTTCAATTAATGGCAAACAATAACTCTTTCACTATGGTTTAAACTTTGGTAGCGTAGTAGAGTAGAATAGGAGACTACTAATCTGCATTTATATAGTGCTGCTCACTTTTAACCACACCTCTCAATTTTCCAAATAGACACTACTAGTAGTAGACACACAGCATCTCTGATACAGGCCACTACCCAGAATCAATGATTCAAGTCTGATGTCTATTTTGATACAGCCCTGACTGGCATCAGTGTTGAATCATGTCTGTTGCTATGGCTGATTATCATGATTGTATTGTATCATAGCTACTAGCTAGGCTGATTTAGTCAGGTGGGACCTGACCTTTGCTATGCAGGCTGCTCATGCAAAATCCATGATAAGGGATGTGTCAGGCTGGGTCATGATTGAAATGACTCAGATAAACATTCTTGGCTAAGTACTACATACAATCTAATCAGGCCAGTGAGGTCATACCACCTAACTTAGGCTAACTACATACATCACAATCATTGCCAGCTGTCAACAGCCCTTAATTGGAGTCTGTGTGCATATTAAATGCCCTGGAATGAATGATGATCACTCAATGTTTTAATTGTTCTGTTTATCAGGAAAATGCCTGAGGGGTGAGCATGAGCCATAAATTAACATGGTTTGAAATAAATTAATCCAGCTCTTAGTATTCTTTTTGAGACCATTACCTACATGCATCATTCAGACCCCATCCTCATTGTTGCATGGGGTCTCAAGTCTGAACAGAGCAAACACACCAACACAACCAAAATAACCCAGTAAAAAGAACAAGAATGAGTGCTGCCAGTTTGACACATGCAAATAAAAAACAAAGCCAAACAACTTCTATTCAAGCTCTTCCACAATCTTAATAATGAGGACTAATCTAGAGGGGACTAAACTTCTATCAAGTTTTCTTTCAGTTCTCAAACAAAAACTTGAAGTTGGTGGCAGACTGACTTGTTGTGAATCATTCACACGACTGTAGAATACCTTACCAAAAGAATCTTGTACTTTTCTTAAGTTACCGGTAGAGCTATTCGAGTAGCCTTTAGATAGCTCCCCTCTCTCTTATCTAGCTGTTAGCAAACTCAAACTGAGTTTGTTCCGTTTTAAAGCCACCATTTTGTTCATTGTGAACACACCCTCAAAATTAATTTTGTCCGCGTGGTCCAAATTTATCTACAGAGTCAAGAAAAGCTGACTGAGAGTAAAGCAGAGCTTCTCTGATCTGCAGGATTCAGGAATGGCAGAGCAGAGCTGACATGGCTGGATAGCATGCACTTTCATGCCTGAGTTTTGTCAAAAAGTAGCTTGATATATCCTTGAGCTGCAATGGCTGCTAATATTATTATTATATTTATTTTCAACTTAAAATTAATAATTATAGATACTACTCAAAAACTAATACTAAATCAAACAAAATGAGTTTTTTGTAATTAAACAAAATGAGTTTTTGTGTCCATCAGTTCCCACTTTTCCATGGTTGACATTATTTCCAGCATGGCATGTTAGGATCACATACATGGCATGTAGCTCCCTCATAGTCTAGACTTGAATGAAAGCTTCTTCCACCTCCACAGCAGCATTGGATGTTACTTGCTTGTACCTTTAAAAAAAGAATAATAGCTTTGATATGAGAAAAGGTGTGAATTGACAGATTTACACGTTGAAATGATAGTGTGACAAATATACCATGGATTAGCTAAATTCATTTTCAATTTCCTTTGAGCTGGCTCTGTCTACCATCTCTGTGTTCATACATCCCATTTTTCAAGACTTTATGGGTATACAAAACCACAGTTTGCTTATGGTTATAGTTTAACTACGTGTACATGACACAACTGTTAAGATACCCTTATACTGTTAAGATACCCTTCTACTGCTAAGAAGCACTTACAGTGTGGCTTCCAGTACAATCTCCTGTTTCATAACACCTGACTGAGCTCCAGGCACCAGTGAGAGTCAAGCATACAGCCATTAGCAGAGCTACTGCAAGCAAAACTTTCATCTTTTCAATTAATGACGAACAATAAGTCTCTTTCACAAAAGTTTAACCTTTGGCAGTTAGCTAGCTTGTAATAGAGTAGGAGTAGTAGAGTATTGGCCAATGTGACTGGATCTGCATTTATATATGCTGCATAAGACAGGCTTCACTTTTAGCCACACCTCTCAATTTTCCAACTACACATTTACAATTACAATCATTGCCAGCTGTCAGCAGCCCTTAATTGTAGTCTCTGTGGCTGTGTCCATATTAAATTAAGTACATTAATGAGAACAATTATACACACAGATCATGTCCTAGAACCAATGACGTAGTACATGGCTACTCTAAAGTTTTAATTGTTATTTTTACCAGGAAAAAGCTTGATGGATATAAAAACTCATTACGAAAATTAATTAAATCATGCATTATGAACACCAATGATGATTCTGACAGCACTTCCCCCTGTACCACTCGTCCATTAAATAATTATTAACCCTCAGAGATACGTGGCTGTTCACGCCTCCAGTTAACAAGAGGTTTCCGTGGCAACCAGTGAGGGGAGGAGGGACCAGCCGATAGAAGTTGCGCCTGTTGGTGAACTCAAGAAAAGCCGACTTCAGGGTAAAGGAGAGCTCCTCTGACATGCAGGAATGACAGAGTTGACACGACTGGAGATAGAGAAAAGGAAGAGATTGTAATTTTAAAATATCCTTCACATTTAGCATACCAGGTGATATCCACAGTTTTGGCTACAGCTATTATTCAAACACTGCTGTAAAGGCGCCTGTATGTCGTGATCGTTCACCAGCATAATGCTTTCAGTCTCTCCACTGTATAAAGGGAATAGTATAAAATTAATAGTCATTCACTGAGCATACTTGTAATGTAGGCCTAAGCCAACTCCTCTTGCCAAACCAGTAAGTTTTACAGAATTGAAAATGATCTAGAGGGGAAGGAAGGTAGGATTACTATTATTATTAAGTGGGTATTGTTTCTAAACTTGTTCATAAAGGAAACGGTTATCAGTCGTGTGTGAGGAGGAGAGATTAGGCGAGAGGTTAACCTAAAAATGAAGACATTATGCACACCACTACAGAGCAGCTGCCTTACCTCCATAAGCCAAACTTTGAGCTCTTCCGTTAGTATGAAATCAAATCTCACCAATTCAAAAAAATTTCTAAAAATAATAAAATTAAAATATTTGAAGAACTACATGTATTAGTACTCATAAATGTACCGATACTTCATACCTTGTGCTTGCATATGATCTGGTATAATTGACCACATTGCTTTCACAGTGCATCAAGACCTGAAGATACAATCATAACATTATGCAATTGTAATGTACTTGGGGTTTCCCACAGGATTTTTGGCATAGTACTCTTCTTGTCAAGTTGCTCAAAAATTGGGCCAAAGATCCTGTACTGTAGTACAGGGATTTTTGCCAAATTTTGCCAAAAATGACTAGGAGAGAATTCTCCATTTTTATAATGTTTTCTTATGCATATACATGTTCTTATGTTGTGTAGCAAGTTTGAGCTGATTCCAATCAAAATTGGATTTTTTATAAATTTTTAAAGTTACTCAAAAATTGGGCCAAAGTCCCTGTACTATAGTACAGGGATATTGGTCGAATTTTGCCAAAAATGACTAGGAGAGAATCCTCCGTTTTTATAATGTTTTCTGATGCATATACATGTTCTTATGTTGTGTAGCAAGTTTGAGCTGATTCTGATCAAAATTAGATTTTTTTACAAATTTTAAAAGTTACTCGAAAATTGGGCCAAAGTCCCTGTACTATAGTACAGGGATACTGGCCGAATTTTGTCAAAAATGACTAGGAGAGAATTCTCTATTTTTATAATGTTTTCTGATGCATATACATGTTTTTATGTTGTGTACCAAGTTTGAGCTGATTCCGATCAAAATTAAATTTTTTATGACTTTTTAAAGTTGCTCCAAAAGCCATGTACTGTATTATAGTGCTTGTCAGCTCATGAAGCTCATGCTGTTTAGCTCACTTAGCATGCTTTGTGGGAAACCCTGATATTATGTACTTGCTTTCTGTATGATACTATGAGCTTGATCCCAAAACTGTCTTGACTTAAAACCTAAGAAACACAAGTACACAAGTATTTTTTACAATGATTGCTACTAATAACCTTTCTTTGTCAAAATGTAGTTAAAGGCTTCCTTGTGGCTCAAGCCTTTGTCTTTAACCAATGGAGTCAGTGATGGTATCTATAAAAATGATAATTAAAATGTACCTACATCAACGCCCTTCACCTCCCATGCTGGTGTATATTCATCATCAACAACATAGCTTCTCTTGTTCTTTGGATTAAATGGATAATAATTCTTAGCGCAAAATCTAACGAAAGATATATACATCAAACTATGTATAATGGCAGTAGAGTAGTTTCCATTTAATACCTCCACAGTATCTCTTCTCCATACACGTATACTCGTAACGGATTGATTGATGTTATAACTACATAGACACCAATGTCAAATGACCTATACAATAATCACATCAATAATTATTATTTTTATTATTTCTTTATTTTTATCATACCGGCCATCAATTATCATTGGGTTTGTGATGAATTCTTGAACTATGCTTCCCTCAAAGTTTAAATTAATTTCTTTAATATTTTGAAAAATGCAAATACTAATTTTTCTTATTCAAACCTTTAGGTTTAATAACTCTAATTCCTCTATGCTTGTTACTCTTTTGTACCCACAGTGTATTTGGTCTGCTATTAACCTACAAGACATCATTTCTTTCTCTTTCTTTATTTCTCTTCCTATACCTCTGCCATCAGTTTCTTTGCCTCAAAAGGAAGCCGGAATGATCGGGGCATAAATGGAAAGCCTTGAGTCGATAATTTGGGTTTACTCACGAAACACGAAGTCCCGGGAAAATGATTAATCTGCAACAAAAATATAATTACTACAATTATTGTGTAAACAATTATAATCTGTTTGTGTGAAAGTAAGATTTTTGGCTCAGCAATGCATCCAGACAGCCAATTATAGTTTATACATGCAGGCAATGTTGTGCATGATGGCAAAGGAAATTAGTATGATTGCATATTAAGGTGTTATTCTGTTCACACCCTTACCTTTTGGTGAGGCAGCAAATGCTTCAGTTCGTCCTTAAACACGTTGTACGGGTAGCCATGTGACCACATCACGTCCCACGGTTCAGTTGGTAGATTGAAATGATATTCTGCTTTGTAAATAGCTCGATAGTCTAGTCTATCAAACACAGCCATCACGTGGCTCATGGCTACTTCCTAATGTAATACAAGGAAGAGGTTTATCCTCACCTTTTTGAGACTCACTAACTTTCTTGGCATTAATCCACACGACACGTCTTGTATCTTTACAATTATTATTATTATTATTATTATTATTAGGAGGGACACTTGTCTTCTCTGCTTCTTTTACTTCCTCGTCTAGTTCTACAGTATCTCTTGTACTGCTGGAGAGTCTTAAGAGAAGTATTGCATTAAGGAACAGCCCCACAGCTATTACAATGTACAGTATTCGAGACCTTGGCGGATGACATTGGATAAATGCCATCTTTAATTTTTACAAAGAGCCCTGCCCAGTGCCCAATAGTCACATCCTGATGATCTGATCTCCATCATAGAGTACAACAAATGTTTGTCTATTACTTTTACATTTTAAAAAGTAAACAAAAATACGATTAGTTTTGCAATGTGTCTCTTGTTTATTAAATATCTGTGCTTTTGGAGGACAGGAGAACGGTTTCCTTCTCATCGTTGCTATTGATATCATCAGTGACATTCTGTAAAGCATCCTTTGACTCGTCATCAGCAATTACTGCCTGCCTGTGGCGCTTCTTTGTTTTATCATCTTTGCATTTCAAAGACAGGACAGCAGCGACAACAAGTAGTACGACTATAATCGCTACATATATAATGACTACTACTGTCACTATGGCTACTTGGGCTCCAGTCAATCCAATAGTACCAGGACATTCGGTGCTTCTCCCTGTATTGCGTAAACTGAACAAAATGTCAAATTCCAAAGTACTAAAGTCATTGACCAGGCCCCAGTCACGAATGATATAACAAGGACCTCCTACACCCAGTACGTAGCTTTCACCAACTGTCAATACTCTGTTGGGTCCTGAACAGGAGGTTAATAAATCAGGGCCACTGGTATTAAAAGTGTCTCCCATCTGGGTAAAAATATAGAGAATAATACATGAGGAATGCTCCTTGTTATAAGGAAAAAACATGTCGAACATGGCATTAAATAACACTTTTAAGAAACAATTATTATATAAAATAAGAACTCACATGACGGCTACCCTTGTAGCGATCAGTAACTAACACAGTATAGTAACAAGGCTGGACTGTTAGGGCACAGCCTCCTCTGTTCTCGTCATCAATAAAAGGAAAATCCTGACACGTGTTAAGATTCATTACTGGTTCTGTGACTGCTTCATTGAGGAGTTCAGCCGATTCAGCCATGTTTGCTAAAATTAGCAAGAGGAAATCAAGTCATGGAAGTACATGCAAAAGGAAATTGGTGGCTTAATTAGTAACTTACTTATTCCAGCATCTTTAATGACATCTGAACAATTACGATAATATGAACTTGATGTACTGTTCCCAAAGTCTTGACATTCATACGTACCCTCTACACTGCCAACTACTGTATTGCCAGAGGGAATGACCAGCTCCGGTATGGTCTGGTTTGGCATAAACTCCATACAAGAGAATCTGTTGGTAGAGGAAGGGAGTCGGCATTTGCAGTAAGCTGCTGTGATTCTCACGACATATATGCCATTACTATTGTCATAAGAATCACATATGACCTCGAAACGACTCTTCCCTCCTGAATCAATAGGGCAATTGCAGCTAAAACAGAGAGGAAAGAGAGAAAAGAAGAGTAAAAGCAACTTTGTAGACATACTATCTATCTAGCAATCAATTTATTACACTGGGCGGGGCTGATTTGAGCCACACCCATCACCAATGATGTTTACATTTCTTCTTGTGTTCTTGTTTGCCCTGCCATTGGGGCACAGTTTAAGCTGTTCCTCGTACACCAGCTCTCGAACTAAGACCATTTGCGAGTACTACTCGAGTGAGTCGTCCATATATAAGGCAAGAATTACGGCCTCTCAATGCAAATGTGGACTTGGAAGCCCTACACTCTTCTCTTGCATTGACTTCCGGCAGAACTCTAGCGGGAGTTTAGTAGTTACTGTCCAGAGATTGTTTGACTGCAGTGGCTCAAATGGTATATATTACAAGGACTGTAATAGCATCATCAATAACCTCGGGATCAGTGAGTCCTATTGTATATTAATAAATAAGATGCCTAAAGTTTATATATTTAAAAATATTTATTATAAAATACACATTAGGCAATGCCTCCATCATTAATAGCACAGTTACTCCAGAGACTGTTTCGTGTGTAAATATTTCATATTCTCCTGAGGATTATGGCTGTGCAGTGACACATGATCCATGTTACTATACAGCGGTTGTTGAAGAAGTTTACAAAGGAAGCATTCAGGTAATTCACAGAATGATCACACACACACACACATTTTGATAACTTGTTGGTCATATATTCTTGCAGGTTGGAGCTTTATTTAACACTAGCGGTCCTCATTCAATAACTTGTGTGTCTTCTGGTCAGTGTGTTCTCAATGTAGGAGAGAGTTACATTGTTGGGATTGGTGGCGCATGTTATGCTATTAGTCCTTGGTCATCCTATAATACTTACACTAGTGATGATATCGAGCTATTGGAAGGATTGAGAGATGGGGGAACAACAGCTTGCAATGTGAGTGTTGGAGGGACATCAAGCTCCAATGTGAGCTAGTGATTGCGATGTTAATTAATTTTTGTTATTCTTGCAGAGTCAAGCAATCATAATTGGAGTCTCGGTATCTCTTGGTGTCTTACTTATACTTGTTGCTCTGGCTTTCATTATTACTATTATTGTCTTTGTTGTAAAGAAATCTCCTGGTAGGTGTCGCCGTACAAGGGAAGAAGTTGTGGTGAAGGTTGATGATGTCAGTGATGGAGAGACTATGCCCAGTATATCTACTAAGCCAGAAGAACCAGAAGAACTGCTTGAAAGCAAAGAACATGATGACAAAACTAACATTTTGAGTGATTCCTAACTAATCTTTCCTTTCTTACCACAATCCTTGATTATAATTATAATTTTTATCAATATTATTATTAGTATCGTTGATTACAATCAAAACTTGAAAGACAATTTTTACTGCTGTTATAGATAAAATTTATATTGATAATTATAAAGATATTCACGCTTAGTACACCTATGACTTGCTTGAACAATAACAATGTGAGATAATTAATGATAAGTTAATTAGGAGGAATGTATTTACTCTAGCAAGACTCTAGTCACTGTTAAGAATTAAAAATGATGGCTTTGTCATCACTTGTGATGTCCTCATCATTATGTATCTTCACCTCCTCATCCCTCACATCAATTTCTACAACACCACTTGTAATCCTGCGCCCTCTTCTCTGGCTGGACATTTTCCTCTTCATAATGATGATTATGGTAATAATGAAACCAATAATGATTACTACAAGCAGTAGGCCAAGGAATGAAGAGAGTCCTATTATGATTGAGCCTTCCTGGGATAAGCCGGATGAGACTGTAGGCGGAGTAGGAGTCTAGAAAATTTAAAAAGACGTTAAACATTTTTCACGCTAATAGTCACTTTGTTTGTTTGCTTCTCTCAGACTCTAGACACAATCTCCCCATTTAATAAACAAATACTCACACTTATTCTAATGCTGCTCACACTTCTAATACTGCTACTGCTTGTGTGAGTTGTGTCACTGCTTGTATGAGCTATATTGCTGCTTATGCGAGTTGTGTGGCTTCTTACGTGAGTTGCATCACTGCTCCTTACAGTAGTTGATGTGATCTTGGTACAGTTTGTATTTCCTCCATCTCTCAATCCTTCCAATAGTTGGATATCATCACTAGTGTAACTATTATAAGTCGACCAAGGATCAATCGTGAAGCATGGTCCACCAATGCCAGCAATATAACTCTCTCCTACAGTGAGAACACGTCCATACTGACCACAGGTTGTTGTCACATCAGGACCACTAACATTCACTGACACTCCAACCTATAATGATTATATTGCATAGATTAAATAACATTGTAGAGTACATAATAGTTATATTGTTTCTATTTCATAATGCTTTTATGTGTGTGAAGGGGAGTACAAGCACATGTGGTATTTGATTACTTAATCATTGCCATATATGAGTACTTTGTTGGCAAGCTTCACCTGCAAATTTCCTTTGTAAACGGCCTCGATAATTCCAGAGTAGTAGCAAGGGTGGTATGACACTTCGCAGCCATCTTTCTCAATGCCATACTGATTTGTACTGTTGCATGCAATATTCTCCACATTAGTAGTATCATTAGTTATAGACATGCTTCCTATTAGGGAATCACTTGTAATCATTAATTTTCAACTTACTTCCACCAGCTTTGTTAATGACTGATTGACAGCTAGAGTAGAACAGTTCCAAGTGAGGCATTCCTCCGCCTTGGCATTCAAACAATCCTCGGACCCTACCCACTACATTTTGACTGGAATTCAGTCTGAAATCTATACAAGAAAACCGTTGGCTCTGACCAAGGAGACATTTGCATTGTGATGCTACAATTTTGATTTTGTAGATTGAGGCCTCGTTTGAGTAGGCGAAACAGATTACTTCTGATCTGGGCTTAGTCAGATAATCAGGATGACAACTACATCCAATAGCTAGTGGAAGACAGGAGCAAGATATTATTAAAAGAAAGATTACCAGAGTTTTCATTTCTCTTTCTTATCCGAAGTGTGAACTCAGTCATCATATCAGGCGGAGCAGGCCCCGCCTGACAGATGTGCCGCCCACGCACCCAGGAAATCTATAGGTATTCAACCCACGCATTAATCAACATTATTCTTTTTGTGTCTAGCAGTAACAATGACAACAATACTTACTGCAGCCACCAAATAATAAAACTACCATGCTCAATATTACTACCCACACATCAATGTTATAATATTTTATCGAGTTCCATTCACCACGAATAAATGGAGGCATGGCGTGACTGTATCCTACTTCAGCATACAGTTCAACTAGATCTGCACCTCTTTTTGCTCCACCTCCTTCTCGTAAAAGACGACTAGTCCTCTCTACGTTTTTCCTGTAAATGCTTTTTGTCATCAAAGCTTCTACTGATTCTTTTAGTTTTTTAACTGTCAGTTCTTTAGCAGTGATGCTTATTCCAAGTTTCTGTGACGTTAGTCTAAAACCAATGTCAAATTGATCCCCACCTTGTGGTATGCACAAAACTGGGACAGCAAAATAAAGAGCTTCATGGACACTATTGACACCACAGTGTAGCAGTGCTAGCTTGACTGATGGATGCTTTAGTAAAGAGGTTTGCTCTAGCCACGATGTAATGTAAACTTGATTAGTGTTAGGCCTCTCTCTAACATCATCACGACCAGGTCTTGACCACAATAGTCTGTATTGATCAGAAAGTGAGAGGATAATATCAGCCGTCTCTTGAGTCATTCCTGTCAATGTTCCAGTACTAATGTATATGACTGGTGACTCAGAATCTGCCCCTAACCAAGAGATTAGTTTGGAATCAAGTGGTGGCTGATTAGGTAGCAGCATTGGTCCTATGTAGTGCTGTGTTGGTAGGGATGGTACTGGTCTTTCGAACCCAATGACTGTGGTAAGTAGTACTGGCTGGTATATCAAATGCAGCCCTGGTTCACTGAGGGATTCCTCCCCTTCTGGAATCAGTGCCTTCATAAACAATCGAACTGCAATGTATTCCATTGGCCCATAAAGAACAGTATTAATGAATCTATCCAGAAATGACATATTATCAGTGATTGGAGTAAAAGGTTTAGGATAAGGCCAAGGAATGATGTACTGTGGAATCAAACCAACTATAAGCATCACAAGCATTATGTTGTCTGTCTTCCATATTTTGTGGACATGATAGATTAAAGCCATGGTTGCATGTTCACCGATGATATAATCATAGTGACTGCTATTTAACTTGGTCTGTATTGCTTTTCCCATTCTTGAGAGATAGTCTCTTTCTTGAAATATCCCATTGCGTATATCGGACACAATAGAGAATACATTCCCAGTGATATTGGTTCCTTGAGTATGTCTAATGTAAGCATCATATATGTCCCTTTTCATTTTAATGCCCTCTATGTAATTTATACCATAAGACCTAATGAGGCTAGGTATGTGCTCAAATCCTTCAATAGTCACTCCAAATGATGTGACCTTGTGGCCTCTGGATACAAGCTCAGCCCCAAGTGATATTAGTGGATAATAGTGAGAAGGGAACATGGAGTGAAGGAAGAGGACAGAGAGACGGGATGATGACGGATTGCAAGTCTTTTCATCATTGATATCAAGTGAACTGGACACAGAAAGAAGATGCAGAAGTGTCAGTAGGGGCTTCATTGTTATTCAAAACCACTTCCCCCAAAAAGGCGTGGCTGATACAAGCACATGATAGCACGTGGGTGAATTGCTAATATCTTTTAATAAAGTTTTTAAACTTATCAATAATACTGTTGCTAGAGGTTTCAACATTTGCAATCATCTGGCCGTCTGTCCTTCTCTCATCTTCGTGACTGAGTGTAATCCCAAAGACACAGTGTTTCATCTTGTCCCAGTACAGTACATTAGGAAGGTGTGGATTAGGTAATATGTCTACTCTGTTCAGCCATTCTTCATCTGTGAGTCCAAGAAAGGTGAAATAAGGAGGAGGGATACCGATTGTTGATGCCTCTCCTAGACCAGAGAAACCATGCACACTAAAGATCACTTCTCCTGTGTAAGTAGAAAGAATTTGAACTTTTCCTTTTACAGAGCCATGACCAATTACGATGTAAACATGACCAATTCCAAGGATGCTGATCTGAACTCCATCTTGGAGTGACTGGAGTCTAAAACTACTTACACATTTGAAATCATTTAAAGTCCAAACTTGAACCTTGCCATTGGTGGCAAGTGCCAATAGAGATTGATCAAATGGGAGAACAAATGGCGTAGAATGATGCTTGTCGATGAGAAATGTTTCAGAGATTGAGTGATTCAAATCAATCAGAGGAACAGCTGATACAGTTTCCTGATGATTGCTACTTGCTACTTGATGAATACATAAGGAGCTCCCACACTGCAGTACAAGCCAATGAGACCGACAAAAATGGCTAGAATCTTTATCTTTGCTTTTTGATATCAATCCTATGGATTTGCAATATTGCATCAATACTGAATTCCCAGGTATGGAATTGCCTGGTAATGTAATATCAATTCTCACTTGAGATACAGTTGGTCTCACATGCCCACGTCCGATTCGTAAGAGCTGAAGTTCCCAGTACATTGCTTTACCCTCTAAATTGACTTGATGTCGATTAACTATCATCTTCCCTAGGCCAACAAGATAGCAGTCTTGACAGCAGCAGAATATTTGCTCTGGATCGTAAAGAGTTGGTCCTTGCCACGAGAGCAGAGCCTCTCCTGTCACTAGATTAAACCCACGCCAACGGCCATTCGCACTAGCCAGCAGAATGTAATCGCAATAGAGACTACACCATACAACACGATGGGCTGATTCTTGCAATGCTGGTAGAAAAGAATGTGTCTGCTTTAATAGACCAGTAGTGGGGATCATAGTAGAGACAGAGGTAAAGATAGGGACGAAATCTTCATACATTGTGCCCACTAGTACGCCATACTTAAAGTAATTGCACTGAAAGTAGTGATTGAGGTAGATCTTTGACATCTGCTTAGCCTCTGGGCTGGAGAGTTGTATGTATCGACGATTATTGTGTACTCTCACAGCTAAGTCTTTACAAGTCTTGTAATGACGAGAGGATTGGAGTACAACATAGTCTGATACTCCGAGAGATCTGAGAGCTGGTCCTTTCCAGAAAGATGTCGCCTCTGTTATCCTTTCATGCCACACTGAGGATACTCTTAAGCACCTGAGGATGTCAGCTATAGGTAGGTGTACTAATATTCCAATCACAAGCTCAGGAGGGAGAAGGAAAATGAAGTCGATTCTCACTTCCAGTGGTGTTAGTGTAGCCATAGTCTCGTCAGCAAATTTTGAGCCACACCCTAGATGTAAAATGACGTCACAAAATTAAATTCACTATCCTCTCCAGCTGTCATGTTCTTTGTACTGTACTCCATTTTGTCAGCTTACAAGAGAAACTTGTTCATTTTATTGCTGTTTAATGTAGCCCCATTCTTATACTGCAGGATCCTAACTGCTGGACAAGAACTAGTTGGAGAGAGCTGCTACTTTAGAACAACTTTTGTAAACCAAACCCACTTCCATCTCTCAGTCCAATGCTGGAATGAGACTGACATTGTGCCATTGAAAAGACCAGTGAGTATTATTGCAGTATTAGCCTCGAATAATGATTTTTTTCTTTTTTTTTGCAGTTAATTTTACCGGTCAATGTTAGCCCAATCTTGCACATACAGCAGACGCCCTCTTGGAAGAGATTAACCTCAGTTTCTGGGAGACACCTAGTAACGAGAGTGAATCGATTGTTAGATAATGGGACGTGGGTAGTGTCCGTGGATCAAAGTACAAACTTGTCCTGTATATCAGTCAAGACGATCACATTAACTGATATTTCAGTTACCATTGATGGAAGCAGGTATATAAAGAAATGAAGGTGTCATCTTTTATCTTGTTAAACTTGTTTCTCAGTGATGCAAGGTGTTGGGATTTTCTGATAGATAATGCAAATCAGACTGACCTAATACAGCTTCCTCCTTGTATTCCGTTGCATAGCAACTCTTCATTTAATAATACAGTCCTTTACTGGAACCCCCTGAAGAATATTTCATGTGCCAGGTCCGATGGCGTTGATTTTGTTCCTTTGAGTGTTTATTCTAGTTTTGCAATGGGAGTATTTGTAATTGGAAATGGAATGCTGTATAGGTATGGTGGAATTTAATAGTTTTAAATGCTCTCTCTCCCTTCTCTTATAACTCAGTTTAAGTAATAAAGGGATCTTCTATTTCATATCTTTTCCTCCTGGAATCATTGTAACTAATTTCAGTTTATTTGAAGATAAAGGACAGTATGTATTCTTCACAAGAAATGACAGCATTCAAGTGAGTTAGCTTACATGTTCTTATGTAGCAACTTTGAGCTCATTCCAATAATCAAAATTAATTTAAAAAATTTTTTTTAAGTTACTCAAAAATCTAGTGACAATGGAAACAAATGGTTTTTGCTTGTCACGGATTTTGTGACAATGGAACCATTGAGTTTAGTCACTGATGTTAAGGCTTTGCAAATTTGCTTCTTATTAAAAATGGTCATAACTTGAAAAATTGAGCTCGGAATCAGCTCAAACTTTCTACACAGCATAAGTACATCAATATGTATCAGAAAATGTAATAAAATTTGGGGGTGATTTTGGAGCCATTTTTTGGAAAAAACCATGGGCTATAGTACAGGGTATTTTTCAGATTTTGGCCAATTTTTTCAAATGGCCATAACTCAAAAATTTAAGCTCGGAATTAGCTCAAACTTTTTACACAGCATAAGTACATCAATACGTATCAAAAAATGTAATAAAAATTGGGGGTGATTTTATAATATTATTTATATATATTATATATTATTTATTTATTTATATTTTATATATTTTATATATATTATTTATTTTATAATATTTTTGATGTGCACATGTTCTGATTTACTTCTGATCCAAATCATGTATGATTGTTCCTCCAGTAATTGGTGCTTCATGTCTACTTAGGATAGTTACAAAATTTGGTTTGGAATGACGGAGAGCAAAGAAGTCTTTCTAATTTATCCTTCACGTGCACTTGAGTTTATTCTTAATTTATATTCTATTTCCTTGATGAATATTTCAAGCATTTACTGGGATCAATACAACGACTTTGTAATGGTAAGTAATGATATCAAAAATCAACAACTTTGATTATTATTATTATTAAAGCAAACTCATTCCAATATTTCCATTCCTATTCCTCTGTTCTCAATGTTTGAAGAAGCAGTTGTCAATTTCTCTTTGACTCATGATCCATCATCACTCTTTCAATCGCCTCAGTCTCTATCACCTCACCATCGACTGATTAATAACTTCACTAAATCTCCCCCGTGCCCATTCACCAGTGCTCTGATTCAGTCTCCAATATGTACAAAATACACTCGGACTAGTTTCGTAATCGATGAAAACCTGACTGACCAGTTTGGCAAGTACACTCGCTCATATTCAAACTGTTCTAGTCAGATCAGTGAGCTACCACTTGTTGTATACTTGTCTCGTGGTGACAGTTTTGAGTTCACGGTCGAGTATTTCCTCAATAATTTTGGTATCATAGTAAAAGTATTTTTGCTAATTTTGATTGTGTATTTGCCTTTATAGATAAAACATCTCTGTTCTTTTCACTAACAAGCAGTCCTCCTAATGTCATCCAAACTACACTCATTTCATCTTGGTCTCCAATGACAAATTCTAAACTAGTAAAGGTTCGAAATTTTTTATAAGTAGTGATTCTTAGTATTACTTAATGTTATCAATTTTATAAAAGGTGAGACTGAGAGAATGGTTGCAATATGAAGAAGCACAGCAAGTAATGTCTGGAGAAACATTGTTCAAGACAAGGGTCGTGTTAAAGACTTTAGGATCTGAAATGTTTTGTGCACAAGAAAAACTGCAAGAACAAATATTTGTACCAGTAAAATATTATTAAATTTTATCGTGAGATCTATTTATACTGTATAGGGAATATTTCATTTGTCAGTTAGAGTTGGTTGTCCTCCTGGTTTATCACTGATTTACGATCATCTCGAATCAACTAGAGATCAAGATCATTACTGTGATCTATCAGACCCTGATAACTGCCTTTATTATAATAATGGTTAGCCTAGCCGTACCTTTATGCGTGCATGAGCTCTTGGTAGAGTTTTATCCAGTTTTTAAGCTAAAAGACTCTGTGACCGGTTTGAATGAGAAATACACAGGCAAATACAATCTACTTGCAATTGCTGGTGGAACTAGCAGGGAAAATATGGCTGCCTTTTCTCAGAGTAACATGTGAGGATCACAATCATAGGGCAACAAATATTATCTACATTATCTTGTTTTATATTGTAGTGAATTGTTATTGTGGACTTCGCTAGATGAAAAAAGCAATGGAACGGCTTTTGAGACAAGCAGGAATGGGATAAGGTTTAGAATGACACTCTCAATTATTGTATACATTGAATTAAAGGTGGTCTGAATATTGGAGCAACATACCAGGAACTCCTCAGTATTATCTTCGCTTAGAAGCTACAAACAAGTGCAGCATTTCTATATCATTGTATAATATTCCCTCTCTCTCTCTTTTATTTTTAGAGGAACAAATGATAGCTACTGTCTCTTTACTGTGCAATTTATAGTGCATATACATGGTATTGCACCAACACGTGTTTACTCTGTGATATCAGTCATTGTCAGTATTATAGTGTGCAAATAATGTTTGTTAATGTATAAGTTTCTATAGATTTTTGTTCTTTTGTTCCTGTCAGCGTTCATTGTTGGTTTTGGGATTTGGTTGTGTAGAGATAAAGTTGCAAGGAGACAATAGTCACGATAAAAGAATCCTCTTATCCTTTTGCTTGTGTGAACATCCAATCAATGCAGCTACTGTGAAGAGATTGAAGAAACTGTATTCATGGTTTACTGTTTGAATAATAATTTTTTAATAACTTTTATTAATATAATTCACAAGATTTTGCTCACAAGACCCTCTCGTTTCGTGGCGATCACACAGAGAAAGAGAACCAGCAAAAAAGAAGCATGAAGCTCGCTGTTATAGCTCTAGTACTTTTCGTAGCTGTAGCTAATGCACAGCCACAACAGAGGAGATGCTGTGAGTTTTTAATACAATTTTAAGCATTATCATTGATCTAAACTATCCCCATACACATTTAGTGTACACACCAAATGGTTGGACTGGCTATTATAGAGAGGTACAGATCTACTCTGCTTTATATAATGAATTGAGTGTGTTTATTATTATGATTCCTACAGACAAACTTTGATGCAGGCCCTGGTGACATATCCTATCGATTTGCAGCAGTGAGCTACGATGCAATTCGTGAGCGTATCAAGATTGAAGAGCGTGAAGAGAGAGAAGGAGAGAGACCAGAGAGAATTTTCAAACTTTACTTTTACAATGAGGTATGCATTGGATTGCTTGTCAGTTATGTATGAGATATTTAATAGAAAATAGAGTATCGTGTGGAGAGGGATTTGTGCACAAAGAGGGAAATTAACGAGACATTCTACCACTACGGCGTTCTCACTAGTGCTCAGTACTATGGCAACGACTTTCTTGGAGCTGAAGTGGGAGGTCTTGGAGTTGAAGTTGATCAATTCGGAGAACAATTTGAGAGTACGAATACCATTAATAATTATTACAATACCATTTTATGATTTTTAATCTATATATAGGTGGTGGCCGATACTTTGCTAGCTATGCTCCAATTGGAACTTCTGAGTTTCAGTGTGTACCACTGCTTGAAGCTTTTGTGAACTTGAGGGGACCTTATTCTGAGCAATATAATGTCCACTATGAGTAAGCAAACTGCTTTTTACTTTCACAGTATTTATCTTAAATTGTGTGTAGGTTCTTGAATATCACAGCAGTCACCACTTGGCCACCAGGAGCATTTGATATCCCTACTAGTTGCGTAGGCTCCGCTAGCTGAACCAGTCCTAGTCAGAAACTATTAGCTTCCTCTAATTAAAGCTTTGCTATCATAGGTTTAGGCTTACAGCCCATGTTTACTAGCTAAAATTGCTATTCATGCTATCAATGTAGTGCTAACTTTTTAAATAATAACAGTGTTAAACAATCAAGAATTTGTTGTTAATAAGTGCAATATGGAAAATCTGGCCATTCCAGAAAAATGAATTTTAATACCATTGTAACTACAATAATATTCATTGCGTAAATTAATCAACTGCTGACTTGTATAGCTTTTGACAAAAGGATTCATTCTAAAGCAAATAATTTCATCGGTCACAAGACCATAGCATGTGAAGTACGTGCATAACATGCAGCTACAGCCAATAACAACAGCAACTAAAGGTGTGAAAAACTAATGTTCAGCTAAGTTGTTCCTTAAAGATTTCCTTCATGGGCACTCTGGAGGTTTCATAAATGTGTCTGGTGGGAAGGAGCTCACAGGGGCAATGTTTAAAAACCTATTATAAGAAAATTTTTAATAAATTGAAGATGCATTATTATACATACTGGCGGGCAATGTTAACAGAACGTGAGGCTGGAGGAGGTCCACGAGCACTGTGGACATATGATTCAAGAACTGGAATACACTCACGACCAAAGGGAGCAAAACTGCCAGAGAAATCCCCACCTTTAAACAAAAATGAACTTTATATTGCTATCTTGATACTCTTACGGATCCTATCAGGACGATAGTACTCATCAACTTTGACTCCAAGTCCAGTAATCTCAGCTCCAATGTAGTTGACTCCATTTAACTCTGTGTCTGTGGTAACTCCAAATGGCCTGAACTCATCAGTTAGATCCCTCTCTTCGCACTGCCTAGTTCGGAGATCAACACGGTAGGATTTTCTCTATGCATAATATATTCATAAAAACTATTCTATTACATAACTGGATAGTAGTTACCTCTTTGAATAAGAAAACCTCCAAAATAGCTTCAAAGCGTGACCCCCCACCAGGGCTGCGTTCAACTTCAGTTATACTGATGGCCTCCAAATACTGGTCATAACTTACATTACCAAAACGTCCAAACCCACTATCATAATCAATCTAAAATAAATTTATATAGTGAAAATGCATCAGTGTCCTGCATTGTCTACCTCTCTGAAGGTTCCCCTCCACCTTGGTGGAGTTACTGCAATTAAAGAATAAATGTTATTAAAGAGATATTATTAAAGAGATATTAAGTGAAGTATACTAACATACCACATCTATATCCGTCCTCCTGTGCATAGACAACAGCTACAAGCAAGAGAGAGAGAAGAGCAACACACTTCATCTTGTCCGCAATTTTCTGCGCTAGAGTAAACCACGCCTACTAGGCTTAAATTTGCATATCGATCGTGAATATTATAATGTTTTAATAATAGCGAAAAATGAAAATTGAGGTAACAATAATAATGCCAGCATGTAACACATTTCTAATTGCATTCAGTCTATAATTTGTTCTTGTGCAGCATTTTTTACAGTAGAATATTTTTAAAGAACATTGCGTCCCCTAATGATTGGTGGTGGTGGTGGCGTCTCGCACTCTTTAGGTATTTCAAAAGCATCTTCAGCAAGAGTAGTTGACAAATTCATAAATCTAAAACATAATTAATGATAATTATCATGAAGATCTAAAACGTACTCATAAGCAACATTGGTAGATGTAGGCCTAGGGGAGCGAGGTGGAGTCCTACGAACAAAACTCTCAACAACTGGCCAGCAGACAGTTCCAGTAAACCCAACAGGTGCAAAACTTCCGTGATAATCTCCTCCTTCCCCATCTCTGTGATAAAAGTTATCAACAAGCACGCCAAGGTTAGGTCCTTCAGCTCCAAGGTAGTCAGAACCAAAAAAGGTAGCATTTTCTGGTATTCCAAAATCTGGGAATGATTCTGTAGATTCGATCTCGGATTTAGTGCAATGACCCTCATACACACGATAGCGGGTTCTCTAATGATACAATGAGTAATGAGTGTGTTTAAACATTTTGCAGGTTTAGATCTATCAGTATTTACTTCAGTAAACAGGAGGAGATCTGTTTCAGTGACAAAATCCCTGCCTCCTTCTTGTCTCTCAAACATTTCAACTTTTATTTTCATCTCAGTCCTGCTGTAGGAAATATTGGCAAAACGGAATGAGACCTCACCAGGTCTAGCATCATAGTTAACCTAAAATAATATGGAACTGATTTTTTAATACTCAAGTTTATCTTGCCTCCTTGAATGAACCAGAAAACTTATAAGGAGCCTCACGGCATCTTCTCTGTGGAGTTTGAGACAGGACTACTACAAAAAGAGTTGCTACAAGAAAGAGACACTTCATCTTGACTCTGTGACCTCGCTTCTCTTTTTAATAAAATTCATACTCTAATCCATCACAATCTGTTTAATGATAATTATGTTTAGCATGTGATTCTCAATATTTAGACTACCAGGTTTGGTCAAAATCATGCAAGATCAGAAGAATCATATGATCTTATAAAATATTTATTGTAGTCCCATGAGCACTGAATTTTCACATTAAAGCAGTAATTTTGTAAAAGCAGAATCACATGCTTGGTGACATTAAAAATTAGCAAAAGTTTTTAAAAAGAGGGTGGAATTAAAATGCCAGTCGTAGCTAGCCTATAATACAGGCAATGTCCATATTTTAGCATGGTAACTATAATTCAGCTTGGTTTATTGTATTAGTCTTTATTGTTCACATGAAGGAGGAATTCTAAAAGCACCCACTGGCAATGTTGTTGTAAGATTGAAGTATCTGCATAAATAAAAAAAAAAACAAATTAAAGACCATAATAATAATAATAATAATAATAATAATAATAATAATAATAATAATAATATATAGCATACGTTGTGTGTATGTTCCTAGTAGAACGGGATGGTGGTGGGCCTGGAGTTTCCTCATTAACAAAAGAGCTGAGAATAGGAACACAGGACTGTGCCTCAGTACCTACTGGAGCATAACTCCCATGGTAGTCTCCACTCCTTTCATCTTCGGATCGGCGAAAGTGGAACTGATCCACACCAACTCCATAATTAGGAATGGAAGATCCAAGGTAATCAAAACCATAGAATGTTGCATCCTCGGGGACTCCGAAATCAGGAAACCTTGTTTCGTTCATCGACTCCTTTCGGCATTGACCAGACTCTACAATATAAGCAATTTTCTATTGGAGTAGAATAGTACACAGGAATAATTTACTAGTTTAGCTTTGGATGACATTACTTCTTGGAAGAGAGCAAGGTATGTTCTTCTGTCAAACCTCCTGTCTCCTTCCCTCCTTTCAAACTCATGCAATTCAATTTTCATCAAATCCCTGTCATAGCTGATGTTTGCATATCGGAATGCAGTCTCATCTGGAGAGGCATCATAGTTCACCTTTGTAAAAATTAAAATTAAAATTGATTTAATAGGAAGTGATTATGTTAGTACCTCTCTGAAATAGCCGAACCACTTGGGAGGAGACTCGATGCATCGGCGTTGTGCTTGAGAAAAATTCACCACTAGCAAAGCGCACAGGATCACTAGAGCCTTCATTTTAGAATGGACAAAGTTTCAACAAGAAAAGTAAAGCGATGACCCTTTTAGAATTATTTTATATCTCCGGCACGTGAATTGATGAATAAGCAATCCAGCCCCGCCCTTGCTGCTGCAAGCCCAGCCGCACCCCAAAAATGGAGCCAAGCCAACAATCAAAAGAAATTGAGGTAAAATAAAGCTTATGATCCTTCTGTTTGGTTTTTATTATCATTATAGTTAGTCAAAGAAAACCAGGAGCTAAGGGATTTGTGTTGCTTTCTTGACGACGAGAGAAAGAAGGGCAGGAGGTTGGCCCATGAATGGCAGAGCTTTGGTAGATACATAGCTTCTCTTCTCCGGAACCAAGTACTAGAATTCGAAAATAAAATGACAGTCTTACAGGTAAATCTGTTAATTTGACATCAATTTTAATATAAGTTTAGGAAAACCTTCAGAAACTATCGCAAGAAAATGCAGAGCTGAGAGATTTATGTCTCTTCCTAAACCAAATGTCATCGATGGCACCTGCAAAAAAAGAGGGAGATGAATCAGGAAATACTCCAGCTGCAAAACTAGAGACAGGGCAAGTGGAGACATATGCAGCTAATGCTGCTTGTGCTGGCCATTTAAATAAAGTACTAGAAGATCCTCCTGCGTATACTGGTCATGCTGGAGCGAATGAGCTTAAAGATGAGTCACCAAAGATAGTAGAACCAACTCCATCAAAAGGAGAAAGCAACAGCAGTGAAACAAGTAAGAAAGGATGAGTTTTGAGCATGTGTTATTATGTATATAAATGAAGCTAACGCTTATGTGAAAGAATTAGAGAAACGTCTTGATAGACTTGAGTCAGAGAAATTGGAGCTTGTTAAAGTAAGCCATAATATTTGAATAGGGTTTCCTTCCCATAAAGCATGCTTAATGAGCTAACAAGTACTACAATACAGTATATGGTTTGGGACAACTTTAAAAATTCATACAAAATCCAAACTTAATTGAAATCTACTCAAACTTGCTACACAACATAAGAACATGTATATGTATCAGAATAAATTATAAAAATAGAGAATTCTTTTCTTGTCATTTTTGGCAAAATTTGACCAAAATCCCTGTACTATAGTACAGGGACTTTGGCCCGATTTTTGAGCAACTTTAAAAATTTGTAAAAAATCCAAACTTGATCGAAATCAGCTCAAACTTCCTACACAATATAAAAACATGTTTATGCATTAGAAAAAAATATAAAAATTGAGAATTTTCTACTTTTTATTTTTGGCGAAATTTGGCCAAAATCCCTGTACTATAGTACAGGGACTTTGGCCCGATTTTTGAGCAACTTAAAAAATTCGTAAAAAGTCTAAATTTGATCAGAATCAACTCAAACTTTCTATGCAACATAAAAACATGTTTATGTATTAGAAAAAATTATAAAATTGTAGAGTTCTCTCCTTTTCATTTTTGGTGAAACTTGGCCAAAATCCCTGTACTATAGTACAGCTGATTTTGGAGCAATTTTAAAAATTTGTAAAAAACCCAAATTTTGGTTGGACTCAGCTCAATCTTACTACACAACATTTAAGAAATACATAAAATGGAGAACTTTTCTTGGTATTATGCCAAAATTTAGTGGGAAACCCTGAACTTAAGTGATTTTAAAGATATTTTTCTTCTAGTCACTCTCAGCAGCTCAAATGTTAGAAGCAAATGCAAACGAAAACAAGGACTTGCCAGTATGTGCTATTAGGTATGTATTTTGTATTATTTTAACTGATCAATGCAGGGCACTGTGTCAGATGAAGTGGAGTTAAAAGAGCCACCAAACATTAAAAGTTTCCTTGAACATATAAAGGAGAATAATGGTTTGATGAGGTGATACCATTCAATGTTAAATTGATATTTTATAGATGATACACTGAAAGATGATAAACCCACAACTCCTTTAAATGCAAAGAAAGATGCAAATAAAAAAGAAAAACAAGACAAAAATTATACGCTAGAAGATGTTATGAAACTATCAACAGTACGAAATAAAAATCTATACACAATGAACTTGTGGAAAAATGATTCTCTCTCTATGCAGTTATTAGACATATCAAAGAGACTGGATGCAATGGAAATGACTGATGGTAACTCACAGCCTCAGGAAGGCATAGAGATTGCAGCACTCCGCATGCTTGTTATGGTCAGTGAGTATGAAACTATAATGCACACACAAACCGCATGATGTGAATAGGTGGCATTTAAAGATTTGAAGTCAAGAGTTGATGATACTAGTAGTAGAAGAATTGGTGAACTTAAGTCCAGTAGCAGTAATACAGGAGTGACAAGTAGTCCAGTTACTAAATCTTATAAACAAGGAACAATTATACAAACTGAATTATAGAGTTATTTCTGTATGTATTGTTTTATTTTTGATAAATAGATATATCGAAAAATAAATAAAACTTTCTCTGAGGTGCAACAATGATAATAAAAATAAAAAACAACAATGATAATAATAATAATAATAATAATAATAATAATAATAATAATAATAATATGCTTGTAGAGACACTAGTCATTAAAAGTAATGCAGAAAGGGAAGAGGAAAAAAGTGTGTTGAGCAGAGAAGAAACACTATCCTTTTCACAAAGAGAGTATAAGATTGGTTAAGAAATGAAAGAGATGTAGCTATTAAAGTCAATGAAACAAGACTCAGTCTACATCAATGCCCCTAACAGCTGGTGCTATCTCAGTGAACAATGGACGTTGGAGTGGATCAAACTGCCAACAATCCATCAACAAGGAATAAAGAAGAGCTGGCATTCCTTCCTCTGGCAAGCTCAATAAATGCCCACTGGGTACTAGTCTAAGAACCTGCTCGTCAGATAGCCCCTCGTAAGGCTGCTGAGCATAAGAAAACACCTCCCAACAGAAAACTCCAAACGACCAAATATCACTAGCAAGGGAGAAGGCGGGGCCCATGTTTGAATCCTTGAGGAGTTCAGGTGCCATCCATCGAATGGGGAGGAGTTGGGACCCATTGTCATAGTAATCCTGCTCGTAGAGGTCATGACCTATGCCGAGGTCGGCAATTTTGACAGAGAAATTTGAGCTGATGAGACAGTTACGAGTCGCGAGGTCTCCGTGTATAATCTGCTGCGAATAAAGGTAACGCATGCCTTCGGCTATCTGTGATACAAAATGGAGTAGGTCGGACTGAGTTAGCATAGGCTCAGAGTGAGGGCTGGGATGAGAAGCAAATAAAAAATTCTTGAGATCACCCTATGAAGAGAGAGAATGGAGAGAAGAGGAGGGAAGAGAGAGGAGAGGCATAAAAACTTAAAAGCTTAAACTTGCATCACTTACTCTGTCCAAATACTCGTATATGACGTAGTAGGGCTCAGCATCAGCGCATATTCCGAGTATCTTAGAAATAAATGGAGACGAGAGTCTCATTTGATTAGAAAAGTCCATGAGTGATGGCCACAGAGCCTCTTCCCCTTCTCTGGACATTAACACTTTGACTGCCACGAGAGTCTCGCTAGAATCTTCTGTGATGTGTCGAGCTATTGCTTTAACAACTGGTCCAAACTCACCCTCGCCCATGATGTCACCACTTAACTGTAGAGAAAAAGGAGGAGGAGAGAGAGGGGAAAAGAAAAGATGATGTACATCCACAGGGTTTGCTACAAAGCATGCTAAGTGAGCTAAACAGCATGAGCTTCATGAGCTGACAAGCACTACAATACAGTACATGTACAACAAGGCTTTGGGGCAACTTTAAAAATTAATTAAAAAGTCAATTTTGATCGGAATCAGCTCAAATTTGCTACACAACATAAGAACATGTACGTGTATGTACTATGTAGTATAGTATTATACTGGGTATTGAATTCATCGTGCTTATTTTTAAATGCTCATATCTCAGAAAATTAACATCTCAAAATAAATGCTGCTCTGTTAGCAGTCAAATGTCTAGACAAGAAGTGTGAAACCTAAATCCAAGTGCTAATATATAATAATATAAACTTAATTGAATTAAATGTAATGGAATGACTTTCAGGTTACAGTAGGGATTACACCGACTTTGCCATATCATTTAACTAGTCTAATTGGACAAAGAGACCGTATCACAAATACAGGAAATATCAACCATTCCAACAGACAAACAGCAAATAAAAATAACATCACTAATAATAGCAAGAGTAAATAATAATAATAAATAAGAGTAATAATAATTATAATAGGGTATTATTACTCTTGATTATAGCTACAAGGCAACAATATGAAGCAATAACTAAGACTAATGCTATTATACCAATAGGATTACAAAGATGGGATAAGTAGCTGTGTACTGTACATACCATTAATTTGTGACGTGGGAAGCTACTGATCCCGTGAGGTAAATTGAGCTCAGTTGCAAGACTAGCAGTGGGTCCATCGGGAGGAGGAGGGATAGGAGAGGGGACAGGAGGACCAGGTGAGACTGCCACACTGCTTGAGACAGCAGTCATTGGGACTGAGTTTGAATTATCAGTAGTGAACGTCCACAGACTCGATAAGTCGGATGGATTCTGCTGTAATATCCCGCTATTGTCCTTTCTCAAGGAACCACGAAGAGATGGTCTACGCTCAAAGGAAACTGTCTCCAAGACGGCCTTTTGGTGTCCGTTGGTGCTACGCTCTCGACTCCGACATTTAACATAGCAAAGAGTACAACAAAGAAGGAGGACAATGAGTATTATGAATATGACACCGACGACAGCTAAAACAATCGATATGAAGAGATTCTGTTCCAAACCCACTAATAGGAAAGGAGAAAAGGTCAAAATAAATACTCTGAGATCAATTAATTAATTTATGACACTTAATAAAACCGCACAATTGAACCAAAACTCATGAATAACATAAACAGCCTCGTGAATATCATTAACTCACATATCGTATCATCTCCGGTAAGAGCGGTAGGTGTGGCCTGACGTGGAGACACTTTAATGGTGACTGTACTGTGTTCTTTTACGCCATCAGGACTGTCAAAAAAACACAAATAATCTCCAGCATCAGACATGACAATGCTGGTAATGACTAGAGATCCATTGCTGTCTACAATTATACGGTCATCAGACTCAAGGTGAGAGAGTTCTTTGAGCCACGTAACTTTAGGAAGAGGTTTCCCCGCAACCCGACACTCCAAGTAGAGGTACTCACCCTCCATATACTGTACACTGCTGGGAGGGACTTCCAAAAATGATCCTGGAACTAAGTGGAAAATAAACAAATAAATAAAGTGTCAATAAGCATCCATTAATTATTATAGATTAATAAATATGTTATTAACTAACCGTTAACAATGATTTCAAAGGTTTCGTTGAACTCGTGGACTCCGTCGCTAGCAAGACAAGAGTAACTTCCCTCGTCTGACATTTTTACCGAATTTATTGTCAAACTGGCCACACCTCCTTGAACGACTCCATTAGAGACAGTAACATTCCTTGAAGACCTCAGGGGGCTCCCTCCTTTAAACCAAGACACAGTCAACGTTCCATCGCTGCTGATTCCGCCAAGAAACTCGCATGTAACAATCAAGATTTCATTAACGATGCCAGTTCGAGAAATAATGTCAAACTTGGGATAAATCTTATTAGTCAACACGACATGAACAGAATTCTTCACTTCTCTATAAGTGTCACTAGTATACGAGCAATGATAGACCCCTACATCAGAGACACTGAAGTTACGTATTGTTAGTATATTAGAATTGAATGACTCAGAGGAAATGAAGTTCTTATCAGTACTGTTCTCTTTGCTCCACTCTATCTCCTGATCAGGTATAGATACATTAACACTGCAATGAAGGGTGAGGGGCCTGTAGAGACGTGCCTCTCTATTAGGGAAAGCGGTTATTTTAACTAAAGGAGGACCCAAAACAGTGAGACTAACGAGTGACGACACAGGTAAAGAATTAGGACTGCTAGCGGTACAGTTATAGCTCCCGGCGTCTGAGTATTGCAAATTATTCAATACCAACTCGGGACCCTGTACTTCAATTCCCTGAGGGGTGAACCAGAAATAAGTGGGTGTGGCTAAGCTATCGTCATGGTTACTAGAACAGGCTAATGTTTTGCTAGTTCCAAGGCCAGTGCTGACAAAAGACGGAGAAACATGAACTGAATGAATGCCTGTACAAAAAGAATAAAAATAAGTTAAATCCACCTTCCCATATTCCATTCCTATACCGTATTCTATTCCATAATCTAATCAATATTCCATTCCTATACCCCTTGCATTCATTCCAATAATTATCAGACCAGATTGAGGAGTGGTAAGTGCAAACAAGACACAAACAAGATGACAACATAAACCCACACATACACTCATTAATCCACTTACTATAATACAATAATACTCAACACATTAATGTACTTATACTCATACAATAATACTCAACACATAAATGTATACATGTATGCCTTATAGACAGGTAGGAGAGGTAACTGGAACATAATGATAAGATAATGAGCATTCTCAGTGTGTGGTGGTGTATGTACAAGTGCTATGTGTGTGGGACTGTGTTTACTAATTGCACAACACAATAAGAATAATAATAATTAGCACTGTTTACTATTAGTAAATACACAACAGAGCAGTTTTGCAAAGTGCAGCAAGTGGCATGAGTATACAAACATGTGTAGATGTACAGAGAGGGAATAAAGAGAGAGTGATATGTACAGCGAGTACAGTATGTGTGTGACAGGGAAGCTACAGTAATAAATAACAGGCCAAATAAGGGTGGGAGTCTCACGGGCACATACAAGTGTAATTATATTATATTCATTATAATTATGATATGGTAATAGGATATTACCCACAATACATTAGCAACAAAGCCCTCCTCCCTCTACCTCTCTCTCTTTCTCTCCCTCCCTCCCCCCTCTCTCTCTCTTTCTCTCCCTCCCTCTCCCCTCTCTCTCCCTTACATGTCATATTCAAGTGGACTGTGGCACTATCAGCATTTAAATCATTTATGGCAGTACATTTATAGACTCCATCATCAGAGAGGGCAGCATTAGTGATTGTAAGAGAATTAGTGACAGGATCAACAGAATATCTCTCATTAGAGGGGAGAGTATTGTCTCCTAGTTTCCATGATACATCCCCATTGCCCACTGTTCCTGACACAGTGCAATGAATGGTGACAGTGTTACCAGGTTTAGTGCATACAGTGGACTGTGGGACTGTAACATCAACTGGTGTGGCTGGAGTACTGCCTGTATATAAGAAAAGAGAGAGAAAGAGAGTGATAATTCAGGTTAGACAATTAATACAAGTATATAAGCATCAACACTGCTTGATCTAGAGGGAGTTTAGGTCTCCCATATTTGGTCTAGGTCTCCTAAAATCTTTTCAGCTTTTGGTCTCTTACTGTATGTGTCATTAAGTTTCCCATTGTCAATTAGATTGATCCCACAAACTTTATTTCTTGACTCAGAGTATAAATGCATATGTACAAGTACAAGTATGCATGTACATGTACAGTACATTCCAACGAACCTTGAACAGCCACTTTGAGCTCAACCTCCTCTGACTGTACAGTACCAGCAGCAACATGCTCATAACTGCACCGATATCTCCCCCGATCATTAACAGCAATGTCACTCAAAAGAAGACTCCAACCTTCACTGCTATCCCCTCCATCACTAGGTCTAGTGTTACCGTCAACTTTAATCCACGAGACATTGTGGACTGGAGGGATGGCGGGAGGAGTACAGCAAGTGAGTAAGACGTCACTTTCAACACTAACAGAGTACGATGATAGACCAGGATACAACATAGAGTCAACTGGAGAAACCTGAATGTTGTTTTCTCGTACTTTACATATTGATAACTTTCCATGGAAATCTAAAATAAAGAAAAATAAAGAAATAATATATAAAGGGAAATTAATGAATGACAAAAAACATATGTAGATAACGCCTTGATGAAGGATGAGAGCATCATGTAGCTATGCTTGTAGCAAGAAGAAACAAATAATTGGGCAAAATGTGTAACATAATTTCGGTTTAAAAAATCTTAAAAATCTCGCGCAAGCATTCAAAGCAGCTACAACTTGAACTAGAACAACATAATCAGTTCACAAAAATACATACATACTGTACAAAAAATAACAAAAATAACAATCATGGAATACTTGTAATAATTCATTCATCACTTCATTGCTTACAGTAAACTGTGAGTTGGAATGGAGTGGAGACCTCAGACTGGTTTGAGGTTAGGGAGCAAGCATAAGTCCCTGAGTGTATTGTAGCATTGGCTGATGATATACTGATGTTTGACTCAGATGTATCAAAATTAGGATTACTGACTGAAACACTGACACCGTCCTTGAACCACTGTACTGCTTCACTAGAGCCCGTATCACAGTGAAGACTTACCGAGTCTCCTTCTATAACTACTGGAGGGCCAACCACCGTTGGAGGAGAAGCTACAATGAAAGAAGGAGAGAGAGGAGAACGAGAAACTAGGCTCTGTGTCTTTCAGATATACTCACCTCCTCCATGACTGAGCAAATAAATAAACGAAAGAAGGAACATCTCCACACATCTTCCTCTGGACTCGGAGGACATAACGAGAGGAAGAGAAGGACGAGAGAAGAGAGGCGTAAAAAGGCAAGAAAGAAAGAGTAGGATCTACTGCGGGCTGTGTGATGATTTACTATGCGGTGACTTCAAAGTTAAACAAGCCACGCCTATGAATCCAATTATTAACACTACATCATTCATGAATACAATCCTGTGTCATAATAGGATACTTGAAGATGTATTTCACCAAATAGCTTATTAGTTTGTCTGCAAACAGAAACGCCTTAAGACAATTTGGAGATGTACAAATAGAATTAATAATGGTTTCCAAACAAAGAGTGTGGGAGCGAAATAATGCGTCACATAGAGCCATCATTATGCGGTCAAGTGCATGTGCATAGTATATTTAAGTAAAGGAGTTCTTTTGCTAGCAGCTGTCTGGCGGAATGCCATCTCCATACTCCAACCTTTGTCTCTTTTGGTTCTCCAACTCGCCAAAGAAATCAGTAATGTCACGTGGTCGTACAACCTGATAAGGAATGAGAGAATAAGAGAGTGAGAGTGATCACGTGAGCTAGGAGACAGAGACATATCATCAATATTACATCATGCACTCTAGCTGTCTGCACCCTGCAGGGCATACACATCAAAGAGGAATACAAAGTCACTGTCAAAATCCACACCTACATACCTTTCCCTTGCTTGCAAAGCTGCCAAGGAATTTCTTTAATTCCTCCTTCATGTGATTATAACCTAAAATAGCAAGAGAGAGAGAGAGAGGGGGGGAGGTGGGTGGGAATAATTGGGTCATAAATCAAAATGATCATCGAATCTGCATTAATTGGCATAGTTTTTGATTCTTTAACATGAAAACTGTATCAGAATCAATTCATATGTCAATACATCGACATGCATACGGACAGCATCAGAAATATTGAGAGTGTTTTAAAATTGAAAATGGCCTATGTTAATTGGTTTTAAAGACACAACAGAGAGATGTACAGACAGGAGACAAACCATTAATCATTTCCACTTGTTGCACACGCCCCATGCTACTAGACAGAGCCTCCATCCCAACGTCATGTATGTAACCAGTGGACTTTGCCCTCGTCTCATAAGACGTAATACTATCAAGAGTATCAAGGAGAAACTCTACCGATAGTTCCTTGTACATCTTCTTGCAAGATGAGCAAGAACAAAGCTCTGACCTCCACTGACTAGTAAAGTACCCAGGACCAGAAAAATTAGAAGAGGAAGAAGATAAAGTTTTACGTTTTTCAAGTACACAAGTTTCAGTCTCCCTGAGTTGGGACTGACTTTCATTAGTAGGGCCGGGTACGGGGTCGGACTTCAGTGGAGGAGAGTCCGTGGAAAGAGTTTTAGGTTCAGCCTCCTTTCCATTCGGGATGATGGAATCAGATTCAGTTTTGGCAGTATGAGTCTCAGTCTTTTCACTTTCAATGTGGTGAGTCGTAGAAGTACATGCATCGAGTGTTTCCTGATGAACGAAAGGTTCTTCGCTAGATACCGAATGAATCTTGTAATGATAGAGAAACGAGAGGCGTGACATGCACTTGTCGCAGACCGTTTCTTCAAATGAATTGGGTGGGTGGAGTCCAAGATGCTAATTAATAAATAAACCAGTCAATGAATAATTAATGAGCTATTCTTTCTTACCCGGGTGTGGTACCAGTCTTCGCAAACTGAGCACTGGATCATCTCATCTTCAACCTGAATAAAATAATAATAATAATAATAATAATAATAATAATAATAATAATAGTTCTTCCTCCATCTCCCCCTGGGTTTTTTGTCTGTTTGTTTATTTTGTTTATAATAATAATAATAATAATAATAATAATAATAAATATAATGATAATAAATATAATGATAACAATGTATAATTGTATTTACTTCATCATCAAGGTCAGGGTATGGCCTGTTACATGTGCAGTACAATCCATTGAAGTTGTGATTATAAATGTTCTCACTATTTAATGGATCTTTATCCTATTAGGGAACCAAGTCAATGATAATATTGCAATAATTGCTACAGTACATAATTTTATGGGCAGAGTGTACATGTACAGGGTATTTCATCAAAAATGGCAAGAAGAGAATTCTCCATTTTTATAATATTTTCTGATGCATATACATGTTCTTATATTGTGTAACAAGCTTGAGCTGATTCCGATCAAGTTTGAATTTTTAATGAATCTTCAAAGTTGCTCCAAAATCAGGCCAAAGTCCCTGTACTATAGTACAGAGATTTTGGTCAAATTTCACCAAAAATGAAAAGGATAATTTTTTTCATTTTTATAATTTTTTCTGATACATATACATGTTCTTATATTGTGTAACAAGCTTGAGCTGATTCCGATCAAGTTTGAATTTTTAATGAATCTTCAAAGTTGCTCCAAAATCAGGCCAAAGTCCCTGTACTATAGTACAGAGATTTTGGTCAAATTTCGCCGAAAATGAAAAGGATAATTTTTTTCATTTTTATAATTTTTTCTGATATATATACATGTTCTTATATTGTGTAACAAGCTTGAGCTGATTCCGATCAAGTTTGAATTTTTAATGAATCTTCAAAGTTGCTCCAAAATCAGGCCAAAGTCCCTGTACTATAGTACAGAGATTTTGGTCAAATTTCACCAAAAATGAAAAGGATAATTTTTTTCATTTTTATAATTTTTTCTGATACATATACATGTTCTTATATTGTGTAACAAGCTTGAGCTGATTCCGATCAAGTTTGAATTTTTAATGAATCTTCAAAGTTGCTCCAAAATCAGGCCAAAGTCCCTGTACTATAGTACAGAGATTTTGGTCAAATTTCGCCGAAAATGAAAAGGATAATTTTTTTCATTTTTATAATTTTTTCTGATATATATACATGTTCTTATATTGTGTATAAAGTTTGAACTGATTACGATTAAATTTGGATTTTTTATGAATTTTTACAGCTGCAATACTTCATTTCTTGTACAATGTACACACCAGTAGTATATATGTACATATATCACACAAATTGATTTATTTTTAGTAACGCACCGGACACAAAAGACACGGGTTTCCAGAAATCTTTGAATTGCCACAGTCACAGCGAAAATTACTAAATTAAAAGTCCCATAAATTAATTCCCTACTTGCCACGCCTACATACCGCTTTGTGTAGAGTTCAATGACATCATGTCCTTCGTGACATCGAAGACTGCAAGCCAAGCAAAACCCAGCCAGGACAGATGAACTAGGAGTGCATGTACTACATGCATACAAAGCCTGCCGGGATACATATCCCTGTGTGAAGAACAAAAAATAAAATATTAATACTAAAATTATTTAAAGCCAGGTATCGTCTTTGTACTTTAGTGTAAGTACAGTTGGTGTCATCAGAGTCTCCCAGTACAGCGTTAGCAGTGTCTTGAAGAGCTTGCTCTTCGTCTACTATATCTTTGATAGAGACAACAGAATCTTCATCCTCCAAAAAGGCCGCCATTTTAATTTTAATGGGAGGAGCTATAGATTAATAGTTACTTAATTTTAATAACAGTTAACTAACTTAATGACTTGTTAACAAAACAACCTTTTTTCAGTTGGCATTTTAATATTAATTTTTTGTTTTATAATAACTTTTTTATTTGATAATTCTGTGAAGTTTGCTCTCGAAGCAAACAATAATAAAAATAATGAATGAACACAAAAATATTGAATGAAGAAATGAATGAGACACCAACTGCCAGAGTTGATGCACATTACATATATAGATCTATCAATAATATATAATTATAGAGCAGTAGTGTATAGTTTATAATGACACTATAATACAAAGTGAGTGGGGGTGGGGTAGGATCAGCAGAAAAGGAATAGAGTTTATCAGTGGTGGTGAGAAAAGTGTGTGTGTCAGTGTAGAGTCCAATTACAATATCGAGCAGCTTTCTTTCGATTTTGACGAGTGATTCATCTCTAGTGCTGTTGCAATGGCCTCATCAAATGCAGTCTTTACATTAGTCTTAGACTTAGCCGAACACTCTATGTAAGATACTGCCTTCATGGAAGCTGCTGCTTTAGTTCCTTCGGACCTTGTTACATATTTCTTGTTTGATGATCTGAAATCTCTTAATAGGGTACCGTTGTCTCTCTTATCAACTTGAGTCCCTATTAGTAATACCGGTATACCCGGACAGTGCCTCTTGACTTCCTTAAGCCAGCGGCCACGAGCATTCTCAAATGAAGAGTAATCAGTGACAGAGAAGAGTACAAGAACAATGTCAGCCTGAGGGTAGCAGAGAGGTCTGAGGTGTCCAAAATCATCTGAACCCGAAGTATCGCAGAGTGTCATGTTTACTCTTTGGCCGAGAACTGTCAAAGAAGCTGCACAAAAAGGAAAGAAAAATATAGTAAAAGATATTTCTTATCATAGTGATGATGATTATATGTAATGAGATGTACAAATAAAAGATCACTGCTATGCTGTCTATTGAATACTTACTTGAGAATTTGTCATAGATGGTTGGGGTGTGAGTAGCAGTGAATTTATCACTCGTGTATGTCTGCAGTAGGGAAGTCTTCCCAACAGCACTGTCACCAACTAGAACGCATTTAAGAGAAATTGGAGAGGATCCTTCAGTGCAGCTACTAGCTGAAGACCGAGGGAGACTAGCATACGATCTCTCTCTATGCTGTTGCTGATGGAAACTTCCTTCTCTGTTGAGAGTGGACGATCCCTTCCTCGTGCTACCGCCTCGGCGGGGCTCTGGCACAGGAGATACAATGTCGCTGAACTTTCTTCTCATCTCCAGGTTGATTGAAGACTTGCTGCGAGGAACGTAGCGAATACTGGGGGTCCGCCCGACTGAAGAAAGATGGCCCGAAGAGGTGCTACAACTCGAGGCGCTGCTGCCAGAAGAGCAGATGGAGTCTTTCCTCTTCAATGGAGAAAAAGAAGGAGAACCGATTCTTTCCTGTTGATGGGGGCTATCAGAGACAAGGCAAGGCGTAGGACTATCTTTACCACCCATTGCTGTTTCTTAGCTCTAGTATTTGCTTCTTTTGTAAGCTCCTTTAGTTTTGAAATGCTGTGTAGCTAACATCACCTCGTCTGCCTCGTTTTATACTCGAGCAAAGTTAATCATGACGTCACATTCACTTTTATTAATAATATTTATTTATTATTGATTAAGAAAATGCCCCCAACACAAATAAAAAGGACCAAAACTAATATTATAATAATAACAATGAGTTCTGTGTGGGTGTGTGCAACCGTGTTTTATGATGATTTTTGGGGAGGAAGAGAGAGAGAGAGAGAGAGAGAGAGAGAGAGAGAGAAGAAAATAATATTAATAAGAATAATAACCTCTAATTTTGCTAAATGTCCCAATGTGGAAGCCATTTCAAGCCGTACATTCTGCTCTCGGGATTATCTGACTTGGAGCCAGACATGCCATAGGAGAGTGGCATGAATGTAGCAAAACTAGAGAGAAAGAAAACAAGAAGAAAGGGAGAGGAGGGGAGAGTAGGAAAGGTGGGGAAGATAGAGAGAGAGAGAGAGAGAGAGAGAAAAGGCAGCAGTCATTTGATGAGAACATCAAAGTCACATTGCACATGCAAATAAAATTATGAAAGGAAAATAAATCCTTATCAGTAGCCCACAGTCACAAGACATGACACAGTGTGTATACTCACACACACATGTATACACAATGAAAAGGGAAACTTTCCGTGAAAGTTACACATGATACAACGGAAATAAAATAATCACGAGTTTATTTTGTAACCGAAAGGTATCAAAACAATATAGTGAAGGTTTAGATATTTCAAGTTATTTAAGCAAAAGGCAGAGAATTCCCCCCATTGAAGCTATAATGACACACACAATATCAACGAAAAGAAAAACAAGGGAATAAAAAACTAATATGCATATACATGTACATGCAAGGATGTAGATTGTACAACTACAGTTACGTGGCATTAAGATAAAACAAAATAAATGAAAGAGTTACAATTAATTGATACAAGACACAGTGAGTGACTGAGCATGATCATAATGTCACCTAACATTAAACAAACAAGAGCAGCAATCAGTAATCCACAACAGACTGTGAATATAAAATATTTCAATACAATATAATGAGAGGTCTAGACACTGTTAGCACGCTGTATGTTACATCCATAAAAGCTAATAATTTGAAATAACTGCCGCTTCTCTCTTGCTGCTCGTGTCATAAACCTTCTTGTCTCATTTATTTTCTTTCCCCTTTTATCCTGTTTGTGCTGTATCTGCCTGTTTCACTCTCCCCCCCCCTCTCTCTCTCTCTCTCTCCCTCTCTCTCTCTCTCTTTACCTTCCAATCAATACGGACATCACAAGAGTAAAGGCAGAGAAAAAGAAGAAGGACTTGACTCGAGATGAGATGAGACAAGTTATGAGTTTAATGAATGAGTCAATTACTATAGCTACATGGAGAAAGAGAGAGAGAGAGAGAGAGAGAGTCAAGAAAAGGAAAACAAAAAATATTATAATAATAATAGTTTGAATTAATGTTGTACAAAGCAAATAATTATGATTGCAACATAAGGCAAACAATACCAAACATGCCACACTCAATATACTATAGGTAAATTATATTTAAGAGAAGGAAATACTTCAATTTTCCAAGAAATAGGGACAGCATAGCATAGGAATTTCCTCCCTCCCTCCCCCCTCTCTCTCTCTCTTACACTATCCACTGTAAACTATTAGAGAATGTATCATCTAGCAAACAAACATGTAAATATGTACACATTGATACACAAACATACACACGCTCATGCTATAGCATAAAGAATATGTACATGCATACATGCACATATTTGTGTAGGTAGGTATATACAGTACACGCTAATAATAGCATAAAGATTCTAATCATTATACAGAGAGAGAGAGAATCCATTCAAGGAACAGACAAGATCAATTACACAATAATATTGCTACACATTATCTACTTATCTTCATCTAGTATGCACACACACACACACAAACTGACATTTCTCATCAAATTATTCATAATAATAATAAAGTTAAAGTCATCATAGAGTAGAGTGACTCATAGTGATCAAAAGGATTGTTGTCATCTTATGTCCTTCCTCTAGCTAGATTGGCATGAAAATAAGTTTGTGTGTCTCCAGTAGTTCCTATTGTGCAAGATGACGCATGAAGTTTATAATCATTTTGAGTGAGATCCATTATTATTATTATATAATTTGTGAGTGTGTATGCATTATACTTATAATTAATTATATTGCCAACAGTCTCTCCTGTTTTGTCTAAATATTAATAAAATGATGAAAGAAAGGATCAAGCAGAGTACAAACAGACAGAAATGTCTGTGTCTTGATCTTTAGTCCATACTTAGGCTAATGTACATGTACATGGCTAATTAATATACTGCTACTAAAGGATAAAGATATCATTAGATTGATGACCAGTCTGTTTGCAGTTCCTGTGCGTGCGTGGATGTAGAAGGGATTCAAAGTATCCTATAGATATGCCAGTAACAACAATAACAACGACAGGATTGAATACTTGATCATTATTTTACAAGATTCCATAGCTACGTGTCAGCCAAAACTGAATATGACAACATCAGGGTATTATATCAATTTGAGCAAATTCCAACGGCAAACAAGATTACTTTGTCCCATTAGTGTGTTTACCATTTTTCCCAGAGAGAGTTTAGATATGTAACTAACAAAGTTACAATACGAATGACACAGCACCTTTAGAATTTCAATTTTAGTCTCATGTCCTCATATTGTTTTGCTCTTCTTTCCTTTCAAACCTCCTCTTTCTCTCTCTCTTTCCTTCCTTCTCTCATTCTTCCTACTACCCACTCAGTACTTCCCAATCTCATAGCAGTCACTACAACTGACTGGCATATACCTGCATAGCCCCAACACACGTCACTATTCTCCTTCCTTTCAAACCTCCTCTTTCTCTCTCTCTTTCCTTCCTTCTCTCATTCTTCCTACTACCCACTCTGTACTTCCCAATCTCATACTCATAGCAGTCACTACAACTGACTGGCATATACCTGCATAGCCCCAACGCACGTCGCTATAATAACAAATTACACTAAAAATACAAATACAAGTTAATAGGTTAAAAATAGTCTGGAGACAGCGTGAGCCATGTCATCACACAATTGAACAGTCTGTCAACAGTCCAAGTACACCTTCACTAGTTGCCTTAGTTGGGCTAAGCATGAGAGTGGACAAGAGGGCAGGTGTTGAATTGAAAGAGAGAGAGAGAGAGAGAGGGAGAGGGTAAATCCAGTAATGGCTATTATGAACAACAGCTAGTACACTGTGCTTACAAGAAGCAGGTGGCGCTATTTGTTAGAAACGCCTCAAAAAGTGTGACATAAGCTAAACTAGGACTAAACACGTCAAGAGAGACATAACAGTACAATTAGCAACATATGCTGCTGCTGCTGCCTTTAGATCTATAAATAACAACAAGATCTATAATAGGACACAAGAAGGAAGAGGATTAAAACACAAAAGAGAAGGCGAGAATGAAGTGACTAGAGAAGATTAAGAGAGAGAGAGAGAGATGTTTCCCAGGCACTACACACTGTGAGCAAACAAAGTTAAAGAATGTATTAATTATTCTAAAAAAGGAGTCACAGATAACCTGATAATAGAATCTAATAGCATCCAATTATCAACATCACTAGCTAATGAATGCTATACGATTGCTTTCTATTGAAAAATGCACACACACACACACACACACTCAGTAATAAATGAATAAATGATGCTATATAACAGTGTCACCGAAATAGTCCCTGAAATCCCAAAGGTGGGTAGATACTGATATAAATATTCATTCATATAGGGACATACATGCATACAGAAGCAATACACATTAATAGTACATTAACAATCTATATAGCACTACATATAATGAAGGGGCTGTATATTATACAGCATCAATGGAATGTGGAATTAATGACAACCTCTCACTCTCTCTTTCAAGCATTTAATGAGAGTCACGCAATCAGAACTTAAATTTAAAAGCTGTAAATAGAGTAACAATAAACACACATGTACATACCACAAATCAATACAGCAATAATAGGAATATACCATATATACAGAAAGACTATGTACATGTACATCTAGTATACATGTACATGTACATAGTACTACATTAGGAGATTGCATTCATTCTCAGGATAAAGTTACATGTAGTCAAGGAGCAGTTACATGTAGTTATGCTGTACAGTTACAGTTCGGTGCATTAGGTTGTAGTATTGAGGCAATTCCAGCCATAGCTGTCATTTAGGATAAAGTATCGTTTGATGTGCTGATGTAAACACAAACAGAGAACATAGCAATAAGAGACAGGCATGACTCCAGACTGGAAACAAGGACATGGTGTGTGGATCATCTCTCTCGTACATGTAACATGTAACAGGATTTGATTAGCGGAATCACATGTGGTTCATGCTGAGAATATACTGGAGTGCATGTCTGATGTACAGAGAGAGAGAGAGAGAGAGGATGATTGTTAGATCATGTATGAAGAGCTGATGAATTTGGCAATGTCACAGCTATAGTCAGCAGAGAAACAACAACACATCTATATAGTAGTACTGTATTAGCCTCTATATATCTATCCATGTGAATTATGTACATTGTAGAGGTATTTCTTATTAGCTTATAAGAGTAATTGTGATATGAATCTGATTGAATATGGTCTTGTGAATCAGGAAGCCAGCAGTGTACACCAAGGGAAGGCCATAATAGGATGCAATATCAGTAATATGGTCATATCAAGGAGTATATCACCATTAGAACTTCCTTCTCTCTTCCCTTTCACTCTTTATCACTACTATATCAATTAATTGACGATTTTGAATTTAAAATTTGAAATTTAAAATGTCTTCTCTCTCTCTCTTTCTTACCTCCTAGCATCACGATGAACATCAGTGCAGGGAAATAATGATGAAAGTAGAGGACCCTACCCATTAGGTAGAAGGGAAGGTAGTGTAATGCCCAACCTAGTATCAGGAAACAACCAGAAGACACAAACCTATTAACAAACACTGAGAGAGAGAGGGGGAAAGGGAGAAAGAAAGAGAGAAAGGGAAAGAGAGAGAGGGTGGAGAGAGAGGGAGGGAGGGAAAGAGAGAAAGAGAGAGAGAGTGGGGGGAGAGAGGGAAAGAGAGGGAGGGAGGAAGGGAGAGAAAAGAAAGTTGATATACATGTACATCTACATATGATATGCGTACACATTCGTTGCACATGTGAAAGTAAACATGGTTACCAAACAAAATAACACAAAATCAAACAAAAACATGTTGCATAGCAAAATGGGCCAACGGCTAGAGGCTATAAACACTATTCTAATCATCATAACACTAATTGTCATGTGTATAGGATACAACAAACAACACAAGATAATCAAGTATGATGGACATTTCATAAGAAAATAAAGAACACATAAGTGTAGCCAAGTAGAGAGAGAGAGAAAGAGAGAGAGAGAGAGAAGAAAGGAGAATATGATTTATAATTATAATACATGTAAAGTGTGAAAATAGGCCAAAACAAATTAAGGCAAAATAACAATGCCACAAGTCAAAACATGCACTAAAATCAATTGTACTCCTCCACATTGAAGTACCTCATCTTCATTATAACAATGACTTGACAGAAAAGGTAAACTATAAATGAAGGTGTTTACGATCAACTGGACATTAAGACATCAACAAAGAGGAGTCAGCTTGCCAGCCAGACTTTAAACAGATGCACCTTAAGCAGACAACACTTTAAACCGGTCGAAAATAAGCACAGCAGCTTCTAATTATGATGACAATAGAATTAGCAATTATCTTATTAAAATAGCATCCATGACTGGGCGGTTGTATAGTCACTAACATGTACATGTACATGCAATTAATCAACAATATATCTCTCCTTTGTCTTAAGATTGGTTTACAATATTACTATGTTGAGACAGGAGCTGAATTTTTAGTTCTATTCTAGCATAAAAGCTATCTCAAAAGGTCAAACTGCTCACACTTTTGATTAAAAGTCACAATACGTTAGCCTGGCATCAAGTTGTAAACCAGAGCTGACCTTGAGGCAGGTCATAAGTGATGTAGTGTTATAAAATAATGAGAGGATCTGGCCTCAGGCCTGACACAAATACAAAGATAAGAATAAGATTTCCCAAAGAGCAGCTGGTAAGGGACTTTTGTGTGAGTAGACAAATCAAAGAGACAACAAATTAAAAGAAGACAAGAAAGTGTAACGAGCTAGTACAAATATTGCTGAAGTGTCTATCTCCTCTCATTTTCCCTTACTCCTCTATGACATATACACTCTCTCATGTTTACTATCAATATAATTAGAAGAGGGACGATTTGAGAGCATGATATACATGTACATGTACATGTATATATGTAACTTTAATTGATCAGTAGTTGCTGCTATTATAGACACAACTATACGCTACCACTTTAGAAGAGTAAAAAAACAATAAAAACGAAATAACTCTTTCAAAGGAGATCAAGGTTGTACTTAATTGCTTTGGACAATTCGATAATTTGAATGAACCTCTTAATCAAAGGATCACTGCTTTGTACTTGTACAAACACTTTGACACTTGAAAACTTAAAGCATGACAGAGTGCCATTAGTTAATTGCTGTGATGTCTGTGTTTATTGTCAAATGTGAGGGAGTTATGCCGACAATGACGGAACGGGTTCTCACAAAGAAATGCAAACTGAATTAGCAGAGAATATTGAATCAACATAAGTCATACACACACACACACACAAACTATTATTAGACTTTACTATTGGATAGTGTGTACAGGTCAGTTAGTGAGAGAGAGAGAGAGAGAGAAAGAGAGAGGGGGGGGGGTAAGGAATTAAGAGATTAAGGTAGAAAGAATGAAATAAAAGGCCACAAAAATGCAGCAGAGAGGAGAGAACACGAAAGCGGAAGATTGAAAATGATCACAGAAGTCCAGAGAAAGGAAGAAGCACAATTATGCTAAATATTTAAAATGACACAAACCCACCCAAGCAATAATAAACAGCATATTCCAGTAATGCCAGTAGAATTGGAGTACATTCCGTTACAAATAAATCATCAAAAGACCAAAAGGAGATGTAGATGAACATCACTGTATCAATACTCATTCATACTGTCACTACACAATATGAATGTACTGATGATAGTACATGGTATATGTACATATATTGATGTAAGTACTGTACATGTACCTGATATTGAGAGATAGTTGACTGATCTCTGATCAGCTACCAACTTCATTAGAACAAAAAGGACAAAGAGAATCAGGAGGACATCACAGCCCCAGAATATAATCTAAAAATATATACAAACAGTCACATAGACTACATTATTCCAATCAAGTTTGGACTAAAGGCCTTTTCACACTGGCACAGTTTTCAAAGCGCTTTGATGCGCTTTCTTGATACAGCTGAAATAATGCACATTGATCGTGTTCACACTAGCAGCTGAATCATGTATCATTTTGTGTTCTTGTTGCCATTGGTTTACATTGATCGAAGCGCATCACTTCACATCAATCCACCTCTGGAGGTGAAGTGAGAGTGATGCGCATTGATGCGCATCAATTAAAAACCACTCTAGTGTGAACACGATTAATGCGCATCAATGCGCATTACTTGTGCCAGTGTGAAAAGGCCTTTAGTTTCTCCAAAAGCCATCTTGTACATGTACTGTATTGTAGTGCTTGTCAGCTCATGAAGCTCATGCTGTTTAGCACACTTAGCATGCTTTGTGGGAAACCCTGACTGGCTATTATGTACATACGGAGGAGGGAATGGACACAGAGGACGTGTGAAATAGAATTGATTGGTAATGAATAGAAAGAATGTAAGTGTGAATTCAACATGAATACATGTAATTCTTAACAATGATTGGAATGAGAGACTAGGAGCTTAATATCTTACTGGATTCCCTAACAGATAAACTCTGTAATCACCACCAGAGAATAACTGGCCCTAAAATGATAATAACAACAACAATAACAACAATAATAATAACAACAACAATAACAACAACAACAACAATAATAATAATAATATAAATAAAAAGTATATTTTGATGATTGTTAGATCTAGAGGGAGTTTAAGAGACTTTTGGTCTCTCATATTTGGTCTAGGTCTCCCGAAATCTTCCAATCCATTTTTAGTCAGATGGTCACCCAGGATTATTCTAGATCTATCAATCAATGACTGTATGTGAACTGTACCTGCCAGGTTAAAGGCCAGTGCCATGGCTGAGAAGTCTGCTCTCCTTCTTTAGGCTTCATATTGTTATTGGACTATAAGAGGAGAGAGAGAGAACAAGAGAGGGGGGGGAGAGGAACAATATGACAAAGAGAAGATCAGTGAACCACACAATGACTACAATACCACCAAATGTAAAGTACATGTACAAGAATTACAAATAGAAACGAGATCAAATAACATACTACACACACAAATAATAATGTTTAAAGCATAAGGTTAGTACAAACTTGTATGGTAAATTAATTCAGTAACCTCTGACACCATGAGATTAGTATTTACACATATAATGGGTCAAACGGACAAAATGAAATAAAAAAGAGAGACAGAATGTATCAGAGAGGACACACACATAAAGAATTATATGTGACACTTAAAATTTGCATACACACACACACACACATAACTCAAGCATTAGACTCATGATGTATAGCAGGTATTTGCTGTAGCTGCCACACACAAACTCACTCAATGAGATGAACATGCTCTCATACCTTCACACCCACACAAACAGCACATGTACATGTACATCATAATTCACACATTGTACATTATAATTCACATATTGTACATGTACTACAGTTCACATTGTACATGTGGATACCTCAGCCATCACTTGATGTGACTCTATTAGCTTTGAGAAGAAGCCAGGCTTGTAGAACTCAAATGAGATATTAGGCACTAAAAGAAATAGAGAATATTAATCATTAAAATAATTTGTGTGTGTGTGTGCGTGCGTGTGTGTGTGTGTGTGGTGAGTGTGTGTGTGTGTGTGTGGTGAGTGATGATTAAGAGTGGGTCCAATGCTTACACTTTGGATTAACATTCCCTTCAACATTCCAGAGGTTGTTTGAGTCATCTTTATAAGGATTACATGTGACCTCTAGCTGCTCCCAGCCCCTGAGAGAGGGAGAGAGAGAGGGAGGAAGAGAGAGAGGGAGAGGGAGGGAGAGAGAGGGAGGGAGAGAGAGAGAAAACATATATTTAATAGACTCAAAATGGTCAGGAGTACAAAATTCCATCACCAAATACAAAATGTCTGCCTTCCAAAAGACAATGTTAATCAAATTATTTAAGGTATAGAGAATGACTTGGTATATCATATCTCTATGCCTAGGATGGCTTTCATGATAAAGAAATAAAACAATTAGTTTCAGCTAAATGAATTAAGAGAGGAAACTGACACAGAGAGAGAGACAGATAATGCCTAAATTAATCAACATAAATTCAGCATAATAAAATTATTTAATCAATTAAGAAACAACTATTGGATAAAGAGGATTTGAATATATCAGAAACATATTTCTGATATAATATGAACGCATACAAAAATTTATTAATGACCAATTATAATAACTAATAACTCATTACTAATTCATTAATAATTCTTTAATAGCTCATTAATAAACCCACCACTTTGGTAGTTGCTTGCTATGAGAGTGAAGGTAGCAGCCGACGGCAACATGTCTGAAACGAAGCCGTGAAGCAACCGTCCTGACAGGATCACCTTGTTTAGCACCGACTATGTCAACTTCCCAGAAGTCGTTAGCGTCACCCACTCCATCCTGAAGACATTAAAGACATACGTATATATGCACATGGACTGTATGAGATAAGTCATTGGGTAATATCCATTATCAAATAAAAAGACACACAATTAAATGACACAATAGATATAATCCAAACAATTCCAAAATAAGCAAATCAAACTGAACATATACACATCAAGTTCCCGCCAGTATATGTACATATTTATGTTTATGTATAATAATAAAGCATAAGAACAATAAGATGCATGATCATGAGTTTATATTATTGCCATTACCTGCCCATAACACGAAACTTGTTTGTGAGATTTAGTTATCGGCCCATCAATATTGTGACTGTGAAGATTACGCTTTGTGCTATCGGTAGGAAGTTTAGGAAAAAGGAATCAAGAGAATTAAGAAAGAGATTAAATGCAAATATAATGTACATGAGAAAAACAAAGTGATTAGTTGGTACAGAAGCATGCACATATACATAAATGTAGATGTACATATACACTGTACATATAATCAAGAGTACATATGATACAAAGAATCAAAAACACAATACAATATTTGCACATGTACATACATGTATAATATACATTTTTAGATTTACAAATACATGTAAATTTTGAGAAACCAATCTCAACTACTAATGTTAAGCCCAACATCCACTATGGCAACTTTGTGGTTACTTTGATGTATGTCAACTTTGTTACCAAAAGTAGAACAGTGTTCTACTTTTGGCAACAAAATTCCTGTTGATTTCAACAAAGTTGCCTAGTGGATGCTGGGCTTTAGACTTAAGCTAGATAAGCCACAAATCAATGTGGCATGGGATACTAATTGCTCCATTTAATATCAGCCCACTCAACTGGAGCATAGCTATAGCCTATGGAGAGGTGACTATATGATAATCTCTTAACTGTCAACAACTGGCTGGGTGAGGTTCATACCAATTCCATGTCATAATGAACATATATAGAGTGGAAGCAGCTGTTAGAAGGAATATGCCACCCGCAGTATCTGTACTGCCTCTAGTCTGTAGCTCTGGGTTGTGATTAATTAAGCACTAATAAGGAATTGAATGTTGTGTCGGAGGATGAGGGAGTTATAAGTATAGACAACAACAATGTGCATTGATTTAAAATATACATGATTTATAATATACATGATTTATACTGTTCTAGAGTAAATGCAGACACACAGACAAGTAATTAATAAACAAACTATAGGTATATATACTATATCAATGCCAAGTTCCCACAACAGTTGTTAGTAATAATACGCATAAACAAAAAACAACTACAAGATAGGGCCTGGCCCTGTCCCCATACAATCATTCTCCCTAAGTCATGGCGGATTAGTTCAGTGCTATTCTATCAAAGGTATCACATTTACTGTAGGTCATTAGTAAATGTCCTATGAATCTACACAAGTCCAAACTGGACTCGGATGTCACATACCAGACAGCCATACTCTCCCTTCCCTTATTAGCCTCTCTTTGATTGACGAGTGTATATGTACACAGTCGCCTCTAGCTACAGGTACAGCTATGACTGATGTACAATTAGAAATGCTTTGAGGAAGATTACCTTCCTAGACGTTATTAGGTGTGTCACAGTGTGTGCGTGTAATACATGCACATGTGTACTGAATGTGTACATGCATGGAGTAGCAGCTAGTATACATGTACATGTAAACATATTTATAATATAAAGGGGTTTGTAAAACATATTGGGAACAGAATATACATGTAATAGTAACAATAGCTTTATTATTATTAGCAACAATAGCTTTATTATTATTATTATTATTATTATTATTATTATTAACATCATAGAAAAACAAATTAAGAAGAGGAAAAGAAAATGTGACCCCATCATTAATATTATTATCATTAATTTTTTTTAAATACATAAAAATATTAATTCAATAATAACACTATGTGTATGTGTACATGTGCCAAACATGTAAGCATAACAACTCATTCAGTTTCGGGACACTTTCCCAAGGAAATTAAATTAAAAAGAAAACATGCCTCCACCATCAGAGAAACCTTTTTCACACCAAAGTGAAAGGGTGGTGCCTGTACATGTGTGCAAACACTTATTACTACACAATTAAGTGGATGGAGATTGTTGTGTTAACATTATGTACATGAAAGAACAAATGAACAGTAAGCATGATCACATACGTCAAACATGTGATTAAAACTTAAAAGCATAAGTACATGTATATAAATGTGTGGGCGTGTGAATGTGCATGAATCTGCATGTACATGTACATGAAAATACTGAAGTGCTATTACATGCACATGCACATGTACATCTATATAGCTTTGACATAAACATAAGTGATATTTATTAAAGGTATTCCTTTACATCAAGTAATGATTAGACCTCCTGGAAAAAAGGGCAGCCTACGCTTAGAGTAAACAACACAGATATCAAAGGATGTAAGAAAGAAATAATAATTATTGTTATATGTACATATACATGTAAAAGTAACATACGATACATGCTCCAGGACAATCCAATCACCATTCTTTACCAACTGATATTCTGTGAGGGAGAGAGAGAGAGAGGGGGGGGGAGAAGGAGGAGGGGTAGGGTGTGAATGGCAATATACACATGTAGCATATTATGTACATGTGCCAAATGTTCATGTGAAGATTGAATATAAATATCACTGACAAATTATTTAAATCTAAAAATGTCAATTACAACCAGGGTGAGGTCATAAAGCAGGCCAAATATAAAAAATAAATTACTATTATAATCATACATGTACATCAATATGCATTATTATTATTATTATTATTATTATTATTATTATTATTAGTTACATATGTACCATCACTAGCATTGAAATTAGTATCATTTGCTCTCTTAACCAACCACTTGTTATTATCATCTTTGTGTGAGTATGCTGTAACCTAGGGAGAGGAAGAGAGGGAGAGAAGGGAAGCTAGTTGATAGGTTATAAGTAAAGAGTATATTGAGGTACTTGTTGTTGTCTTATCTCGGCCATTTCCTCAGGATAAAGGTGAGAATGAGAGTGTAGGAGACCTCCCCCTCCTCTGTGGTTCTTGAGAGTAATAACGGCATCGTAACCAAGGACTAGGAAGAATACAGGCACACATAAATGTGCATGATGTTATTTAAAAATAAAATACATGTACTGTGTGAGTATACATGTACAGTGTACATTTATTACACTTCATAGTGACTGAAATGTATAATACATAAGAATACATATTGTACATGTACATGTAGTACGTGTAATTAAAAAATAAAATATGTGTACATGTACATTGTATCTATTAATCGTTACTACTTACATTCAGGGACTTTTTGGTCATATAATTCATTCCCCACTAGTGTTGCTTGAAACTCAGAACTAAAGAAACCATCACCATTACCACTAAAGAAAGATCACAGGAAGGCATTCAATGTACATATATACATATAAAATATTTAGAAAATAAAATTCTCTTTTTACCTGTATCTCAGAGCAATAAAGTGAAGCTCAAATATGCTGATATATATCAAGAAAGGTAGTAAAATCAGACAAAGTGCACGACACATAAACTGCTTCATAAAATCAACCTACAGGTGATGCAAGTCAGTAAATTATTAGCATAACTCAGTAAAATTTACATGCGTGAATACCATTGATATCCTGAGGTCCCCCAGTATATCCCAGAGATCTTTAATCGTCATGAGACCAACCAAAAGAATGACAAACAATCCAACCCATTTTACACTAAAAATATAAATAGAAAAATTTGAACCAATTTTGATTAAAAATTATGATACACGTTAATGCATCAAGTATGAGCTGATCCTGATCAAAATTGCTCCAAAGTTCCCTGTACTATAGTACAGGGTATTTCGCCAAAATTGACTAGGAAAGAATTCTTCATTTTTATAATGTTTTCTGATACATATACACATTTTTATGTTGTGTAGCAAGTTTGAGCCAATTCCAATCAAATTTGAATTTTTTATGAATTTTTAAAGTTACTCAAAATTCGGGCCAAAAAGGATTTCGGCCAAATTTCACCAAAAATGACTAGGAGAGAATTCTCCATTTTTATAATGTTTTCTGATACATATACATGTTCTTATGTTGTGTAGCAAGTTTGAGTTGATTCCGATCAAATTTGAATTTTTTATGAATTTTTAAAGTTACTCAAAATTCGGGTGAAATTCCCTGTACTATAGTACAGGGATTTCGGCCAAATTTCACCAAAAATGACTAGGAGAGAATTCTCCATTTTTATAATGTTTTCTGATACATATACATGTTCTTATGTTGTGTAGCAAGTTTGAGCTGATTCCGATCAAAATTAATTTTTTTACAAATTTTTAAAGTTGCTCAAAAATTGGTGCAAAGTCCCTGTACTATAGTACAGACATTTGGCTAAATTTCACTAGGAGATAATTCTCCATATTATATTTTTTTCTGATACATTGCTATACTATATATTGCTAACTGTCAACAGATACATGAAGTACATGTATATCAGAGCTAGTTCTGTATGAATTACCTAAATGTACAGGCTAGGAATATTCCAGTGAGCACTAAGAAGTACCACCACTCTAATGTGTAAGGTCTGTCAGTACATAAAAAAGAAAGATAATTTATAAAAAGACAATTTATAAAAAATAAAGATAATTATAAAAAATAAAGATATTGTCTATTACTTACTCTTCTTTATAGCTTTGAAATTTAACTGCACAATAAGTGGATGCCATCACAAAAAACATCAGAGGAGGATCGAGCAATATGTACTGCGAGAGGGTTAGTGTTCCTGTCTCTATATCATGGAATAGTCTGATGAATCTCTCTCTCTCTCTCTCTCTCTCTCTCTCTCTCTCTCTCTCTCTCTCCCCCCCTCCTCTTACCACACAGTATCATGGTCGCTGCTATAACTGAAGCAGATAATGAATGAACAAGTTCCCAAACGGTCAGAAAAGCCAACGGGACAAGAAATATACCAAAAAGGACACAACCCTATAAAAACAAGATTGTATGGGTGCGGTTTTAAAAGGCGTGGTCAACTCACAAGTCTCATTCCGTAATAAGGAGTGTCCTCGTACTTCTGTCCAGGTTCTTTAAACTCAAATGAGCCGTTGTAGCCTGATAGGACTCCAGCAGTGGCTATGATGAGCTATAGGAGGAGAAAATGAAAGGAAAAAGAAACAATTAAATAATAATAATAACATTATTAGCAAAACACATTGTAAATTTGTAATTATCAGTGAAAATAATTATTTTAATAACAGTTGTTAAAGGCTTATAGTGAATGCATGTTAAAAGAAAGTATTTTAAATGGACATCATAATGTATGTTCATTAGTGAATGTATATGTACATGATCCTTGAAATATCATAACACATGTTCACAGTAAACATCATTACAGCTAAATTAACACAAAGATTCTTCAATTTAAAAACCACTAAAAGATCCACAGCAGAACCTACTTTTCCTAATGGAGGGTGCACGTCAAAGAAAAACTTTCCTTGAATATACCAGCTGGCGTGTTTCCCGAAATGAGTTTCATCCCACCTGTAATTATGATAAAACCCATGACATGTACATGTATATCTTGAGTACTTACGCTACATGCTGTGGCTCGTTCAATGTGTAGAGTCTAGTTGCAAAAGAGAGGACCGTAACAAGAGCGAGGCATGTAAAGAAAGGCCAGTCCTTCTGGTTAAAGGAAGGAGAATATATTGGAGATGATGATGAAGAGAGTCGGCGGGCGAGTCTAAGACGAGGAGGAATTGGCTCTATGGAATCTTCCTTCTGCTCCCTGCCTTTATTTTCGTCTTTTTTAGGTGAAGGAGATAGTTCTTTGAGAGCAGAAGCGATAGAATCAGTTTCTCCGGCCTGTGTCAAGGAATCTTCGATGTCCGCCATTCTCTTAGTGGTCAAAGGGTTAAGTAATAAACCACACCCACAAAAAATCAATCCAACACCCACGCAATTGTAACATTAATTTTCTGCAAACTTTAAAATTTTATTCTAGCAGAGTACATTTCTTGATAGCAAGCCACTGCATCTTCTAATATTTCCTTAACATCATCAGACAAATCATCAATGCTCATAGTCTGACTGGTAGTACCATCTTCAGGCTTGATAAATCCAGAGCTCATCATGGCTCTCTTGTGAAATATATCACAATATGGAGTTGCTTTCTTCCAGTCCTCAACTATGCCTGGAGTCCATGTTAACATGTCATCTGTATACTTTAGTCCAGTAGCATTACAATAAGACTCCATGATGCCCCTTGGGTTCATTATGAGATCATCAGCATCAACAACCACTGGATCAGAATCAACGCTTTCTTTTACGATCTTGTACATATCATACAACTCTCTCACTCCATATTCTTCTGGAACAATGTCAAATTTAGATTCTTTACCGAGACGAATAAATGACGAAAATGACTTGTATGGGTCTCGTATCAAGAAAGTGTGCTTGAAAGCAGAAAAGGCTCCACTTGTGTAGTTCTTGTATCGCCCTTTAAGGAAGTATGCATGATCTTTTATAAAGACAGCATCATATTCAGTGTATGGTTGTGTAAGGATCTCATCTACTGCTTCAAATGTGAATTGTGGAGCTTTTTGAGGGAGATCGGGTTTGTTAATCTGTCCTTGATAGTAGACCTTGACATGAGCCTCATAAAATACTTTGACACCTTTTAGCTCTCTGATGGAACGCTCAAAGACACTAGAGAGTGATCTTGGGTGGCACCAGAGGAAAATATGGGGAGACATATCGAGCTGAGGGACAGCAGCCATAATTATAATTATTGCGGTTATGACGTCACACAATGACCACGTTTCTGCACGTGGGAATTAAGAGCTGCATTATGCGTGGGCAGACCTGTGGTGTTTTTAGTTTATCTACTCTCTCTTTTTTAGGTGAAGGGAAGAGTTCTTTGAGAGCAGAAGTGATAGAATCAAGTCTTGCAGTGGTCAAAGGTTTTAAAAAATAAACAATAATATAAACCACACCCACAAAAGTCAATCCAACACCCACGCAATTTTAACATTAATTATTTTTGTGCAAACTTAAAGTTTTATTCTAACAGAGTACATTTCTTGATAGCAAGTCATTGAATCTTCTAATATTTCCTTAACATCATCAGACAAATCATCAATGTTCATAGTCTGACTGGTAGTACCATCTTCAGGCTTGATAAATCCAGAGCTCATCATGGCTTTCTCTTGAAATTTGTGGCAATGTGGATTTGCTTTCTTCCAGTCCTCAACTATCCCTGGAGTCCATGTTAACATGTCATCTGTATACTTTAGTCCAGTAGCATTACAATAAGACTTCATGATGCCCCTTGGGTTCATTATGAGATCATCAGCATCAACAACCACTGGATTAGGATCAACGCTTGCTTTTACGGTCTTGTACATATCATACAACTCTCTCACTCCATATTCTTCTGGAACAATGTCAATTTCAGCTTCTTTGCCGAGGCGAATAAATGATGAGAATGACTTGTATGGGTCTCGTATCAAGAAAGTGTGCTTGAAAGCAGAAAAGGCTCCACTTGTGTAATTCTTGTATCGCCCTTTAAGGAAGTATGCATGGTCTCTTATAAAGACAGCATCATATTCAGCATATGGCTGTGTAAGGCTCTCATCTACTGCTTCAAATGTGAATTGTGGGTCTTCTTTAGGGAGAATAGGCTTTGTATATTGTCCTTGATAATAAACATTAACGTGAGCCTCATAGAACACTTTGACACCTTTTAGCTCTCTGATGGAACGCTCAAAGACACTGGAAAGTGATCTTGGGTGGCACCAGAGGAAAATATGAGGAGACATATCGAGCTGAGGGACAGCATCAGCCATAATTTCCATGTAGCTGGGCGGCTGGGCCACAAACTCTCGTGGTTTGCATTATCTAGGTTTGCAGGTTAATGAGAGGCGTGGGTACTTTGATAATAACAATTATCTACGGGTCCACACAGACCACGTTTCTGCACGTGGGTAATTAAGAGCTGCGTTATGCGTGGGCAGGCCTGTGGTTACAATGTTAGTTTATACTACAAGGGAGCCCTGACAAGTGAGCCCTGGGTGAAAATGCACCTGGTTATAGTCCATGGCTATTTGCTTAGCGGTACTGGCTCTAACATATACTGTGCCAATGTGGCCAAGACATGGAAGAGACTTGGCCATGCAGTTACTGTCGTTTGTCAAGATCGCAATGCTGGCAAGCTAGACTTTGTAGACGAGCATTTCATTGGTACCAACAATGTGCCAGCAACTGCACCTAGTCCTGGATCCATTCGTGTTGTAGTACCTGATATAGACAACTTGCTCCTAGTCTATGTATTCAATCAGTATGAAGGATTCACCGTTAAGGAAATGGGAAACAGTCAATGCTCATTTGACGAAATAGAAAACTACATCGATAAGACTGCAGCTGGACTCTCCAAGGTTCTGATGCAAGGAGTTGATCGTATTCTTACAAACCATGCTATTCTGAGTCCTGCTGTAGCAAAGCGAGCCAGCAAAGGGCAAGTTCCATATGATATAAAAATTCACGGCAGCTCCTTAAATTTTTCACTTAAACAACGACCTGAGCTTTTAAAGTATGCTCTCGAAGGTCTTTGTCATTGTGAAAAGATTGTTGCAGGTACCTCTTATATCTGCAAGCTCTTGGGTGAGACCTTTGCTCAGCATGCAAAAGAAATTGGTTTGCATGATAAGAAGGTTGTGATTCCGCCGGGAATGGATCCGAATGTATTTCAGTTGATTGATACAGTTAACGTGAATCAACAGCGATTTCTTGAAAAGATCAAAATTTATGCCGATAAGAAGCCCACTGGAAGACAGGCTCAAAAAATAGTTTTACCCAATCCAGCAAGCACTGATGATCTTCACAAATCTCTCACTGCTTTAGCTGGAACCTATGACCAATGGGCAGTGGACTATGATCTTGTGCAACGCTGGCCAGCTATCACTGAAGATGAGCCTGTTCTAGTTTATTTTGGAAGTTATTTGAACACCAAAGGTGTTGGCGAGGTCCTTGTCTCTTTTCCTACCATTCTTAATGAAATCCCAAAAGCACGACTCCTCATCATTGGTTACGGAGGCTATCGGGAACATATGGAAGGAATACTTGCCTCTATGGAATCTGGAGACATAAATGCTTTTATAGCATTTTGCCAAGCAGGTTCCTTCTTAGATGCTTCAGCAGATGAGCTGAGAGGTTTCTTCCGAACAATATCACAAGAGGAACGCCAGCGCATCACTATAACTGGTATTATGGAGCATAGCCAGATATGCGAGGTTCTTCCAATGGCCAGCATTTCTATAGTTGGAAGCAAATGTGCTGAGGCTTTTGGGATGGTAACAGTAGAAGCGATGTGTTCGGGCGTATTACCATTAAGCAACTATCACTCCGGCCTTGAAGATATTTTGGACGTCGTCAAAAAGGTAGACCCCTCCTTGGAGGCCATCATGCACATTAGGTCTGAACGAGGGGGAAAATTTGGATCTGCTGACGGTTCTGTCCTATTGAAAGAGTTACCCAAAAAAGTAATCAATGCGTTGAAGTATCTTTATCCAAATGCAGAATATTCTGACCAGACACAAAGAAGGAAGATTTCTGAAAAGCTGAGGAGTATTGCTGTAGAGAACTTTTCTTGGGACAAAATATGCATGTCACTTTTGGAGCCATTGCATTAATCTTTATATTATTAATTAAGAGTGTTTTACCTTTTGATTGTTTGCTATTTTAAATTTGTGAACAAGGCGTGGGTGGGCACCAACCTGAAAGCCTGAAACCCTGCCTTCCTTTAAAATGGCAGCTAAGGTAATAGATTTTGCTTTCTATATCTTTAAGTATCTTATTCCTGTAGCCTGTTTTGTATTCTTACTTCAGAAGCTCTTGTAGCTGGAGAGTCAGAATCGGTAATCTGCATCTTATATTAGATCTATCTTCACATAATATTATACTTTTTCAGCTCTGGCATTGAAAGGAATAGATTATGAAACCAAACCTGTACATTTGCTGCAAGATGGTGGAGAGCAGGTATGCCTATGATACAGTACAGTTATCTTTAATTTCTCTAAAGAACACTGATAACTACCGTGAACTAAACCCTCAATGTGAAGTACCCACACTTGAAATTGACGGGCAGACAATGACGCAATCAGTCAGTCTATTATCCCAATAATTTTAATTTTTTATATTTATATTTTTAAAGATGTCAATAATAGAGTATTTGGATGAAACACGAGGCCCACCATTTCTTTTGCCGCAAGGCGATCCTATTAAAAAGCAAAAGGTGGAGCTTGTAAATGTATTATATTATGATTACTGAATTAGGTGAGAGCTATATCCCAGGCCATTGCTTGTGGCATACAACCGATTCAAGTAAAGAAAGAAGAGAAAGAGAGAGATAGAAAATGAACTTAATTCTTTTTTTAGAATCTAAGAGTGTTGCAATATGTTGGTGGAGAGAAGAAAGCTGAATGGGGTCACTATTGGATTGAGAGAGGATTCAAAGGTGATACAGCTTCCTAATGTTGCCAGTTTTAATTATATTTAGGACTGGAGCAGCTACTGCAGGGAACTGCTGGAAGGTATTGCATTGGAGATGAGGTATGCATATTTCTTCATGTTGCTAGTTATCATTAGAGAAAAACTGTTATACAGATAACAATGGCAGATGTGGTATTAGTGCCTCAAGTTTACAATGCTAATAGGTAATATGAAACTTAATAAGGGATTTTGTTATAATCAATTCTTTGGCTCTCCTTTTAGATTTAAAGTTGACATGAGTGCCTTCCCTACTATTAGTCGCATTAATGCAGCACTCCTCGAAGTTGAAGCTTTTAAAGTTGCTTCGCCATCTGAGCAACCTGACTGCCCTCCTGAACTACGCTAGTTTTCATAAAATAAAATTGATTGCTTAAAAATTAATGAGTATTGTATAAATTTATAATTGTGCAAAGTCAGCCCCACCCTCTATAAGGGCGTGCATGGAAGGTGTGACTAGTCTAACAAATGGAGGCATTTACACCAGAAGTAAGCAATCTTTTATTATTTAAAATGTTCATCATAACAATAGAATGTGGCCGGAGGGGCAGAGTCTCCTTCAGCTGTAAAGCTAGCAGAGGCGGCTAGGCTCAAAGACAAAGGTGCTGCTCATTTTAAGGAAGGAGAATGGAAAGAAGCAGCTAAATGTTATCACCATGGCTTGATGTACACTAAAGGTGTACTCAGTTACCAGCTCCTTGATCCAATGATGGGAATGCTAGCTTCTAATATAAGCACTGTACAACAAGTTCCACCAACTGAGGATGAGAAAAAAGATGCAACAGCATTGAACATTATATTATTAAACAACATTGCAGGTGAACCAGGAATTATGGTTGTTAGCCAGCTAAAAATATGAAATTTTGTAAATGGCTCAGAAATTCAGAATTGTCAATGCCTTAAAAATAATTTTTAATTTAAAATTGTAAGTTTTTTTCAAAAATTGCTAGGAGGAAATTTTTAATTTAATCAAGGTGTTAGTTAACAAACAAAGCATGCTTCATGAGCTTACAAATACATGTACATGGCTTTAGGGCAACTTCAAAATTTGTAAAAAATCTAATTTTGATTGGAATCAGCTCAAACTTGCTACACAACATAAGAACATGTATATGTATCAGAAAATATTATAAAAATGAAAAGTTTTTTCTAGTCATTTTTGGCAAAATTGACTTTGACCCAATTTTTGAGCAACTTGAAGAATTCGTAAAATATTCATTTTGATTGGAATCAGCTCAAACTTGCTATGCATCAAAAAAAATAACGAATAAAGATTTTATTTTATTGTTAAAACTTAATTTGCTTATGCTTTGAACAATATCCACTTAACTTTGTATGCAATTATTATAGTTTGCATGTTAAAGCTCAAGAAATGGAATAATGTCATCAAGCATTGCTCTGAAGTAAGCTCCAGAGAGATGTAATTGCAGATATTTTAAATAATAATAATTATTGTTGTTGTTGTTATTATTATTTTTATTGTACAGGTATTAGTTCATGACCAGACTAACACCAAAGCACTGTATAGAAGAGGCGTGGCTTATATGGAGACTGGACAATTAGATGAAAGTGAAAGTGACCTGAAAACTGCACTGCAGCTTGATCCAACTGGTCAGTTAGTTAGTGCATGATTGGTAATGGAGAGCTTTTCTTTTTTCTGACAATAGACGCTGGGATTAAGAAACAGTTGGCTGAATTGCAAGAAAGGCTAAAAATTTACTGGAAGAATGAACAGCAGAAATACCAGGGTTTATTTGAAAAATAGTTTTATTAATAATTTTATGTATAATTAATGATAACTAATCAATGATACCGGAGCCACACCCAAACAAAATGTCTTTGCTGCTCTTCCCTGCGTGCAGTGTTCTTGTGCTGATACTTGCAATTTCAGGAAGAGGCCATGCTCTAAATTGCTCTTGTAAAAACCAGACGTGTCCAGATGTATCTACCTGTCCTTACGGCCTAGTTGAAGACTTCCCTTGCTTTTGCTGTGATGCGGTCTGCGGCCAAGGTCCATGGGAGGTATGCGGGGGATCTTTGGGGATTTGTGTCCAGGGATATTATTGTGGAGGGCTGGCAAGAAGTAGTGCATCAGTTTCTAAATACATGTTTTTGAATAAAAATACTCACTGTCTAAAAGGTAATGCGTAGGTGCTTCATTAGATTATTTTAAAATAATTTTCATAATCATAAAGGCACACAAGTGGAGCAGTATTTAGCACAGCCATCGCCACCAATCCAGCCTTCACCAACACCAACAATACCAGTCAAGTGCCGTGCTTCATGCAATCTTGAATTCTGCAATGAAGGAGCCGAATATCAGTCAAACAAATTCTGTTCTGCTAATGAGTGAGAATCACCTATGCAACTATATAATTATTACCCTCATGCATGCATTCTTATCTAAATTGACAGAACTGCTTTTGAGAGAATCCCTGAAAGGGAGCCTTGTCAGCATACAACATGTGAAGCATGTCGATTTAAAGTGAGTCCTGAGTGTCCTCCTTGTCCAGTTCCTGTGAAAAAGAGATGCCTGCGTCACTTTGAAATGTGCTTGAAGGAACACTATGCAAGAGATGACATTATTTTGGTGAGGCTCCATTGTATAATGACTGTCTTTTTAGAATCATGTACATATTCATGAAGCCTTACAGTTCTATGTGAAAGGGACGGGTAGAGGAACAGTGGGCAATATTGTTTACTTGCTTATACTAACTGGAGCTGCCCTTTGGTTTCCTAGCCTAATTAAATGAGCTATTGGGAGTGTTTGTTATCATTATGTCATTAGAGCATTTCCTTTGAGGAATCCTGTTGATTTTTTAAAATGTGATTACATTACTGTATTAAGAGCAAACCTATAATAAAAGTTTCTTTTATTTTGATCTCTAGATAATAGAAATGTATGCATAATTATTCTCTTTAATAGGAATTAACGGATCCAAGAGCTTTGAATTCCACCGGAACTATTATCTGTCATGTTTCCAATGTTAGAGAAGGTGAAGATGAAACCAGGAATGAATGAGGAAAATGGGAGGTGGCTAACTGATCAATATTACTTTGTTTATCTCATTTAGTCTCTTAGTATTTTAGTAAATGTTATTTTTCTATCTAATGCTGATTTGATTATTCATGATCTGATTAATTAATTTTATAACTTTCAATAAACCAAAGAACCTAAGATGGTGCATTTGTTGATAATCTTCTTTGCAGCTCTCCCTCATATTGGAGCATCCACTCCCTTTCTAGTTGAGAAATGGGCTGGTTGTGAGTTTCTTCCAGCTTGCAATAGATCCCTTTGTCCACCTCTCAATGCTCCAGACTGTGAGTTTGGCAGTAGCCTGGATTTATGCAACTGCTGTCATGTCTGCTATCTGGCTCCAGGAGATCTTTGTATCGATGCTACAAGGAGTGCGAAGGATTCTAATCTACGAAAAGATTCTACCACTATTGCTGCTGGTACATCTCTGTCTAAATGTAGTCCAGGCACTGTCTGCTCAGTCAGCAGTGACAATCACCTGTTCACTTGTAGATACAGAACTTACAGAAGTAAGTTTGCTTATGTTACCACAATAGCTCTGTAGACACGTGTCCATTGCTGACTAGCCATTATTCCTAACACCTCTATGCATACGTGTAACTAGATTTATATTTGTTATTACTCCTGCCATTTTAATTTATCATATACAGGTGACTTCATACAACCCTCAAGAGCTTATACTGACAATGAACAGACTCCAAATCCTTATTTCTTGCCTCATAAGTACAAGCGACATGCAGACCTTACACAATCACCTTCAGAAAGCCTGACTCATTCAGAAGACCTTGCTCCTTCTCCTTCATCTACTCCAGTGACTGGAGGAGGAATGCAAATCTGTCATTCGTGTGATGGTGTTGAGTGCAAATATGCTGAGCCAGTCTCTGAAGAAGACTGTGAGTTTGGGCTAGTACCACAAGGTACCCCATCCTGTTGTTCACAGTACGAGTGTGCTAAGGGTCCTTATGAAACCTGTGGGGGCTTATGGGGAGAAGAAGGTATTTGCTCTCAGGGCCATGAATGCTTTGTTTGGTTTCCGTATGGTCTGTCATATGATCACTTCATTACTAAGCCTGGACGTTGTTTATCAGGTATGATACATTGTGGTATGATGCAGGTATTTGCATGCATTGTCGGGATGTTTAATTAGATCAAAGTTAAAATTCATTTGTGCTTTATGACAATCATCACTTGTAAGGTGGTGATGCTATAATCTTCCTTTGTGTGATGTGATCTTATTCAGTGTTTTGTCTTTTTAGTTAATCAGGTAAATCAAGCAAGTAACTTGAGTGCTTTAGATTCTTGGACTTTTTCGGCCTTCAAGCCGTTCAAGGAATTTCATACAGCCCATAAACCACTGAAGTGCAAGCCTTTGTGTAGCCTTCAGTTCTGTAAAGATGGAAGGAACAAATACTGCTCAGCAAGAGGGTATATGTGTTGCTCATTTCAAAATTTATGTATGATTGCCCAATGAATTTATTTTTGATGGCATCATGTGCTGTAAAAACACGCCTTTTTGTTTAGGATTTAAAAGTTTTGAGTTATTTTGTTTTGTTCTGTATTAGGTCTATAGCTTTAAATATAGTGGAAGAAAGGGGTCCATGCCAACACACAACTTGCTTGGCATGTCATTTCTGGGTTACTCCTTCACCGTGTCCCTCTTGTCCTTCCCCAGTCACTAGACGATGCATGGGGAAATATTTTCGCTGCATTCATAAGTTTTATCTTAAAAATGATGTTATTATGGTAAGAGAATCACAATCGTAATTCACATAAGATTGATGTTTCTTTTAGAATTTAACTGATCCCAGGGTTTACAATACTAACGGCCGTATATATTGTGATGTGCCGGAACTAACTGTGGTAATGTAAAAGCTGTACTGAGGAAAGGACTGATGCTATAAAGTCTCATTTATAATTTGACAATAATGATTAAAACCATGTTAAACATATATTGCGGTCTTTTGACCACGCCCAATCACGCTAATAATTAATAACGGCTCTCGTGCAACCGCTCTAGCCATTTTCTTCTCTTTTTGATCTGTTTTGACTCAGCAAATATGAATCTTGCGAAATACTTTTTGTTGAAAGCTACAATAGTCATCTTATTCTCATCAGCAGCTAATTCCCTCGGCTGTCCTTGCAACCCAGCATTCTGCCAGCCCCCACAAGGCTGCCAATATGGTGAGGTCCCTGATGTGTGTGCTTGCTGCATGGAGTGTGCTAAAGGACCAGGGGAAACATGCGGTGGAACATGGGGCGAGCTGGGAACTTGTGGCAATGGAACTCAGTGTATGGTGACTGTCCCGTTTGGATCAAGCTATAGCACTTATAAATATACTCCAGGAACATGTGTTTCAACAGGTAATATAACTGGAGGGCATATTACCTGAGGCTATTAATAATAATAATAATAATAATAATAATAATAATTACTGTCAATGCATTTAACACATGTGTAATTTGTTTCACACAGAACCAGATGAAGTTACAGCTTGCAGCCCTCAGCCTAGTCCATCTGCTTCAGACGAAATGTTATCTCCATCTCCATCTCTGGTCTCCACTACTCCAACTCCAACTCCGAAAATCAAAAAGAAAGACAGGTGTCGTGTTAACTGCAGTGTTTCGTTCTGCCATGATGGAAAAAACAAATTCTGTTCCGCAATAATGTAAGAATCAAATCGGCTGTTTTTAATTTTGTGTGTATATATGTACATATAGATCTGGAGTTGATCTTGTTGATGGGAGGCATCCTTGCCAGCACACAACATGCAGAGCCTGTCATTTAATTGTTACTCCTTCTTGTCCAAAATGCCCCGAACCAGTCAACAAGCGTTGCTTGCGTCATTATTTCCTTTGCATTGAGCAGCACTTCCAGAGAAACGACACCATTTTGGTGAGTATACCAACAAAACAAACATAATGCAAACATTACTCATGCACACTGGGCAATTGAGAATCTGTGGTGTCTGACCAAATCCTTGAGTTAAGTCTCTTAGAGGCAATGTAAGGCTTGTCAGTACTTGAATCAAGAGCTCTGGTTAGGACTGCTCCCTTTGCATGTGTACACTACCTAACCCAAGTCCATTAATACAATTTTTATAAAGCTTGACCACAAATTTATTCATGAGGTAGGCAGGACTACTAAGGGAGTTGGCTTAGAAGAGCTAAAGAGCTTTAGGCAGAGTTTACAAGTACTCAGGTAATTTTGGTCTGTTTGAGGAGCAAGCCACTGTCCAGCCTCTGGGCTTCTCTTCCCTTCTCCATTCTCATCACCTCTAGCCACAGTCCATGCCCAATTTGTTTCTTCTGCCACTCCTTGTAGATCTAGCTTCACCACAGCACTATAGCTGACCTTTATAGAAGAGCCAGAGAGAAGGAAAATCTAGTCTTTGCATGTGCAATAATGTAAAGCATGATCCTGCATGCATCATATTTATAGTTATCACCAAAGAGAAGGAGATCCTGTTACATATAGCTGCTGACTTATCACAACACAAAAGATTGTTCATGTGATAAGGATCGTTACCAAAACAAGAGCATGACTTTTCTTCTCCTCTCACACGTCATTAGTTTTTGTAACCTTTATCCTTTTGAAATTCAATAATTCTGCATATCGAAATCCTTTAAAATTTTTCCATATTAGTTAGTCATGTTCGCTTTGCATTTTTGTATCTTTTCTAGCAGTTCTCAATGTTAATCAATGCAACTGTCATTTTATATAGGCACTTCATGATCCTAAGGCAATGACTGCAGTTGGAAAAATTAATTGTTACATTCCTGAACTTCTTCAGCCGATTGATGAGAATGAAAGTGGAGATTCATCGTCCAGTTAAATGGTTCTCTTTCTCCACCTCCTCTCCCTCTCTCTTGCAAATCTATTGACAAAATAATATTGGTATTTCTTTTTAACTATTTCCCTTTCTTACTTGTACATGCATGTGCCTCTTTCTTGCTCTTTTTTGATTTCTACAATCACTTATATCACTGAATCATCAAACAAATGAACATGTCCACATTTTTTTGTTATTAATTATGATAGATCTATCCCGTTTAATTCTGAAATTACAGTACAGCTTACTCTTGCTCATTTTACAAGTTCAATTCCTGCGGTTTTAGCAACAATAGTGCATGACATTAGACAAAACAGGTCTGACCTGTAATCCGATAACGGAATCAGGCGACACAACATATTAAATAACAGGTGTTACATTATTATGTCGCCGCCATAAGGTAATGAGATTACTATAATGTATGTAGAGAAGGACATAAAACCATGACTACCAATTAAAGAGTTTACCCAGTGACACAGGAACCATTTACCATTATGATGATTCTTGCCCTTATATGGAAGACAATGAAAACCTCTATTATTGAGCTCCAATGCATGACATAAGCATTAGCATTAGCATTGTTACCAGTGTGTGTGTGCATGTATATTATAGCTACTGAACTGAAGACTGAGCTATAGAACAGGAACAGCCAGCTTTATGTTACTATAGTTGAGATCCTTCCATGTCTATTTTAGATTGGGTGGATTAGTGAGAATAGGAAAGTGCTTGAGCTTGACAAAAAATGCATTACACAATTGCAAATTGTTCATATAAAAGCTTTCTTATGAGGTAGTAATCATCAGAGACTGAGCCTTCAATACTGATCTTTCCACCTTCAGTCTATAATGAGAAAGAGAGGATGAGCATATCATTATTGGATAACATTGCAGTACTATAAGTCCATCACACACAAGTAGCTATTCTCTTACTCTTTTGATAGCCACAACTCCATTGCATATAAGAGCACCACCACAAAACTCAGCCTAAAGTACAATCATTAAATATACATATACATATAGGATAGTTGAATCATTAAAAGTATACATATGCATATAGGATAGTTGAAGTGTACCTGTATTCCAGCTTTTGTTAGAGTATTCTTAAAGTCTGAGAGACGTGGAGGATTTATAAATACATTCTTATGATCAGCAACCTGTGTGTGTTTAAAAAAACCTTTAGTTAGGGCATTCTTATCTACATGTATATGCAGAAAGTTTGAGCTGGTTTTTGCCAAAAATTAGTCCCAGGCACATAACTTCAATAAATTCATTACTTGCTTATTATGAAATACATCAAGGACAGGAATGCTATCCGTGCCATCAGAGCTCAACCGGATCTGCCCATCAACCCAAGCAAGCTCTGCATCTTTACCAGGAGCAAATCTTGTCCCACTCATCAATGCATCAGTTAGTTTAACCTAATGAGAAGTTAGGAAGGAAGAGGCTTATCACATAATTATTATGTGCAAATAAAGTAATTGCAGTAATTACTGACTATGTATAATTGGCTCTCAGTTGTGGCGTCAATGGTCTCTCCTACAGCTGGAGCAAACACTTTCTTAGGATCCATGCCAAGGACACTGTGAGAGAAATCAACCAAACACTTTGTTGATTCGAGACTGCCATGTATCAGAATCTAAAAAGTACATCAATATGATATTCATTATGAATAGAGTACACTGCTGTGAGTAGATGCCCTCTCATACCAGCTGTCTTGGTTTCATTATTGTTAATATTCTTTTAATTGAGTCTCCATCTGATCTACCCTCAAAATCAATAAACGATAACGAGCTCCTATCAATATAACAGAAACACCGGTTAGTTAACTACTGGTTAATTAACAAGAGTGGCTGTACCTGACAGGAACAGTTTTCTTGAAACTGACACATTTAGTTGGTATAACTTTTGTTACTATCATAAAGAAAATAAGGTAACTGCTACATAAACAGTAAGGTCAAGTGATTATAAATAACAACATCTCAACACACCTTCCTTTGTGACTCCATCTCCTCCATCTTCAGGCTCCTATGACAACACTTCATCACATTAACATCAATGACACATCCTTACCTTATCTTCTTTAAAGAAAACGTCATTCAGCTGATAATCTTCATGCCTACAAGAGAAGAGAGTCAATCCATTCTTATTATATACATAATTTCTAATGTCATACCTAAATGGTTCGCCATACTCATCCCACTTTATCTTTTCTCCTTTAAAGTGATACATCGGAAAAGATTTTGTCTGCTTGAAGAAGCTGCTTTTAGCTTTTCCTTCGTCCGTCATCATCAGGTCGTATTTTGGTGTCTTGCTCAAACAGCGAGGGGTTGTGGGTGTGGTTGGTTTAGTAGTACCTTCCACTTCCATTTCTTCATCACTTTCATCGGAATCCCTAACATAGGAATAAAATTATAAAGTAGAAGTATAGGAATGAAAATTATGAGTGCTCAAATTTTCACCAAATGTGGTCATATAAACAAAAGGTTATGTTATAGTCATGTGGCAAGCATGCCACTAAATTTGGCCCATAAAAGGGAATGCTATTGCTATGTCATCCTGTTGACTCATGATGACGCAATATATAAAAACACTGTCCAAATTTTAGAAAGCGTTAGTATAAGCTGGTTTAGCTATAGAAAGCCTAGTCAAAGTTGCCCTGAGAGGATGGCTACACAGATTGAAGCAAAGGAAAGGTCAGCCATGCAAAGCTGATAGCTTGCACTAATAATGAGCATTGTGTGCAGCATTGCTGTGAATATCAAACCTCTTGATATCATTCATTTTGCATTTATAGGGAGAGCTCCTATGAATCCTATATAACTAATGAATGGATACAGTTAGAAAAGGTAAGGAAAGGCAGTGATGAGGAAGAGCCAATGGAAGGAGTTCAGTTTTCAGTACAAAGCCTCAGTCAGTGTCTACACATGGTTGAAGCAGAAGAAATGATGAGCAGCAACTACAGGATAAAGACAACAGCTAGTCTAGGACGCAAAGAAGGCTCATATAGGATTGAGAGAAAGAGAAAAGCACCAACACCAGGGAATGATTACAGTAAAAGACCATTAACTGAAGCAGCAATAGCTGAAGTAAAAGAAGCTTCTAGGATAGTTGATGTCATTAAGAATGACTCATTAGCATGGTGTGGCATTAGAGCAGGGTCAGTAAGAGATATGACAATAGACACCAGGAGTGGAGTCATTACATGCCCTAGCACTACAGTAATGCATTCACCATCAAAAGAGCATGAAGTAGTCCCATTACCTCAGGTTAGCACATCAAGTGATGCAATGTCTACTGAAGATAAAAGTGCATTAAGTAACTGTCCTAGAGACATAGCAGTTGCATGGAATGATCCAGAAGGTCAACTCTCACCTCCCTCTCTTACCACAAACATACCAGGGGTCTCCAATGAATACAGAAAAAGGACAAGTGCACACTTCAGCAGTGAAATTTTCCCACAAAACAACACAACCAAAACTAGCAAAAAACATAAGACAAAACAAGAAACAGACATCGATCAGGAATTTGCAAGATGCATTGACTTTAATACAAGCCAGACTAGCCTTCATATCCAAAAGAATACTACACCTTCTACCACAAGTTTCCACAATAAGAAGGAGCATAGCAAAAATATTGAGGATATGCCAAGTACAGGTACCATTACAATTGAGCCAGTGAATGACAGTACACCATTACTGTCCGATGGAGCATTCACATGGTGGAATATTGATCCAATGGTTGAAAGCATTACAATAAAGGAAATACCAAAATGTCAGTATCCATCAGATTTATTCAATAACACGTCAAGATATGGCACAGTCAAGATATCATTAAGCATCAAGAGTATACTGGAGTGTTATGAAAGACACTATAAGAACATGGATGAGACAGATGAAGACAAAGAAGCTAGTGATGAAGATGGTGGCAAGAGAAAGATCCTTTTCAAAAATGGAGGCACTTTGGGATACAAGCATGAAACATGTTACATTATCATAGTCTGCATGACAGGGAGAGATGGGAGTGACCCTCTACCCCAATTCACTAATCTTCCAGGAGCTGATATTAGCAGTGGAATACAATTACACATTAATTGTCCATACAGTATGATAAATGGGGAAACTGTGAGGTGGGATCATTACAAATTCGCTTTTCATTTCCCAAAAGAGAAAGACGTAGAGCCAACTTTTCAACTCAACCCAAAAGACATTGAATTATCGTTTGTCAAACATAGCATTTATCGAAGGGCAGGGACCGGGAAACCAGTCCCAGTCCCGTGGTGCACTAATTATTACAAATGCACCGATTATCATTTGAGTAGAACTGAGATGAAAAGAAAAAAAGAGAAAGTGCAAGAAAAATTGAAAGAAGACAAAGCAAGAGCAATCAATAATAACTACTAGCAAGAGTCTACTAGCTAGTTTCAATATTATACCTGTAGTATTTTCATTTTGTAATTGTTCCATTTATTACTATTTAATTTATTGATCATGCTATTTATAATTGATTCTTGTTTGTGTGTTATTTATTTATTTATTATTGTATGATTTATTGATAATTTATGCATTAATCTATTCTAAGTAACTCATGAATTGATGGCTAAACAGACACTACACTCCATTATTTTAATGGAAAGATATCACAACAGACATTAATAGTTGCAGTATATATACACACTTTAATGAAAGAAAAGGTTACATACACTAATCTTTAAATTACACAGAAATGTCTTACTTGGCATCATCATCGTTTGCTGTTTTGGCTTTCTCTTTCTCTTTCATCAAATACTCCTCAAGTTCAGCACCTTCTAAAGGAACGCGCCGCTTCACGTCCATATCAATAGTAATGATCTAACGAATGTACGCCACACTCAAGAAGGTTTATATTTTGAATGCCTTTTACTTTCAGATTATCAACGAGTGTCCTAGCTAGAGTATTATGAGCCGTTTTGCTCGTAAATATGATTGAATTGTGAGGATTATTGGACCAATGGAGGAAAAGGTCACGGGAGAATCCACACTCTAAATCAGGAGGACTGACAAGAACAGCCTGAGAGAGAGAGAGTAGGGGAGATTATAAAAGAGGATGAGAAGAGGAACGGGAGGAAAAGGGAGTTTCATAATAATACACAGCATGTATGCGGACCTTTGGATTGGAGACTTTGGCTAATTCCTCCAAGTTATGACAAAGGTTAATGTGTTGGAATTGGAAAGGGTTTGTTCGGCTATCCTCAAATGTCCTCATTAATTTTTCACTCATCCACTCAACCTATGCATAGTAATATACGCACAAATTAAACACAAAAAATTAAAAGATTCTTTACTTACTTGAGATTTAGCAAACTCGACCACATTATAGCTCACGTTGCTGAGGAGGACAATGGAGTAAGCACCAAAACCTAATTCCTGGTGACGCCACATTTGATCCTACAATAAATAGCACAACCATGTAAATGTATGTGTACAAAATAATTAAAATTTAAAAAACTAATAATTAACTAGTCATTAATTGACTATTAACTAATGGTTAACTAACCAGTAATTGAGATAGTTCCAGGACTCTACCAGCTGTATCAACTGCAATTAATACGTTGCCATTCTTTCTCAATGTATTGACAATCTTATCTATAATAATGGTGTATAAGAATCATTGTGTGGTTGCTAGGGAACACACCTAGCAATGCCTTGTCCCTTTCCTTCCTCCTTGCCTGCACGCTGAGGGCATTGTAAGCGTCTGTGATTAGGAGGTGTGGCCTCGAAAAATTATCAAATACGGCTCCATCAAGATGTCTACACAAAAAAAGGACAATATTATTTCACTCCCTCCCTCTCTCTCTCTTCAAACCTTTCCTTCTTGTGATTATAATCAACTGCATAGACGATCTCTTCCTCTCCATCTTTAACTATCTTCCAAATGGTTCCCCCAACCATATGACCAGCTGGATATGGAGTAATGGTAAGACCATGGCCTTTACCTGAGGAACAAACGAGTGAAGAAGAAGCAGCCATTATGGGGCATGTACTACAGTACAGGGTGTTTCGTCAAAAATGACTAGGAGCAAATTCTCCAGTTTTATACCTTTTCCTGATACATATACATGTTCTTATGTTGCATAGAAAGTTTGAGCTGATTCTAACCAAATTTGGATTTTTTACGAATTTTTTAAGTTGCTCAAAAATTGGGCCAGAGTCCCTGTACTATAGTACAGGGATTTTGGTCAAATTTCACCAAAAATGACTAGGAGAGAATTCTTCATTTTTATACCTTTCCCTGATACATATACATGTTCTTATGTTGCGTAGAAAGTTTGAGTTGATTCCGATCAAATTTGGATTTTTTACGAATTTTTTAAGTTGCTCAAAAATTGGGCCAAAGTCCCTGTACTATAGTACAGGGATTTTGGTCAAATTTCACCAAAAATGACTAGGAGAGAATTCTTCATTTTTATACCTTTCCCTGATACATATACATGTTCTTATGTTGCGTAGAAAGTTTGAGTTGATTCCGATCAAATTTGGATTTTTTACGAATTTTTTAAGTTGTTCAAAAATTGGGCCAAAGTCCCTGTACTATAGTACAGGGATTTTGGTCAAATTTCACCAAAAATGACTAGGAGAGAATTCTCCATTTTTATACCTTTCCCTGATACATATACATGTTCTTATGTTGCGTAGAAAGTTTGAGTCAATTCCAATCAAATTTGGATTTTTAACGAATTTTTTAAGTTGTTCAAAAATCGGGCCAAAGTCCCTGTACTATAGTACAGGGATTTTGGTCAAATTTCGCCAAAAATGAAAAGTAGAAAATTCTCCATTTTAATAATTTTTTTCTGATGCAATATGTTCTTATATTATAGGCCTATTTCTGATCAAAAATGGATATTTAGGAGTAGATACCTTTAAGCTGTACGGTTTGTGAATATTTAACTTGAACAACTAAATCAAAAGATTGATCAACATCATCAAGTGAAAATAAATCAAATTCTTCAGAATTGTGACGAGCCTATTTATAAAAAAAACAAAATGCATAATCACTGTCCTCATCCAATATAAAAATATTGAATTGAAAATAATAATAAAAATAAAATAAAATAAAACCTAATCATGCAAGTACATATGGTGCTAAAAAAACTTAGAAAAATCTTTATAACTATCAATAATTATTCATTCATAAATTACTCAATAAATAATCTATTTAGGTCCATTTTTATTAATTTTTTTAATCACCTGGTAAAGATCGTACATGAACATCTGTCCCATTTTATAGACAGGTATAGTGGCATATACAGGGCACCTGAGACCCAATCTACCCACTACGTACGGCAAAGCTCCCAAATGTACGACGTCAGGATGACTAAGAAGAACGGCATCAATCTGATGTATGTGCCTGTAAAAAATAAAGGGAAAAAAGGAGTGTCACGTGACAAGTCACGTGAGTAGTAAATCCAGGTTACAATTCTTCACTTTTTAATGTTTTCTGCTATCTCAGGCGAGAAGAACTCGTCCCAGCCACAGTCGAGAAGGAAGCAGAACTCATCCACCTGTAGCAAATAACAAGGAGGGCCTTCTCCCTTAGCCCCAGAGAGAGCAGTGAATTTTATGATGGAGGTCATCACTGCAAATTTTGTGCAAAACTGTAATTTTTCAATTTTTCAGTTTCTAGACCGCTGTTTGCTTATTTAGAAAGCAAACTGCGTGGTCAAACGTGGTATACCGTATAATTAGATAATTAGAGAATAAACAGCGTGGTATTAAAATACAAGATGGCGACCAATGGAAAGGGTCTAAAAAGGAAGAGAAGGCCCAAAGATGTCTGCCCCAATCCACTTTTTGTCAAATGGTTGGAAGAATGGAGGGACGAGGCAATTGAAAATGGTTGGAAAACAAGCTATACTTACAACAAGGCGTGTACTATTGAATTTTTTTAAATTAATTAATTTACACATTATTATTAATTAGGTCCTTTATTCCTTAAAAAGGTATCCTCTTCCGATTAATAGTGGGCAAGAAGCGAAAGTCTTAGAATACGTTGGCAAGTCCAGTTAAAATTTAATCACATTTAAAAATTTTTTGGAATAGGTGATAAAGTTGCAAAAAAACTTGACGAAAGGATAAGGGACCATATTGCTAGTGGAGGTAAAAAGACAATATTAAAAATACATTTAATCTTAATTAGGTAAAATGGCTGATCTCCATACCAACACAGATGAACAGCTGCCTCCTACTAAAAGGCGGCAATCAAATTCGTCGAAACCATCTAGTACTAACAAGACTCATTCTGATACTACTGGACCTCGTACTCATACCGAAGAAACTCATACTGGTTCCAATAAGAGGAAGCAATCTAATGTTAATGATCCTTCCGATTCTCCTTTGTGTCCTTCATCAAAGGTAAGATAAAGAATGAAATAATCATAGTGATATTTTATTTACAGAGATCAAAATCAAGTAAAGAGTATGTACCAAAGTACAGATCTGGTCCTTATGCTCTTCTTATTGCATTGATAGAGTCAGAACAGGTATAGGGAAAATTATTTCCTTTAATAAGTAATGTTGCCTTTGATAATGTATTGTGTTTAGGATGAGGAGTATGGGAAAGGATTCATGTATAAGAATGAACTGATCGATGCTGCTCAAGAACACTGTGACTCATCATTCACTGTGGTAAATCACCCAATAATAATGATTAACACAATGCAATGGGACATGTACTCTGAGAAATATGGCTGTACTTTTTTGCATGACTTAGAATAAGTTACAACAAGAAAATTATCACACAAATGAACTAGCATTTACATGTACATCATTATTACAACAATTGCAATAATGGTCTCTTTCCTTCTTTAGCCTGATGAGCCTAATTCTTATTATACTGCCTGGAGCTCAATGGCAAATCTCATTAAGAAAGAGCTAGTAGTGAGATCTGGCCATCCTCCAAAGTAAGTGAATGGGTATAACATTAAGGAGATCTTTCTCCATCTTTTACTTCTTGTTTTAGGTTTTCACTAACGGATGCAGGAACATCCCTCTCTCTGAGATTGCTAGAGAAATCCAAGAGTGGAATGACAGGATTAACAAGCTCTCAGGCTAGCTCAGCCTCACAGTCGTGTATCGATAATACAAGAGGAAGCCAAGTCACTACTTGTAGCCAGTCAACCTCTCGTTCGCTGAGCGTCTCTCTAAGCCCGCTAAAACTCACCACGCCATCAAAAAGGAAGACTATCTCAATAATGGACAGTGATGATGATGATGATGACATTGTTGAGATATTGCCATTAGCTCAAAGGCTAGGCCTGCACAAGACGCAGCGGCTCAAATCTTCCCAGACCCAGCCACTGAAATCTTCCCAGACCCAGCCACCAAAATCTTCCCAGGCCCAGCCACCTAAATCTTCCCAGACCCAGCCACCGAGATCTTCCCAGTCCCAGCCACCCAAATCTTCCCGAACCCAGCCACCCAAATCTTCCCAGACCCACCCACCCAAATCTTCCCAGACCCAGCCACGAAAATCTTCCCAGACCCAGCCACCCAAATCTTCCCAGACCCAGCCACCAAAATCTTCCCAGACCCAGCAACCGAAATCTTCCCAGACTTTGACCCAGTCTTCCACCATGTCTCAGGTTCAAACTGAAGACCATGCAGAGCCTCGGTGTTCCCAGCAGTCTCTTACGGTCATTCCTCCTCTTGCTCCTTCAACTAGTTCTGCAATGCCTGAAGAGACAACTTCTGTTGACTTTTCATCTCCACTATTCACTCTAAGACCAGGTAGTAGTACTAAACTAAAGATAGTACATTATAAAAGATTGTTTTTTTTAAAATTATTCCTGTAGGTCAGTTTGAAGTATTACTTTGCATTGATAATTCTGAGTCATCAGCTAATAGAAAGTATGTACATGTACATGTATATGTATAATAATGGTGTTTGTTTATTTATGTGTTACATGTACATTATACCTCTTTTAAAAGGTCAAAGGCAAATTTTCGTGGTCTTTTGCTTGAGGAACTCACTAAAAATGGTTATTAAATTATTGTTAATAATCACATTCAATTGTTTTGCGTGTGTTAGGGGTTAAATTTAGCGTGAGGAATCTGAACATTGGCGACTTTTTGTGGATTGCTAAAGAGATTGTCAGTGCAGATCCAGGTACATGCATGAATACATTTTTTTCTGATGCATAATGTCAAATTTGAGCTGATTCCGATCAAAATTGGTTTTTTTAGTCATAATTGTTAAAGTTACTCTATTTCGGTCACAATATTAATGTTACTTCATAGTTAACCTTATATTGTGTCTGATTCAACCATTTTTTGCTCCCCCTCTTGTGTACATGTAGACCAATTGAGGCTACCTGAATCAAGGGAGATTGTCCTAGATTACATCATTGAAAGAAAGAGAATGGATGATTTGTCCGATAGCATCATTGACAGAAGATTCCACGAGCAAAAGGTTTAATAATTATGCTGCTGCTGTTATTTTTTGCAGCTTGTACTGTTACATTGCATTTCTCTTTCTCTCTCTCAGTTTAGAATGAAGTTGTGTGGTGTAGCTAACCCAGTGTACCTCGTTGAGGATTATGGTGACATTGCTCACTGCAAAGTATCCCAAAGAGGACTCTATCAAGCTATCACTAACACACAGGTCAAACTGATTTACAAAAGTTTACTGATAGTTTACTAAAATACAAAAATATACTAATAGTTTACAAAAGTATATTGATAGTTTACAAAAGTATACTGATAGTTCACAAAATGAATACTGGATTTCTCTGGCTTATTGTGTGCTTATGTGTACTTGTAGGTAATAGATAGTTTCTTTATTAAGCAGACAAAAGACATCAAAGGCTCAATCAGTTATCTAACTATCATGACAAGACAACTCCAAAAGAAATACATAGTAGTTCATTTTAATAATAGAATCACCATTCACATCTCTCTCATTTCAGAATGAGACCATTAAAGCCTTTCCAGTTGAAACACTTCAACAACTTCAAAAGCAGACATGTCCATCAAAACCACCATTCGTTTGTGGAATGCCTTTTGATAAATTCAATGAAGCTTCAATCAAAAACAAAGTACATGTACTAAATGTATTATGATAGTATTGTCACTCGGAGAGATTAGGTTTCAACAGTGTCTGAGATATTTGCTAGACAATTAATACAGATACCTAATTCGTCCGCTGATAAAGCTCACGCCATCATACAGCAGTACCCCACAATGTCCGAGTGAGTCAAAAATGTGCAAAATGAAAGCTACTGTATGCACTGTTAGATGTAGAGGGAGTTTAGGAGACTTTTAGTCCCCCATATTTGGTCAAGTCTCCTCAAATCTGTTTTCAGCTTTTGGTCTCTCATATTTAGCGTACATGTAGGTCTTCAAAATTCTCCCATTTTAGCTAGATTAGGGTAATACATGTACATGTATATCTATGTACATAATTTATTATAAATTTACAATCTACATGTATGTACATGCATAATTATGTCATTATTATCTTTAAGCTTATATGAAGGCTACTCAAAGTGTTCTGACGAGAAGGAGAGAGAGAATTTGTTGTCTTCCGTTCGCTTTGGAACATCTAAAAGGTAACAAAAAGCAGTTGCGTCTTATTGTCGTTCTTGACACATCTGTACGTGTTCTTATAGGAAAATTGGAGCAGTTCTTAGTAAAATCCTTTACTCTCTTTACTGGAAAGGAGAATGAACTATTATATTATGATCATGTGAATTAAAACTAAAGATTCAATCTCTTATATCATGGGCTGTACATATCATTTATGACCAATGTTATTTTTCATAATAAAAACCCGGTCCACTCAATTTTAGATTAGACGTAAGACCCCCTAGACCTTTCCCACTCATGATTGCAAGGGCCCTTGCTTTCACTTGCATAATTTTTCAGTATTTTCATTATTTTTAATTTTTTTTGTCAATTATGGTGTAATGGAAAAGAAAGTCAAACTGGTAATTCTTGATTTGTAGGTATCTCCAATTGAATTTCAGTTTGTGATGTGCATCTAATAAAAATAATAATAAAAATAAAATAATAAACAACAATAACTTACTTTCCTAATTTCATTAGTGGAGATATTAAAATTGAATTCTTTCCTGCTTCACACATCATTTTCCTATTAAGAAATATTAATAAAATATTTATTGTTATACTTTTAGCCACACCCATTCTTACTGAATGGCTGATTTAAGTTTATTAATGTCATTGAGTAGCTCTTGCTCGTTCTTTCTCTGTAGCTCCAACTCCTGCTGGTCAGTATAATCAAGGAAAAGATTAAAAGTCATAGCTGTCTAACCTTTTCCATGACTTTATTGTGAATTGCTCTAGCAAAGACGCTTCTCTTCATTTGTGCCAACCAATTCTAATAATTGAAAATTAATTTGAGGTCTGTATACATGTACATGTAGTTATGTGTTATTGTGTACTAGGTATAATATAAAGAACATGTACATGCAAAAATACATGTACATGTAATTCAGCCTGGCCTGTTGACTTAATTATTAAATTCTCATTATATATAATTATTACTGACTTCACTAGCTTTTGTTTCCAGTTGGCGGCGTATTTCATCCATTTTCCTCTCAAACTTGTTTCTTTCTTCTTGCAGGCTTTCCTCAAGCTCCAGCTCTTCTCTCTGGATCACAAGAAAGAGAGAGACAGCAATTAAAATAATAATAATAATTAAAAATAATGGCAGCTAGCTCATCAAGTATCTCTTCAACTTCAGCTCATGCGCTCATTATTAATCCAAAACAAGTTAATAATCCACTTATGAAGCACATTCATCGCATCCCGTGGCAGCAAGGCGATATTGTGCCGGACTTTGTCATGGGTCGTACAGTATGCGGCTTATTTTTAAGCATTCGCTACCACTCCCTCCATCCACAGTACATTTATGAGAGACTGGATAAACTAGGATCATTATATGAAGTACGTGTACTTCTCCTATTGGTGGACACACAGCAGTACAATGGGATATTAAAGGAGCTATCAAAACTGGCGCTAACTGCCGGCTGTACTCTGATATTGTGCTGGAGTAACGAAGAAGCTGCAAAGTATCTGGAAAGTTATAAAATATTTGAAACAAAACCGGCCGACCCTATCATGGAAAATAACTCGTGTGCCGCCACTGAGTGTTTGTCAGCGATAAAGAAAGTGAACAAAACTGACGCTGCTAGTTTGATGGCTTTGTATGGCTCACTGGATTCTATTATCAGAGCTTCTAAAGAAGACATCACACTCTGCCCTGGACTAGGACCACACAAAGCTGAACAGTTACACCAATTATTTCATGAGCCATTCCTTAAATAATTTATTTAAGTAGCATGGTCTACTACATGTCTACATGCATCTCTTATGACTAATAACTATTATTTTGATTTTCTTAATAATACATGTGCATGTGCATTTACAAGTATTATCTATTATTTTACTAACATACCTCATGCATCTCATCCAAATAATCTAAATTCATCTGTAGCTGCTCTATCTTGACTTGTTTCAGAGGGTAATCTTTCTCCTGTCAGTATTAATAATAATTATTATAGCTTTTTCCAGTGCATGCATTGCATGATTCTGTTATTAATACATACAGTATACATGTGATTCTTACTTTGTAATTTAATAGAGTATGGAGCTGTTTGCTAGACTTTGTTAGCATGACCTCTTCTTCATGTAACTCCAATCTCATTTCTATCACGACAAATGCACTAAGTACAAAATTATAGTCTCTCACTTGCTAGTGTTGACTCCATTTCTGATTTCAGACTCTCTAGATCTTCTATGGAATCCTTCAATTCTGTTGCTCCTTTTTGCTTCACTTTACTGATTACTCCCTGAATGTTCCAAGAGCAGGCTCTTAATGGTTGTGCATGGTACAAGACATTGAAAGTGCCATACCTTGAACTTGTGATACTTATCCAGCGAATGACTAACTTTCTCGTGCTGAAAGAAATAAATAATTATACATAATAATTTTGAGTTATCAAAATAAATGATTTGTCTCACCGTAGTCTCATCAGTAGATTGTATTGCCATTACAAGCTGGAGGTTCTTCTCTTGGCTGCAATAACATTTACACATGTAATTTACAAAGTTGTGTCAATCGATGATCATCACTTACAGTTGAGCTAAATGAGAACGATATTTCTCTAAGGTTTCTTTCTTGCGAACAATCATTGCCTGTAAAGAATAGTGAAAAAGTATAAAAATGTAGCACAACTTGATGTGTTAACAGTAAATGGTCACTTTGGGATAAGCATTAATGTATCTAGTATACCACTGCTTTAAATGCATAGAGTATAATAGTATATATAATATTAGTGGTGTCTGCTGTGATGAAGCACACGTGAAGATTTGTTGTTTAAAGAATTACTTTGAATAGTTGTTGTGTAGGTGATTCAGCCACTGGAGTCGGTCTGTGTACTAGTCTATTTGATCCTAGCACTGTATGGTGATGATGATGGTGGTGGTGGTGGTGAGTATCTGCTCCTGCAACATTTTGCTGTAATGCTGCAGGCTGCTGACTGTTGCCCATAAGTTGCTGAGCTTGTTGAGAGGAGGTTTTACGAGCTATGCTCAAAGTAGAGAGGTGATGAAGAGTGCTGTTAAACTCCAAGCTACTGGTTCTCTTCCTTTCCCACTGAACATAATCAGCATGTACATATGGATTAGGAACATAGAAGGCCATGATGATACTTGTAACTTGTTAGTCGTAGCCTGGCAACGGGTCGTTTAGCCACTCCTTCTACCCCGCCCTCCTGTTGCTAAGCGACTTTTAGCCACACCCCTTCGGTGCACGTGACTCTCTTTAGCTCACAAGCAGAGGTTTAGTCTTGTGTGCAATATTTTGCGCTAAGAGTTAAGAGTTCATTTATTAGAAGAACAAGAGTCAGTAGAGAGACATGGTAACTTTAATCATTCAATTGCATTGCATTTTGTTGCCCTTTCAAGATTTGATATCTTGTCACACCCTCTTTTCAGTCACCATGACCACACCCTCTCCTTTATATATACTTCTCTCTCTTTTATTCTCTTATTCTAGTCAAAAGGTCAGTCACTAGGTGTCCCTGATGATCAGGACAAGTTGCTCGGTGAAGCTCTCAAGCAAGTCGATAAAAGTTCGTTTGAAATGAAGACTTGCCTTGTAAGTTGGGCCCTGCCTTGAAAGAGGCTGTGTTGCTGTGTTAGTAATACTTAGTATGTCCATGTTCTTCTTTTCTTTCTAATTAGGATAACGACAAGTTGATGGATGCACTTAAACATGCTTCATCAATGCTCAGTGAACTGAGAACATCACTGTTGTCACCAAAGAGCTATTATGAATTATGTGAGTTCAGTTATTATTATTATTATTATTATTATTATTATTATTATTGTGAAATTTTATTTCATGGGTGTAGATATGGCAATATCGGACCAGTTGCGGCATCTAGAACAATTCCTATTCGACGAGTTTGAGAAAGGAAAGAAAATGTCAGATCTTTACGAGCTGGTTCAATATGCTGGGAACATAGTCCCTAGGCTGTAAGATATGCCCGTGTGTGTACATGTATTGTTGCATGATTTGCAGCAACAAATCAAAATGTTATTCTTTGTCAGTTTTGTTTGTCATTGCTGTTTTATGAACACATGCTCCTTTTTAGAATAGATCATGTAACTTCCCCTTCTCTCTCTCTCTCTCTTTATAAACAGATATCTATTAGTAACAGTAGGTACGGTTTACGTCAAAGCTAAGGAAGGTTCCAGGAAGGACATACTCCGTGATTTGGTTGAGATGTGTCGCGGGGTACAGCACCCATTGAGAGGATTGTTCCTGAGGAATTACCTGCTACAATGTACTCGTAACCTCCTCCCAGATTCTTCTAATGAGTAAGCACATACAAACTATGATGTTCATCGTATATGTACATGTACATGTACATTGTATATGTGCATGTACATACATGCATATGTACTTTTAGATGTACTCACTTACACATTGTTCAATGCATCAGAAAAATCACATTTTGCATGTACTGTACATGTACACTGTAAATAATCTACTAGGGATACGTAATAGGTGTACATGTACATGTACATTATTGATCATATTTTATGTGCTTGTTCTCTCCCTCTGTCTCCTCTCCTTTATTAAAGTGAGCTTGATGGTACAGTCCATGACTCCATTCAGTTCATACAGCACAACTTCTCTGAGATGAACAAGCTTTGGGTCCGAATGCAGCATCAGGGCCACACGAAGGAGAAGGACCGGAGAGAGAAGGAGAGGCTGGAGCTCCGTATCCTTGTCGGGACCAATCTCGTCCGTCTCTCCCAGCTAGAGGCAGTCGACAAGTCCTTGTATTTGAAATCGGTCCTTCCTAACATATTGGAGCAGGTGGTGAAGTGTCGGGACGCCATAGCCCAAGAGTATCTAATGGAGTGTATTATTCAAGTGTTTCCTGACGAGTTCCACCTGGAGTCACTCAATCCTTACTTAAAGGTTGTTAATTAATTAAATATTAATATTAATTATGATATTGGTCTACCGTATACTGGGAAATTTTCGAGTAGCCAAATTTTCGCAAATTTCGTATTTTTTGCTCTGTCGCGAAAATTAAAATCGTGAAATTCTAAATTTCCATTGCCACGTGGTGGAGTTTACAGGCTATTTGCGAAAATATTATTTCGTGAAATCTTACAAATGCAAAATTCGCGAAAATTTAGCGACGCGAAAATATCCCAGTATACGGTATTTTCACACTGTGTGTGTGTGTATCTGTAATCTATGCATTTACAATGTGTATGTTAGTGATTAGAATTATTTTTCGTTTCTGTTAATTCCTGATGCACATGCACATACATACATGTACATGTACTTGTACATTACAACATTAACTGCATGTACATGTATTATTATTATTAATATACCTTTTAGACTTGTGCTGATCTCCAAGAGTTTGTTAATGTTAAAGGTATCATTATTACACTGATTGATCGTTTGGCTGCTTTTGCTCATCGCTCTGACATTTCTGCCATACCCGAAGACATCAAACTGTTTGACATCTTCCAACAAGAAATTGCCATCGTTATACAAGTAAGTGAATTAATGTGCCCAGTATTAATTTTGTATCAACTTTTGAGGTGATTTGAATCAAAATTTGATTGATTTGCTTCAAAATTTTGGACAAATAGTCATGTGTATTATATAATACTACTTTATTTTCAATGTCCATGCATTATATTATAATTCTATTTTTAGAGTCGACCAAATATGGAAACAGAGGACATAGTTGCCCTTTATGTGTCCCTGGTTAATCTTGCCATCAAGTGTTATGCTGACCAGTTGAATTACGTCGATGATGCTTTAAAATCGACCCAAGAAATCTTGACAAAGAAAGACATGAGCAAGTAATGCCACACTGCATTTGTGTGCAAGCTTTAATTATCCGCTTTATGCAGAGTTGGTAGCAACACTTCGACTGGTCGTGAGTTGCAGCAGCTGCTTAAGGTTCCCATTGACGGCTATGATGCCGTCCTGACTGTCCTTAAGCTAGAGAACTACTCCTCCATTTTGAAACACTTTGATTATGATGGTCGCAAGTCGCTAGCCGTCTACCTTTTACAAGCGATCCTAGACAAGAACGAAGCCATCACGTCTTGGACCCAAGTAACCTTTTTTCACTTTATTCTATTACCAATCCATCTCTATACATGAAAGTACATGTACATGTATTTTTAAATTATCCTTTAATTATTAGGTTGAGACACTTTTTGATCTGATATCTCCACTTCTATACGATGAAGCAGACCAACCTACTGATGAGGTAAGTGAGCCCTCAGTTATAAGAAATGAACTGCATGTACATGTACACTCTACATGTCTATGTTCAAGTTAAAATGCCATTTTTAATTTTAATATTATTAGTACTGATTTTTTCTAAGTATTATTTTGCTTTCTCTCTCTCTCTCTCTCTCTCTCTTTAGCCTGATCCGGAAGACTTTTCAGAGGAGCAAGGTATGGTAGCTCGACTTATTCACCTTTTCAAAGCTCAAGCACCCGACCAGCAATATCAGGCAAGCTCCCTCTCCCTCTTTCAGCTTCTTTTATTATAATGATTTAATTTTTTTAGATTATCAATAATTCGAAGAAGGTGTTTGTTAAAGGCGGAGACTCTAGAGTGGTCCATACTCTCATACCAGTAGTGTTCTCTAGCTACCGTCTAGTCGTCGCTTACAGATCAATACAGGAAACTGTGAGCTACCAAAAATAATGTTTGGTTGAATAATAATTATTATTATTGTTCACTCAGATTGAAGTATTATGCATGGGAATTGAATATATCTTAAAACTAAATGATTAGTATAATGCATCCATGTACTGTACATGTACGTCTATATCGTAGATGTAATTCAATATTTTGATTCTTTTATATTTTTATAGGACAGTAAATGGTTTCAAAAGTGTGAGAGGATATTTCAACTGAGTCTACAGACAATATCTGAGCTCTGCAAGCTAGCGCCTGAGCCGTCGCTGAGACTTTACTTACAAGGAGCTCTGACTGCTGATGGAGTTGGCAATGAAACCATTGCTTATGAGTTCTTGACACAGGTGCATATGGGAAACTTTATGAAAGTTTTTTAATGATTTATGTTGCTATGGTTTGTTATTATTATTATTTTTATTTTTAGGCAATCACACTATATGAGGAAGATATATCAGATTCTCGTGAGCAAGTTGTCTGTTTAACTTTAATAGTTGGCACATTTGAAAGCATGGCATCACTAGAAGAAGAGAATCATGAGGCAGTCAGGTAATATCATGTATCCATTATAGGAAGAGAACTCTAGTACATGCATGAAACACAACTCTACATGTTAATGTACATGTACATGTACGTGTATATATTACCTCCTTGAAGGTAGATTTATACTGCACATGAATTTGCTTTAAAATGGCTGCCATTTTAGACATCAACTTGAAGTCCTACATTATTAAGGCTATTCCTTGTAACAAAGCAGGTGTTTGCAGGCACTTTACTGTACTTGCTAAAATTTAGATGCATTTATGATCGCTCCTTTTTTTCATAGAACTAAATGTGCTGTGGCCTCATCGCGTTTACTTAAAAAGCCGGACCAGTGTCGATGTGTAGCAGCATGTGCTCATCTCTTCTGGTCAGCTAAAGTCTCTGATGGGAACGAACCAACTGAAGTGAGTTACACTGTACATGCATTTATGATAAGAGGAAGAGAAGGGAGAGGTGGATAGAGACTGGTGCATATGCATGTACATGTTCTTGTGTTGCATAGAGAGTTTGAGCTAATTCTGATCAAATTTGGATTTTTTACGAATTTTAAAAGTTACTCAAAAACTGGGCAGAAGTCCCTGTACTATAGTACAGGGATCTTGGCCAAATTTCACCAAAAATCACTAGGAGAGAAATCTCCATTTTTATAATGTTTCCTGGTACATATACATGTTCTAATGTTGTGTAGAAAGTTTGAGCTGATTCCAATCAAATTTGGATTTTTTACGAATTTTTTAAGTTACTCAAAAACTGGGGAAAAGTCCCTGTACTATAGTACAGGGATTTTGACCAAATTTCGGCAAAAATGAAAAGGAGAGAATTCTCCATTTTTATAATTTTTCCTGATGCATATACATGTACATGTTTTTATGTTGCATAGAAAGTTTGAGCTAATTTCAATCAAATTTGAATTTTTTAGGAATTTTTGAAGTTGCCATCTACATGTACATTGTATACTAATTGTGCATCTCACTCTCTTCTAGTGTCATGACAGTAAACGTGTAATGGAGTGTCTAAAGAAGAGTGGCCGTATAGCCAACCAGTGCATGGACAGCGTGGTCCAAACTCAATTACTAGTCGAACTACTCAACGTCTACATTTTATTCCTAGAGAAAGGAAACAATGAAGTTAGTACATCAATGTTCACATTGGTCTCCTAAGAATATTTATACATGTATTTCTAGACTATACTGTATTTTATTTTTTAATTATTTCTAGATCATACCATTATGCTGTGCATGTATTTCTATGTATCTATCTGGTTATATTTGTAGATATCGCAGCAATTCTTAAACCAATTGATTGAAAAGATCAAGGGAAACATTGAGGGCTTAGATAAAAACGAAGAGACGGAGCAAGTCATCCAACATTTTGAGAATACTCTTACTCACCACAGACAAAGCAAACAGCAGTCTGAAGCTGATTGACCATAACTAGATAATATAATTATACTATTACTATTGAACAGCTAGTCTTTGTCTCTTTCTCTTTGTTTGTGCGTGTGTATTTTACAATTATTATTATTATTAATTATTTTGTTGCTGATTTTGTGTGTTTTCTATACCTGATATTAAAATAAATAATAATAATTAATGATACTTGTATAATTGCTTAGTAAGTTGCTGTTTGCAGAAAAAAACAAGAAAAAAATTAGTGAAAAATCAACATAATGGATCTAGCTTTGGTATAAAAAATTTAAAATGTAAATAAGTTATAGACTGTTTTATAAAAATTTAATCTTCAGTTGACTCTTCATTTTCTTCGTTGCGGTCTTTGCGGAAATTATCCAAGTCTTCCCTGAAAGTGGTAAATTCTTTACAGCCATACTCACTGCTGAAATGATAGCGCCCGTAGCATGGCTCGCGACACTGGAGACAAAACGGCATTTGACAGCGTCTACACTTGACCCAGTTATTCCTTCCTAGCTTCTGTTGAATCTGTAGCAACAGGACATAATATGGCTACAGTCAAACCTGTCTATTCCGGACACCTTAGGACCCAATAATACCCTAGCTCCTGATTATGAACCTGTCCTTTTTATTTCAGAGGTTCATTAATACACATTACTATTGTATTGGGACTGATACTACTTATCCTGGTTATATAGGTGTCCTTATTTTAGAGTGTCCACAATAGCAGTTTTGACTGTATTATTATAAAAAGTTGGTTGCTAATGTATGTGGATAACATGTGGATAACATGTGGATAACATGTGCATAACACATGCACCCAAGCTACAAGTCATCAGTGTTATGTACTAATTTTATATTATGAAACTAACCAGTCCACAGCGTGGGCAAGCTGACTCCAACAGGTTTTCTAGAACAGTTACTTTCACTATCTGATGGACATCGTTAGTGGCATCGGTTGCTTCTTTGTCTTCTTGTTCAGGCTGTGGAGGAAGGTAGTCTTCGTCACGAAATAAATTGCAGGTGCTTTGTAATTCAAAGTGGCTATACCTTTCAATGTAGAGAGCAAAAGATGCAACAAAAATGAGCAAGTTTAAAAATAAAGACAAGAAAGATATTTTTGGAAAAAATACTACACAAGGCACATGTAACTAAAATTAAATAGACGTATTTTTATTATCTCAGTTATACTTTTAATCTTACCCAGATATCTTCTGCATGCAGATCCAACAGAAGCCAGAGCCACACTTCCAACATGACATTTTGTTGCAGCCACCAATTTTCTGTATCAGTGTCAAACAGGTGGGACACTCACGTACATTACGATGAGACTTCATCCAAATAATGGACTGAGAGAGAGAGAGAGGGGGGGAGGGAGGAGTGAGAATAGCATGTGACAAACTATAGAGTACAGATATAGAAAACTAACTTTGAGTTCCTCTAGCCTCCTCTCCTCATCTCTTGCTTTTGGCTTTCTTTTAACTTCCATTTCTGTATCTTCAACTTCGACTGCTTTTGACTGAACAAGTAATGATGTGAATAAAAATGAGATTACACGTATATAAAATTATAATAGTAATGTACCTATACATGCATCATTATTATTATTATTATTATTATTATTATTATTATTATTATTATTATCATTATCATTATTATATCATTACTTTCTCAATGAAGGCACATTCCTCAATCCCATGCCAGGTCTGTCTACAACGTTTACAAAAAGGGAAGCTACACTGAGGGCAGAGTGCAAGGTCTGATTGTGGGTCGGAGATGATACGGGATCCACAAGCACTCCTCGGACAAAAGACCATCCCAGGTATTGAGTCTAGAGATACCTGCTCTCTCAATTCGAGATACCTACAAAAATAAACATGAATGAGTATATAATTAAATATGACAGTTTCTCTTTACAATAATACTGAGCCAACCTTTTAAATTTATCAGGAGTGAGTAGTGATTGAACAAGTGTATCTGAAAGTGCTTTACTGCAATCTGTACTTAAACAACTGAAGCTTGTAACTCTTCCTTCGGCTAGCAGCATCTACAACACACACACACATGTATTTAAAAACAATAAAACAATACTGATGTGTGCATGCAAAAACCCAATTTAGAATTGGGAAAATTTGTTCCAGGCCCCATGTTTGAGGGCCCCCTTACTTTAAAATTTTATAAATATGTTTTACTAATAATTACCTCGCAGTGTCCACGGACGCAGTTCTCACAAAAAAGAATGCTCTCATCTTTACACTCGTCGCATTTCTCCACAAACTGGTCGCCATATTTCTCTTCGAAGCACACAGCACAGGAATGCTTCTCCGCCAGAAACTGCTTATGATTCTCAAACTTGTCGTACTCTTCGACATCGTTAAACTCTGATATACTCCTTACGAAAAGATGATGACTAGACGTGGGGCGTTCCCCTTGTGTTCCCCTCCCTCCTCCTTCCTCTATTTCAGCTAACAGATCAGTGCTTATGTACGTGACCCAGTTATACACTGTAGGCCAACCTGGCGTGAATAATAGGCGGAGCTTCTCGCTGATGGTCTTCAAGTGTTTCTCGTTGAGCCATCTTGCACTTAAATGAAAGGTGGGTGGGTCAGTCGATGGATAGTTGTCGTGGTAACGGACGTAGAGTGACACAGGAGGGAGGTGTGTCACTAGAGCTGGTTTAGTGCTTGTGGATCTCGTTAAGTGAGGGGGCGGTCGAGGTGTCTCGCTGTCAGTCAGTTTTGGTGTCGCTAGCAATAGTTCTAATGATTCACTTGAGTGAATACTTATATCAATCTAAAAATATCGAGAAATACAAAAATGAAGCTAAATTTGCCATGATTTTGTCTTGTTTTAACTTGCTGGAGCCTTAGTACTCACAAGAAATTCTTTCTCCGGTGCTATGACCTTCATTTCTTCGCCAAAAATGCTCAAAAGTGATTCAAATTCCAAACTCTGCTCTTCTAAATTCTCCCCATTCAAAAGCTCTTGGTCGCAGGCGGCCATTTTGGGAGTTAATCTATGACCACGCCTCTAACCACGCCCTCACATTTACAAAAGTGGGATTGCAAAAGATAAAATGAATAAAGCAGACGAGCTTTGGAGTTTTCTAGCTTATTTGGAAGAGAGGGGCTGGATATCATTTAGAGTTTCTTCCAAGTTTCTTCAAAAGCAGGTTTGCACTAGTGGGGGGGGAGGTGAAAATAAGTGAAATTATAGGGGGGCAGGGGGCAGCCAATATTCAATTTTAATTTTTAAAATAATTTACAGGTTCAAGATTGGCCTAAGGTCCTAAATAAAGAAAACGACCATTTAATTCCTAATGAATCTCCTCTGAATGAGGAAGCCCCTCCTATTAGTAATCCTAATTATGATTATCATTATAATACTGTCTCTTCTACTCCAAATGAACTCAGTGAGTCATCTCCTAATAAACATAATTCTCTTAGTAATAGCACCTTTACTGATGACCAATCCTCTCCATTAATAAATACACCTGCAATGAATCAATCCAATGATGATGATGTACGAATTATTAGTTCTTTTCATCCACTACAATTGAGTTTTTCTCCAATATCAGCATCTTTCCATGATGCATCTACTGCTAATCTTCAATCAGAATCACTTCCTTCTCATAACCAGTCTCTATCCATTGATCAAGGAGACAATCCTTTAGATGATGACTGTTCTTTTATTAAATGTATTGCATTATCTTCTAAGCCAGCAGTCCCTGCTGACTCTAATAATTCTTTTAATGGTCAACAATCATGGGTTTCTCCAATGCCTCAAAAAACTTTGTCGGATAATGAAAGCACATCAAAGCAAGATGTCTCCATTATTCAACTCTCAGCCGGCGAATCTCCTCCATTATTTAATACAGAGTCTAAAAACTCGTCACTTAATTGTCAGTCAAACGCTAGTGTATCTTCGCCATTGAACGAACTATCTTTGAATGATATTACGGTCCCTGCCTCTAATGACTCAATATCATTTGGTGGACAAGTGGAAAATGGAAAAGGGAAAGGAGAAGTGACAGAGCCTCCTGTAGAGGTGGAAGAGGTGACTCGGGTTGAGCAGAAACCCTCAGTCATTGTCTTAGATGATGACAGTGATGATGAACGTTTAGAACAATGTAAGGATGAGAGGAGATGTACATGCATTTACATGTACTTCCAGGATTAATGTTTACTGCATGTTAAGCAAGAGTGAAGAACCTGTTCTCTTTTTTTGTGTTTTGTATGTCAAATGTCAAAATTTAAATCCTTTTAGTTTTTAGTAATTTAAGACTTGAGTCTGCTCGAAAGGAAAGGAAAGCCAAGCGGTTTGTTTCAAGAAAAAGGTACCAACGTCATCTCTCACTCTTCTACCCTCTTTCTCTCTCACCCTCACTCCCTCACTCTCTCTCCCTCTCCTTCTCTCTCTCCCTCTCCTTCTCTCTCTCTCTCTCTCTAGTTTAGCTGCATTTATAGTTAGTGATTCTGAAGAGATTGAGGAAGAAAGAGAGAGCGAAGATGAAAAGGAGCCTCTCCCAGTGTCTCCTCGCATTCTGCCAAAGGCTGCAATTAATACACCCCAAACCACAACCAGTCCAGGCTGCTGTACACCATGTACGTACCTTTTGTCTATAGGAGACAATACTCATTCTGTGAATATTTTTATATTTATACTTTAAATATAATTTTAGATGCTAAATTCAACATTGCATCAATGACAAAAAAATTTTAAATCACGCAATCATTTTTAGATGTAAAAATTTTTAATTTCCAGATTTACAGTAATGTATGTTTGTTAATTCTAAATTGCTTACGATACCTTGTGTATAAATTTTTTTGTTTCTCTAGTGTTTAGATTCCCGTCTCGTAGTCATGTTTCTTCACAAGCAACTCCTTTTATCTGTCGGACACCGACAGTTACCGACACTCTTAGTACCCCATCCTCCTGTTTGAGTGTGAAGAGAAATCGACTTAAAATGGTTGAAGAGCTATTTGAAATGTTTAACAGGACAGTCTTTGATGACAAAGTAACATAGAAGCATGCATTAATAATGTGCTGTGTAACAGTAATGGTGACATGTAATTCAAATAGTAAAAGTCGGTTCAAATTTTGGCCAATGACCATGGGCTGTACAGGATATTTTGTCAAAAATGGCCAAAGAGAGACTTTTTTGTATTTATAATATTTCCTGATACATATACAAATTCTTACGTTGCGTAGAAACTTTGAGCTAATTTTGATCAAAATTGGATTTTTTACGCATTTTTAAAGTTGCTCCAAAATGTGGCCAAAATCCCTGTACTATAGTACAGGGACTTTGACCAAATTTTGTCAAAAATGACTAGGAGAAAATTCTTCATTTTTATAATATTTCTTGATGCATATACATGTTCTTATGTTGCGTAGAAAGTTTGAACTAATTTTGATCAAAATTAGATTTTTTACGAATTTTTAAAGTTGCTCCAAAATTGGGCCAAAATCCCTGTACTATAGTACAGGGACTTTGATCAAATTTTGTCAGAGATGACTAGGAGAGAATTCTCCATTTTCATAATTTTTTTCTGATACATATACACATTTTTATATTGCGTAGAAAGTTTGAGCTGATTCCGATCAAATTATGTTGTTTTTTTTTTCATAATTGCAGCTCCCTCCTGATATGGGGATCACGTGGAACAAGAGAATGAGGACAACTGCTGGGTGGTGTGTTTACACAGGGTAGGTTTTGTGTCATATTTTCTTTTTATTTTCCTCCTCTCTCTCTCTTTCTCCCTCTTTTTTATTATATTTAGTAGTTTATTTAATCGAGAATGCAGAATCGAACTCTCACAGAAAGTTTGTGATACTTATGGTAAATAATCTTCATGGATGATGATGTACATTGATAATAGTAATATCACTCACTGTCATAATATCACTATTTCCATTCTCATTCCCTTTGATTGCATATAAACTATTATTATTATTACAGATCGTATTCGTGACACATTGATACATGAGTTGTGCCATGCAGCAACTTGGATCATCGATGGAAAGAGAAATGAGAAACATGGGAAAGTGTGGCAGAAATGGTAAGAGACACCATATCAGGCTAACAAGATACATATACAGCATAATTACAAGAACAGTTTTGGAATGGGTATCTATTATATGGTTTTACAAAGCTAAGAGCGGACACAGATTCATTTACAATGTTAGATTTAGAGATTCCCCTTTCTACTATTCTAGGGCCCATCTTGCTAATAGTGTGCATCCAGACTTACCGCCAATCACCACTAGGCACAGTTATGAGATCACGTACAAGTATTGGTATCAGTGCAGTAGGTGTGACTACAAGTGAGGGCAGATAATGTAGTGTACAATGTACATGCAACATACAACTTCTATCATAGCATTCCTAAACGATGAGTGAAAAAATTAAAATCTAAGCTAAACCAGCGCAACTGGTAAATGGTAGTATGAATTGTGAATGGTCAAGATTATTTTTATAATTATTATTATTATTGGTGATCCCCAGGACTTAATAATCTTGTTTCAGGCCTGTAGTTTATTTTCTTCATTTAGGTTTGGCCGTCATTCAAAATCTGTCAATTTGAACGTGGCTACCTGCCCTTACTGCTCAAGGTAAAGAAGCTACAGGAATCTTTGAGCTATAAGTATTAAACCTTTTCTTTCTCCTTTTAGTTTACTGGAACTCTATCAATGAAAAAGCTTATGTGCACATGATAATATTTAATCTATAGCACTAAACCTTCTCAATAATATTTCAATTCCTCAATGATTTTACTATTATAGCATTAATACTTATTGTGGATTATTATTACATGTGAATTGCAATGCATATTCACTTAGTTTTATGTACTGTGATTTCCCTTAAACTTGCATGATAGACAAGCAGAAATGTGTTATGAACATGCTCTCTTGTGGTCAGTATTAAGTAGGTACATCCATTTAATTCCTGACCACAACAGAGCATGTGCATAACACATTTCTGCTTGTCTATAAGGAAAATTACAGTATCAATTAGTAGCTACCTATCAGTGACTGACACTAATAACAATGTTTTGTATGCAGAATGCAATGTAACCAGACTCCAAAGTTTATCTCAGTTGCTACGTAAGCTGTGAGCAATGATTCTACTAACTTACAAGCAAGTTCAAGATGCCTTGAGTGAGGCATACATGAGTTGGAAGGCAAATTCACCTGCAGCCTTCACTATAAAGGGAACCAAAATCCCAGTGGAATACTCGAGCTCTGGTGGTAAGGCAGAGTTTAGCATACCAGGAAAAGAATATGCAATGAACAAAGAAGATGTGAGTGAGCTTCATTGCTGGTGGGAAGAGGATCTCACCAAAGGAGAAGGTGCCTTTATTGCTCTACCTAATGACCCAAAGGTTATGGCAGCTATAAGGAAAGAAGATGAATTTTGGTTTACTATATCAGTAGAATAACCAATATATATAACTTTTATGTAGATTAATTGTTACTGCTCTACAATTTAATGTACATGTAAAGTTATAATTATTTTTTAATTGTTCGGCTGAATCATATCTTTAAGGACAGTGCTTGAATTGGTTGGAGCTGCACACTTGTAGTCCTCACAAAGATAAACTGTTGCTTTATCATCAACCATGATCATATCTTTAAGGAGAGGGAGGGACTCCATAAGGAGTGGAGAGGGAGACGAGGGATCGTGAAGGATGAGAGTCTTGTTAGGAATGAAATGTGAATGTATGCAAGATAAGAGAGCTTGTGTGTCATCTCCTGATATTAAACCAACAATGATAACCTAAAAACCAATTTATAATAACAATAATAATAACAATAATATGGGGTAATTCAGCAACAGTAAACTGAAAATAGGCTAAGCAACCCAACTTATACAGTATGTAGATTTGCCTACTTGTTTTGGTTTTTGTAAATAAGATATGAAAGCTCCGATCAATGCAGCCATAGCTGGAGGGTGCTCCATCATGCTTGAATTAAACGTCTTAAAAATGTTCTCAGATTTCGAGCGAAGCTCTGATTTATCAAAAAATGATGACAAACGAAGCAAATTCTCAGCAGAGACTGAATTAGCACTTGGTTCAGCTCCATCTTCACCTAATAAGTATAATAATAATAATAATAATAATAATAATAATAATAATAATAATAATAATAATAATAATAATAATAATTGTTTTCAATCGAAGCTAAAATGCTGAACTATCAAAGTATTCATGTACATTTTTATTTCGTAATTGCATACCATCTTTCATCCTTAGCAGAATGCTATCATCCATTCCACTGGTACTGAAGTAGCCTCCTTTCTCTTCTCCCTCTTCTCCTTTGATGTCCAGGAACAGCCTGTCTTGCTGCTCCTGTAGTTCAAGTGCCCATTTCAACCAGAGAGGATCATGGCTGGCTTCGTAAAGGTCAATGAGACCTCGAATGAGAAATGCATAATCATCAGCGAATCCTTCAACAGTGCTAACACTGAGAACGCTATAAGAACAAATCAAATGTTAACAAAATGAAAGAGTAGGACAGAATGTTCCATGTTTATAATTTTTTTGATACATTTGCATGTTCTTGTATTGTGTAGTAAGTTTGAGCTGATTTTGATCAAAATTGGATTTTTTTATAAACTTTAAAAGTTACTCAAAAATTTGTCCAAAGCTACTTACTCATTCTCATCTCTATAAGCATTTCTTAGTAAGACGGATTTCTCCTTATCGTACAATGAGTCTCTTATGAATGATGCTGCACTCTTGGCTCTCTCAAGATACTCAGATCCACCAAGTACTTGTGACGCACGAGATAAAGCAGATACCATGAGACCTAAAAATAAAAAGAATCATGCAATGGACACTGTGAATCTAATAGGAATGAAATGATCCCAATCATGCTAAAAAGAAGCATTCTTAAATAATTTTTATAATAATTTGGATGGTAAAACAATCAAAATTTTCAAAAAATTTGTGACTTACCGTTCCATGCTGTAAGTATTTTATCGTCTCGATGAGGTTTAGGTCTCTCAGCTCTCATCTTGTATAGCCTATCTTTGGCCTCCATTAGCAAACTCTTCACTTGTTCAACTTCCAATGAAAATTCGCTAGATAATTCTTCAAATGATTTTTTGATTATAAGGACATTTTGATTTATTAGTTCGCCATGTGGATCCTACAAAAAAAAAATTTTTAATAATAAAATTGTTATTATTATTATTACTATTACTATTACTACAATACCTGATTTGGCCGAACATTGCCTCCTTTTTTAACTCCAAAACGACTCGAAAATAAGTCAGCTAGTGTTTTATCAGTGTCGCCCCCTGGGAGGGGGTCTAGTAATATTGACTGTATTTCTTCCCAAGTCCATACACAGAAGGCACCCTCTTTCTTTTCTTTGTCGCCATGGCAACGATAAGAGTCTGCATCTTCTGCGGAATAAAATCCGCCATCCTAATAATAATAATAAGAATAATAATAATAATAATAATACATATTATAATGGACACTTTGGGGCAAGAAAGTTGCTTTGTTATAACAGAGGTGTCCTTTATGTGGAGGTTATTTTATACAGTAAGGAATGTAATTGGTACACTAGGTGCTGTCCGTTAAATGGAGGTGTACGCTATAGAGAGTGTCCATTAAGAGAGGCCCTACTAATCAATACCTTATCACCGAGATCTCTCAATACATACTCTAATATATCAACTGCAGTTTCCTTAAACTTGTCATCTTTTGTAATCTGTAAAGGGGTGTGGTCAAGGAGTATACTCTAATTGCCATGGTTACCTGATATGCACTGAGGTAGGTGACAACAAGTTGGGCTTGATCATATAACATTTTTTCAAAGTGAGGAACATGCCAGTAGGGGTCGGTTGAATAGCGATGGAAACCCTATGGAGACAATCAGTTCACATGTGCATGTACATATATGGTATAAAGACTGATTATCAGGTGCTATACTATAGTACAGTTATTCTTAAAAAATACAATTTTGATCGGAATCAGCTCAAACTTTATACACAACATAAGTACATGTATATGTATCAGAAAAAATTATAAAAATGGTAAATTCTCTCCTATTCAATTTTGGTGAAATTTGGCTCGTGACCCTGTACTATAGTACAGGAACTTTGGCCCGATTCTTGAGTAACTTAAAAAATTCATAAAAAATTCAATTTTGATTTGAATCAGCTTAAACTTGCTACACAATATAAAAAACATGTATATGCATAAAAAAAGATTATAAAAATGGCAAATTCTCTCCTTGCCATTTTTGATGAAATTTGGCCCATGACCCTGTACTATAGCATACAGCCTTATGCAGCTACCCGTCAGATACTCACTTGTCCAATGTGATCATGCATTCCTCCATTGCTCATTGCTTCAAGTGTAAAGAGAACAGATGCTAATGCACCATCACCCATCTCAGAGGAAGGATAGCGTGCATATATCCTTAACAGCAGATCAAGTATCACTGTTATTATAAAAATATGAGAATATCTTATTAAAATGGCATAAATAAATGATGTACTTCTATTAAATGAGGCACTAAAGGAAAAAGAAAAAGGCAGCTATTGTAAACATGCAAAGTAAAAATTATTCTTTATTTGTTTTAATTTGCTCAGTGTTAAGATCCCTCTGTTTGCATGATCACTATTCTCTTTACTGACTCACCAGGTTGAGGGAATTTCATACTCTGACCAAACCCGCCATACTTGCTATCAAACCGGTCCGCTAGCATTTCAGCAGCTTTCTGGATACAAGCTGTACCAGGTAACTGCGGATTGAGTGAAGATGAGCCAGCAACAGCTGCTTGAAGTGCTTTCATTAGTGGGTTCATCTTCTGCTTGATATTATCATGATCTTTAGTCCACTAAAAAGCATACACTGTACATCTATCATATCAAGGATACGCATTCATAAAGCTTAGCCAAAACTTTATGGGCATCTGAATTTGCAAAAAAATTCTAAGATTTTTTAAGCATATAATTTAGCTTTTTGCCACAATTACAAAAGTGTAATCCCCAGGCTATGAATCGGGATGATAAATTACAGGCAGACAATATTTTAATAGTTAGATACCTGCTCATGTACAGCATTTAGTATTGTAAGAAAACTTGGACTCCTAAAAGAGTCCTCGGGAGGAAAATAAGTTCCGCCGAGAAACGGTTTCAACTCTGGCGTCAAAAAGACACTCATGGGCCATCCACCACTACCCTGGGTAGCCTTGAGACAGAAAAAACAAAAAATAAATAATAATTATTAGTAAATGTCACTAGCAAGTAATTCTCAATGGTACTTCACAGTTATTATAAATAATATCCTTATGCAGGACTGTTCGTACCTGTACAAATGTCATATAAACTTTGTCCACATCTGGTCTCTCCTCCCTGTCAACTTTGATACTGACAAAATGATCGTTGAGGACTTTAGCGACAGTATCACTCTCGAAGGACTCTCTCTCCATCACGTGACACCAGTGACATGTGGAATAACCAACCGATAGAAATATCGGCTTGTTCTCATTCCTTGATTTAGTGAATGCTTCTTCACCCCAGGGATACCTGGAAAAACCAACTCGTGCATGTAGATCTAGTACACGCTTATCAAAATAAAACTATGATGCACTTTTGACTTTTATAACTTGCTTTATATAACATTTTATTGCTTACCAATCTACTGGATTAGTGGCATGCTGTAAAAGATATGGCGACTTCTCCCCAGCCAACCTATTTAATAGCCTCTTGCTGCAACTGTTGGTGGACATCAGCTTAAAGCCCGAGCTAAAGGTTCTCGTTATAAACTTCCTCCATAATTCAGAAGACATTAAAAGGTGTGGTCTGGATTGTTTACATAGAGACAATGAAGAAATGGCTAGGATAACGTTTCGTAAGTTGGCACTGGTTTTTGTGTCTTTGATTTCTCTGGCTGCAATTTTCTCGCTGCATACTTGTAAGCTACTTCTTTAATTGTGCCCATTTTATTTTATTTTATCTTATTGTGGATTAGCATTGTGGAGTAGGAGCTCGAGTAGGAGTAATGGTGTCATTTCAAGAGGCACACCCATCAATAGCTTGTCATCATCACTTAGTCCAGTACGAACGAGAAGTGTAAATAAAACAGGTCAGTCAATCAGTTTTACATGTAACGTCCATTCATTTTGTTTCGCTTTAAGGTGTCAGTTTTCATCAACAGAATGAATTGAAACCGGTAAGTTATCCTAAGTCATTTTATACACATATATACCACTTTATGATAAAGAGTGGAGTGAGGAGCCTTTGCATTATTAAATCATAATGATTAGTGGGTTTTGGCAATATTTGTTGCAAAGGTTTCTTAATACATTCATATAGGTTGCCGTACCAATGGGAATGATAAACTATGATGAGTGGACCTGCCCTCCTTTTGTGGGGTACTTTGTTGATGACCTTCGCATGCATCGTTACGACTGGCCTGAGAAACCAACGGTAAGAACTGAGGGACAACTAAAGGATGAGAAAAGCAATTCTTCCATCTTGTGTAGGTTAGAATGAGCTCAAGAGCAGTTCGTGTGATAACTGGGCATATTTATCACTTTGGAGCAAGATTGTATGGTTATCTGCATCCACCAGTAACAGGTAAGCAGCTACATATAGTCAGCAAAAGGAGAAAATGATGCATTTAATGCTTATAGGTTTGTACTGGTTTAGTGTGAACAGTTCTTTATCTGAAGGAGCTTACAGCATTGAATTATGGATCAGTAGAAGCTCAGATCCTACAAAATTAGTCAAGAGATTTAATGTCACTTATGCTATTGAAGTACAAATTGTTATAATTGTTACTTATTGTGATTATTTTTACTTTAAGGAAAAAAATTGTAGCAAGATTACAAATCCAATTTTTATCAAGTATGTCCTTTAGATCTTTGATTATTATTTTTCCTGTTATAATTCTAGATTAGCAAATCAATTTATTTATTATTTTGAATTCCATGTAAAAAGTTTTAAAGCAGTTCTTGATATTGGAGTACAAGTAAGTGAACAATAGCTGCATTACTATGGCCTCATTGCTATATAATTCTATTTCAAGTGGAAAATACCAAACACTAGTTCTTTACAAGTCATTTCATCTTCTTTTTTATCCATGGCATTTAAGCGTAAGAGCTGTAACATGAATGAAAGCTCATTGTAATAATTTTGTTACTTTTCCATTTTTTCTAGCCAATGATACTTCCAGAGCGTTTTATTCCTTTCACAATCTTCCCAGTAATAAAATCCAGCACA